CGTTATGAGAATGTAAATCGAGTGGAAGTAATAAGTACAATTACAAAATTGTCTATTGGAATTGGACGTGTTAGTACTACGTAGAGTAATAGTAATATGTCCAGGGATCTGATTAACTAAATGAAAACGACTAAGTGTCAATCTTATTTAGCCTGATCAGTCAAATCTTCCAATCTAAAGATTTCGACTGTCGACACACATATATATATTATTCTGTATATTTGCCATCGTGACTGGCTTCTCTAATTAATAGCAATAATCACGAATTGTAAATTTTAATCGGAGTTTCTGCATTCAAAGAGAAATTTGCATTTTGAAATTTTTGTTTACTTATTATCAAGCACAATTCTTTAAGCTTATGAATATTAACTGATATTAGCTAATATTCCATTCTTATAACGGATTGTTATATTATGAATGCTAACGAGGGACCCAATTATGACAAGTTTACGTCGTTATTCGCATTCAGGCACGAAAAGTATCGAGAGGAAGTACAGATTTAAAATTAACAGGAATAGAATAGCAGTTGAATCGAAAATGCCTGCTCATCCTCGAATAAAATAAATTAATACTTCCTAGTTAGCTCTTTATAAAGAAAAATTTCCAGTAGATTTCGTTGGTGAGCGAAACAACTTGCTGATGGATACATCTCAAATCCTCAAACAGGCGAATGGAAACGTTTCTATGAAAGTAAATGAAATTAGAAAGAAAACCTACTCAACAGAATAATAATCTAGCTCTAATTCCATCCACTAATTTACTCCATAGTTTTTAGTCTGATTTCTTGGCAGACAAGAAGATATTTAATTCCTATTAGGATATAATAATAACGATAATAAGATATTTCTTGAATTACTGGTTCTGGGTAGTGAGCAGAAATTGAAATGAGACTACGATCCATTTTCTTCCATTCTTTCTTCTATTTATTTCTTTTCGTTGTGAAGATATATATTCTAGTAAAGCAATTCCTTTCTTCAGTGGATTCAATTGCTTATTTAATTAAACCTTGGATTATATAATCTTAAAGTAAAGGTTATTAAAAAAAAGAAATCAACAACTTGTAGCACCCTTTCGTTCATCTTTGTGGATCATTACCCTGATTTTCCTTCGGTTCTTGCTAATTGAAAAGAGAAAAGGCTCTTTTCCGTTCAAGTTGCTATTTTTTGTACCCAGAAACATAGAAATGGAGCAAACCGAAGGTGCGCCATCCACGTCGACAGTTGAAGAACAACGTCAAGAAATAGAACGGTTGAAACAATTGACTGGCGCCGAAGAAGTTAAGGTTGAAGGATCATTAGCTAATAAACGAAAGCGCGGCCAATTCTACGACCAGTCGGAAATCACCAAAGATTACATTGAATATGATTTCTCCAAGATAGAAGACACCAAGGGTGGTTACTTAGTAGAAGAGAAGAAACAAGAAACAGACCTTCGTGAAAAACCAGCGGAGCGAGAGCTTCGTGAACAACAGGAACGACAGAAAGCTTTACGAAAAGCCCCTTTAAATTTAGATCCGGAAACAGCACCTAAATGTGACGAATGTGCCTCTATTGAGCTGGACTCACGTTATTTGGATGTATTTGGGTGTAAAGTCTGTCATGTTTGTCGTGAAAAATATCCAGATAAGTATTCCTTACTCACGAAAACTGAATGTAAACAAGATTATTTATTGACGGATCCGGAATTGCGAGACGCAGAAGTATTACCGCATCTGTTAAAGGCAAATCCACACCAACAGGGATGGTCGAACATGATGCTTTATCTCCGTTTACAGGTGGAAGAATTTGCAAAAAATAAATGGGGGTCTTTAGAAGAACTGGATCAAGAATTTGGACGAAGAGAAGTCCAAAAACAAGAACAAAAGGAAAAAAAATTTGAAAAGCAATTACTTGAACTACGAAAGAAAACGAAAACCAGCAATTATAGTAGAATGAGCATCCGTGAAAGAAAAAAGCATAAACATTCTTATGACGAAGTTTTTGAAAGACCTGATCAACCAGGAATTATTGTTCAGCGATGTGAATGTGGTCTTGAGATAGAACAGCTGGAAATTTGATCAAAAGATTTCTTTTTCTTTTCCTTATAATAAAAACGAAAAACAGGGAATCGGTTATGACAGGAATGGGACTGAAGGATAATCATTTATTTATTTGTTTAGATAAATTTAAATTAGTTTGAATCAGATCATTATAATATTCATGTGGATAGATGGTTAATGACTTGAGAAAATCAATCATACCGGTCAAGCGCTTTCGACCTCATAGAAGAGAGACGAGAATATCCATTCCCTTAGCTTCCTATATTTTTTTTGAATTTTTGAACTCTCCATCGAGCATTGACTGTTTAAACCAATGTACAAAGTAACAATGTTAGGACGATGGCTGACGACTAGTTAGTAAATAGTAAATAAATAAACGGATCTCCTAGAAACATGCTAAGGGTTACCTGTTCCTTGAATAAATTTCATCGATGATGCAGGACGAACGTACATCGTGTTTTAACCTCCCGAAGAGCTATTCTTGTATCGATTGACGATTGGAATGCGTACGTATGGAATGGATAGAAGTCATCCTTGGCCAAAGTTGACCCTACATTTTTTACGGAAACAAAACCTTGATATGATCTGTTTATAATTGGCATATCATCTGCTGACAGAAAAATGAAATCCAAGTCATTCGCACTGGTGAAAGCTTTCACCAATCTTTTTATTTTATTATCTTTGCACAGAAAAAAGCTGCATAGCTGCATAAATTCAATTATAAAGAAATACTCTACAATATTCATTATTCTAGCTCTATATCCTTTGAAAACGAATATTCCCTTTTCATTCACATGTCAACAGACAAACAACATCGTCACCTAAACATACATTCCTTGGCAAGCAAGTTGTCCACATTCAACAGAAAGCAAAAGCACTACAATTTGATTCAGGAATTGTGATAGAAACTTCAGGAGGCTTTATTTCTGGAAAGAACTAAATGTGTTACCCACCGGACGTATGAATAGAGCTGAATATTACGCGTAAGGATCAAAAATTACGCGTTCACGCTGAAACTAACTTCATTTGACGCAGCTTCCAATTGTTATATTAATTTTCTTATAAAGGCAATTAGATATGGAAAAGAGAGTACCACATACCAATGCTAAAGACGGATTACAAAGAAGTTTTTCAGAATCCACAGTTTGGGACTTTTTAGACGCGACTGTGGATCGACATTTCAGGGAAAAGCGTCCTTTGATGGATGGTAAAGTTACTAGACAATTGCACAAGAGGAAGAAGGAATTTGATGATTTTCCGAGAAGAAATGAGAATGCGGAAACCAATCATGTCCTTCGACCAGAATTACCAAAAGCAATACAAATTTCAGAAACCCCTAAAGCATCGAATGGTTTAAGCCGATCTCAAAGTGGAACCCTCGGAATGGACTCTGGCGGTTCTGCTACGAGTATTACCTATCGCGAACAACGTTCGTATGTCACAGAAACCAACAGTACAGGAGATGAACAGGGTATATACTCAGCAGATTACCATAATGAAGCTACGGATGTAGATGAATCCGAGGATGAAGATACTCAAATGAAAAGCATTCATGAACTTCGGTTTGCAGGTGAAAAACAGAGAATCATGGACGAAATAGAATACTTAATAGATGGAATATCTTCTAAAAGCAACTCGGCAAACTCAAGATACAACAGCTTTATGGAAATTTGTGAACAAATATACCAGCGCATGTTTCGAACCTGTTTAAAGTCTTCACAGGATTTGCAACAGCGCATATTTTCAGAAGTTTTACCCGAAGATAAGTTACAAACAATCTTACAAATATATATTTTTTCCTCCATGGCAGATGAAAATGATTTTGTTCAATCTCTCTTGGAAAACTGCTCCAAAGACATCTCCAAACTGTTCCGTTCAGCCATAACCGAACACGATCAACGGCCAATTCGAGCGCTAATTGGAACTTATTCCAAGACTATTCAATCATCATTTCAAGAATTATTTAATTATCCATCCCCACTGACAAAAGAATTCAGTAATGAGCCTTTACTTTCCTGTAATTTATTATCGTTGGTTGCTATCGCATTGATGAAGGCTTGTGATGGTCCTTTTAGCGGTCATGACCTTTTTCTCTACTTATTGAAGCTAGAAGTAGAACATGCTATAACATTTCTTTTGGAAAACGGAACTCAACAAACGTTTTTGCTCTTTTCTATCGCGGCTACCCTTGATAAAGCTGAGACTTATACTTGGGATGATGATGTTTTAGAAAAACTTTATGATCTTTTGTCCTTCCTCTTGAAAAATTTACTTAAAGACAGTGAACAAATGAGGAACATGGAAACAGGCGATTCAATGCATTTTCTTATGATTGCTTGTTGCGAGAAACTACTTCGAACCTTGATTCGTTCAGTCAATTCAGACAGCTCTTCTGTTTCCACTCTTTGTAACTCCGAGCTTCCAAAGAAGCTCTTTGAGGTATTAAACAATTCCGTCTTTGTCAAGAGCAGGTCCACCGAAGAACTTGTTATGATGAGTTTAGGTCTTTTGCTAGAAATAAGTGAAGAATCTGAACAGTTTGTCAAAACTCTTCCAAATTTCCAAGGTAATACGCATGAATGTTCTAATTGTTTGTTAACTTTTATATTAGTGAATACAACTCAAACTATGTTAGACGTCTTGCTTCAGTTTTACAAAGAACAGGTAAGCTAAACAGCTGACAAATTTTAACGGCTGAGAGTTCTAATTATTATCGCTTATAGAAGCCAAAAGTTGAATTAAGCGGATATGCTGCTATGCTTTTAATTCATTGTATTGTTGCTGATCCACGAGCATTTGATCAAATCGTACCCATGGCACCTCAGTTAAAAACAACTCTCATCGAATTCAAACAGTTTCATATAAATTTAAAAGAAGAGTTAATGTTATTTGGTACACAAGGTCTTGCTATAGTTTCTATAGTTGATGATACCTTAGAGTCTCTCGAGAAGACCTTAACGTAACCGATGCCCTTGGATAGAGTTCAGACTTAACTACTACGTGTTTAGTTTTCAGTTGATCGATTCTCTCGTATAACACATTCATTTCAGCTCTAATTCACGAATTTTTTATAAGTTTTTCAAATAATTTTCTCATTTACTATGGCTCCTGTAAAATCGAGAAGAATCGCCGTTCTGGGAAGCCGTTCGGTTGGTAAATCAAGGTAAGTCATTGTGGTCGATTCACCCATATCTATTCAAAATTAACTTTTATAAAAAAGTCTTACTGTTCAATATGTGGAGAACCATTTCGTGGAATCCTACTATCCCACTATCGAAAATACGTTCAGTAAAAACATTAAGTATAAGGGACAGGAGTTCGCTACTGAGATAATTGACACCGCTGGACAAGACGAATATAGCATATTGAATTCGAAACATTCAATCGGAATACATGGTTACGTTCTTGTCTATAGCATAACCAGCAAGTCTTCTTTTGAGATGGTCAAAATTGTCCGCGATAAAATATTAAACCATACTGTACGTCCTCCTCATTTTCATTACATGTTTCCAAGTTACTAATTTTTTATTGAAATAGGGCACAGAATGGGTTCCTATCGTAGTTGTCGGTAACAAAAGCGATTTGCACATGCAACGTACCGTTTCCGCTGAAGAAGGCAAGCAGTTAGCCAGCGAATGGAAATGTGCTTGGACAGAAGCCTCTGCTCGCCATAATGAAAACGTTGCTCGTGCTTTTGAGCTTATTATTAGCGAAATCGAAAAGCAGGCCAATCCTTCCCCTCCTGGAGACGGAAAGGGTTGTGTTATTGCTTAATGTTGGATACTGGTTCTCTTTAACATATATGAATTTGATAATGATTCTATTCTTAATAACCAATAGCATATATATATATATTGATTCGTAAAAGCTCCTACTTGCTTTTTTTAATTCCAATATCACTACATTGTTTTTTTCTTTCAACTTCTTCTATCCACTCTTAGATACAGTGACATTTCAATCTTTGAGAAAGAATAATATAAAGTCGTTCATTCCGTTTCTTTTCTCTAAACATAACGGTACCCTTAAGTATCCTTTCGCAGTTTAAAACTCAAAATATCATTTTTTCCAGCAATAATGGGATCAGATTCTCCCACGTTTCCATTCATTCCAATAATAGACATGGCCTCACCTCCTATAACTATTTGAGCCACTTGCCCAGCAGTAGTCCCTTGTTTTACCAAAACACAATCCTTAAAGACACCATCATTAGGATTATTGGAAAAGTTATGAATATTCTTAACAGGATAAACTGGTACCAAGTCTAATAATTCAATGGCTCTAGCCAATACATTACATACACCAGTCGATCCATGTCGAAATAAGACCATGTCTTGAATGTCTGTAATTTTTGTACGAAGACTCTCACTCAAGGGTTTCAACCCAGAATCTGGGAACTCTTCTATTGTATCAACAAACTCTGAGCCCTCTTCGTAATTTACAAAACCTTGTTTAGCAAGCCTTCTTAAAAACACCTCAGAAACAGCAGAGGCCAAGACTAGCCGATTGGGGTCCTCACGTCTTGCAATTTTTGAAATATTAGCATCTGAATCAGGATGATCAATTTTGTTTAAAGCAATAACGGTTGGAAATTTGATGTCAACAAAACGGCCGACAATACGATCTAATGTTGCTTCATCCCAGCTTTCTAATGGAGCATTCAAATGAAGAGAATCTAGTACTTTTGCTGTAATAGTCGGGTTACTTCCATAACCCGAAAACTGAGACTGTAAGGTATGAACTGGGTTGGCTTTTGAGGCTATATGACGACGACGAGTATTTGGCCATTTTTCCTTGAGGTTCGTGCCAATCCAAGCAGTCATTTCGTTGTACAGCCACTCAATATCTACGGAAGGATCATACCCACGACAAGCCTTACCTTCTGCATCAGTTGTTCCTGAAACATCCACTACATGCACCAACGCATTTGCATGTCTTAGATCATCCAAAAACTTATTTCCTAAACCTTTTCCAGTATGTGCTCCAGGGATTAAACCAGCAACATCCAGCAGCTGAATGGGAATTGAACGTTTGCCGTTTTTACAGCCGCCATAAATAGGTCTACATTGATCTACTAATCCGAAACGAGAACAAGCACAGTTTACTTGCGCATAACCAATAGCCCGATTTGGCTCAATAGTCGTGAAAGTAAAGTTTCCTGTTTTTGCAGTGGCATCAGTCAATGCATTCAACATTGTTGACTTTCCACTGGACGGTTTACCAACAAAACCAATTAAAATATCTCTTCCCATTATAAATAGAAGCCAGCAAAAAATGTTTGATTATTTTTTGGAGTACTTTGGCGGTTTATGGCTCTTATTCAATTTTCGCCCTTAATGCAGTAGTAGAAGGATATACTCAGAAGTCAACTATAGCTGGAGTTAATTTTAAGAACACTTCAATGATTAAAATCTTTTTTTTTATATTTAACATAAATAAGAAACAATTTAGTACATAAAGGAAAATACTGCAGACCAATTCCTTTCACTTCTGCTTCTTGAAAAGATCTTCTAAGGGAAAATTTGTTTTAGCACGAGTAGCAAAACAGAATGAGGCAAAAATAAAAGGATGCTAAATAGTAAGTAATTAGATAAACACGACGCTTGAAAGACTCTGTTTGCCCACTTAGTATAAGTAAACGTAAACGATATCGAATGTCTATTTATTAGATATTTGTGCTCTATAAACAATGGTCATAATCTAAAGAAATAGAGAAATGACGAAGGATATAGCGAAACATGTAAAAAGGGCTGAGAAAAGATAGAGAATTTCAAGACGTGATTTAAGGCGAACAGTGGTATTCAACTGTCTCGAACCAGGAAAGCTTCCATTTTTACGAAAATCCTCGATGAGCTGATCTTTTTCATACCAACGCTGGTATAACCACTTTGTAAAAAGTTTTTCCTCGGAAGGGATGTCGGAAATACGGAATCTACGAGCATGAACATGCATGCGACGAAGGCGAGCACCTTCAAAAAATAATTGCTTAAGAGAGAATGCATCCGCAGCAAACTTCTTAGGAGAAGGATCAGAAAAAGCAAATGTGTAATCATATAAGTAAGTCATGGAATCGCGTAATTGACTAATACTAAAGAACAAACCACGAACACGTGGAAGCATTAGATTTTTAGGCATGTCAACGCCGGCTTTATCAGCAAAAACCTTGCTGCGTTCCCAAGTCCCTTGAACAAGGTTGGTTCCCTCAGGAAACATTAACAAGCTGGCAGGCTCAGGAACATGATGAATAAAGTTGAATTTACGCTCCATCGTAGAAGCATCCTTATCCCATTTCCTGGAAAGGAAGATAAACCGGTACAATTGCATACCCCAACCTATGATGGGGATCCACTTTAAGGAGTCCTTTAAGACAATATAAATATGACCATGTAGTTTTGCAGTGTACGCTAACCACCAGATGTACATCCAATCCGAGTAAAGTTGATGGTTAGCCATTACAATATTGCGTTCCGAAGCAATTGTTTCCAAGCAACCATTCCGATCTAAGTAAAAGAGGTTCCGCAGGTCGGAGTCATATGTCAAGGTTACGGGAGTAGGACTAAAAGATTGAATAAGGAAGATAAACAAGATACCTGCAAGTCCTTTTGTGAAAGAAACATACTTATTGTATAAGTGCGTATTAATAAAATTGAGGGGTATTCCAATCACCTCTGAAATATAAATGCTGATTGTACCAACGGCGAAGCAGAGGATGAACAGATACTTTCTAATAGACGTTTTTAATGCCATATGGAGATACGAATAAGTATGTAAATGAATGAAACAATGAGTCTATGTAGTGACAGTGAAAATTTCCAAAAATAGTAAGTGAAGCTCCTAGTTTTTTTTATAAATAAAAACCAAAGGCAATAGGGAGTATTGTTCTTGAAGTAGCTTTTCCGGTTTAATAACAGTGGCCACGAACGGAAGTTATAATAGTGGAAATATAATAATTCACCCCCTGAGCTTAATTAAAACGAACTAGGCAAGTTTCAGCAACAATTCTTCTTTAAAGGTGTTCTTTACCAAAGAATACTGTAAAGAAATCCTTTTGAGTGGAAGAATATGCTTAACGAAGTAAGAAACGCGATGAATTAACCAAGTGATAAATTAATGCTTTAGACAAAACGAGCGACAAGGTGAAGAAAAAAACAATTTGATATTATTTCACTATGGCTCAAAGATCCTTGTATTTCACCAATCTTTGAATAACGACTGGTTGGTGGATGGTTGGTGATAATACAGAGGGTTCAATAATAAGACGACAATGCATATACGATTCTAGCCTCTCTCTGGTTCAGGTTTCGACTTTGGTTTTTAGTTTTATTTAGTTTTATTTTCTTTCAAATTCAGTCGTTGTATACATCGGTTCAAATTAGCTGCACATTTTCCATAAGAAATTCTACAATTCTTTTGTTTACATATTATTAAATAGAATTCTTCCGAAGTGCTATTATATTCCACAAACGGATACTATATTGTATTAGCAAGGTCTTTATAATTGGACTCAAGAACCACGTCTTTTCAAAACATCGTGAATACAGAGTCATGTTTGGGTTTAATAATAGTACAGCGGCAAAAACATTTCGTATTCGCAAACCAGAGACTGGAACCAAGCATTACCAACTGCGGCAATATGCGGAAGCAACTTTGGGATCGGGATCCCTGATGGAAGCAGTGAAGCTTCCCAAAGGAGAAGATGTAAATGAATGGATTGCTATGAATAGTAAGTAAATTAGAGCTTCTGAAAAACGCTTGTAACCACGTTCAATACGATGATATGGAGACTGACGGGGCTAACTATTCAGCTATGGACTTTTATACCCAGATTAATATGCTTTATGGAACGATTACCGAGTTTTGTACAGAAAAAAGTTGTCCACAAATGAATGCGGGACCCAACTTTGAGTACTATTGGCAAGATGAGAAGGTATACGTGAAACCAACGAAAATGAATGCCCCAGATTATATTAATACACTCTTGGAATGGGCCCAAGAAAAGCTTGACAACAAACGGTTGTTCCCAACAGAAATTGGTGTCGAGTTTCCGCGCGAATTCAGGAAAATTGTCCAACAAGTATTTCGCCGACTTTTTCGAATTTATGCCCATATTTATTGCTCCCATTTTCATGTCATGGTTGCCTTAGAACTGGAAAGTTATTTGAATACATCATTCAAACATTTTGTGTTTTTTTGCAAAGAATTCGAGTATGGGTCTGCTTTTGTTTTTCCTTTCCACTAACTTAATCTAGTCTTTTAGATGGCAAGGAATATGCTCCTATGGAGGATTTAGTCGAAAGCATGATTTAAATTCTACCGTGGATAGAACAACTGCTCTTTCTGATTAATACACCTCGAAAATATCCACTTGTTTCCTCTATATTCGTCAGACTTTTTCATACGTTACATCAATTCAATGGATTGCTTGAATTACACGTTAATTATGATGGAACAAAGACTCAACTTATCTCTCCCTTTTCCCAAAACCCTCTTTGTCTTTTGTTTTCATACAATCTCTTTGTTGACTAACGCATTAAAACGTATTACGTTATTTTCTTAACCGGCTGGTATTACAAACATATACAGTATTTATTATTTCTTCCTTTGAAAAGCCTTGTTATTCTGCATCTATTTTACAGTGTAGTCTTTTCCTCAAGTAAGGACAAAAGAAACATGGCGGACCGTCGTAAAGCAACGATTCACGTAGGTAAGTTTTGTTAAATTGAGACAAGAGTGTGTTTTGCACACTTTTTCATTCTTCTAATGAACAAAAGTGTATCGTTTTGTTATACTTTACAGAAATATTCTTAACGGGATTGCTAACTTCAATACATTTAGGCAATCTTGCTCCGGGCGTGACAGAAAATGTCCTCTATAACGCTTTCATAGCATTTGGTGAAATTATAACGGTAGCACTGCATAATAAAGAAAAAGGTACGAAAGAGACACAATAGTACAGCGTCAGCTGATATATACCAGCGGATCGCTCCTTTGCATTTCTAGAGTTTGAAAGTCCCGAGGATGCAAAAGAGGCTATAGCCAACATGAACTATTCCGTCTTGTACGATCGTGTGATAAGAGTTTCACCGGCAAACTATGCATTATCTACCGAAGAAACCCCCGTTCCTGATTCAGGTATTTCTTTCTCTTCTTGATTTATTCTTTGTATCTAACGGTCTTTTGTAGCTATGATTAGTTCGTCCGTTACGCCTCCGTCTGTGTCCAACTCTTAGAATGATTATATGCATTTTCTGAACCTCATTATGTAAAATCCTCACTCATTCCGTTCTTTAAGTCGAATGGGATTGAACCCAGCGATTAACGTTTCTTTTTTTTCCAGTATCATACATGACTTTACTTTACCCTATCCAATAAATGCTTCCTTTACTCTATAATATATGTATTTCCATCGATTTCCCATTATTTACTCTTTGCTTTCCTGAATCTATTACTTTAGCGAGAAAGCAAGTCCTTCTTAAGTATATATTCCGCACTCCATCACGACATCCCTATACTTAGGGTAGGGTCTAAACCGTGACTGCTTTCTGTAAGTTATATAAGGGTGAACTTGGACTCTCTTATTCTCCATCTTTGTGCACGGGTATTACGCTTATCAGTGAGGAACTTTTCCTAGATGGCGTTATTGCTAGTTGAAAACTATTACCCTGACCGCTCCAACTCGTCGTAAGACGTTTTGGGAATATTTGGAAACCAATTATTTGCTATAATTCATATGTCCACGATGTGTGACTTTCGCAATAACTGGTTCCTTCCTTTTCTGTGTTATTATCCCCCATGTATGTGCTCTTGTGCTTGCATGTTGGAAGATTGTAGAATTAATCTCTTGGTTCATATGTAAATCTATTCACTATGATATTATAAAGACGGAAGTTTGTAGAAAGTCGTAGTTGCAAGTGCTAATTAGATGTTGATTAGAATGCTTTTTGATTCATCACTTTTGTATGTTTGTAATCATTGAAAGACGCAAGTATAATAGCAAGTACAGATTCAGACCCTTGTTTGCAAAATAGGGCGCGAACGTTTTAGCTAGTCTGACTCAAAATTTAGCGCTTGAGAAAAATCAGCAATAATATCATCGATATGCTCAATGCCCACAGAAACACGAATAAGGTCTTTTGTGACGCCAGCACTTAGTTGCTCGGAGTCATTCAACTGTAGGTGAGTGGTATAGGCAGGAGCAATAACTAAAGTCTTGGCATCCCCGACATTAGCAAGTTGACTAGCTAGTTTTAAAGAGTCTACGACTTTGCGACTCTGATCAGGGCCTCCCTTGGCACCAAAGCTAAGGACGGCACCGTAGCCATGCTTTAAGTATTTTTTGGCGAGATCGTGCGAAGGGTGTGAAGTTAGGCCAGGGTAGGAAACCCATTTAACGTTTGGATGGTTTTCCAAGTATTGTGCAAGGGCAAAAGCGTTTTGGACGTGGCGTTCCATACGTAAAGAGAGGGTCTCGAGTCCTTGAATCAAAAGAAAAGCAGCAAAAGGACTGGCATTACCACCGACATCACGAAGAGCTTGAGTTCGGACAGCAAAAGCATAGGCTGCGTTCCCAAAAGCTTCGACGAAACGTAATCCATGGTAACCGGGATGAGGCTCCACCAGTTCAGGAAAGCGTTTCGCATTTTTCTTCCAGTCAAATTTACCGCTATCAACGATGACACCTCCCATCGTCGTGCCATGACCGCCAATCCACTTCGTGGCCGAATGCACAACAATGTCTGCCCCGTAGTCGATAGGACGAATCAAATATCCACCACCGCCGAAGGTGTTGTCGACTACGAGAGGGACACCGGCTGTATGAGCAACCTCGGCAATCCGTTCAAAGTCGGGCACATTATACTTGGGGTTGCCAATAGACTCGACATAAATGGCTTTTGTTTTCTCATCAATTTGCGCCACCAGTTTATCAACATCATCACCCTCAATGATTTTTGTAGTGATACCAATGCGTGGAAAAGTGACTTTAAATAAATTAAAGGTCCCTCCATAAAGGTAAGAGGTAGAAATGATATTATCGCCATTTCCGGCCAAGGTCGTCAAAGCCATATAAGCAGCGGAGGTACCAGAACTCGTACACAATGCTGCAACTCCATGCTCTAAAGCAGCAATTCGTTTTTCAAAGACATCACAGGTAGGATTCATCATTCGGGAGTAGATGTATCCTGGCTCTTGTAAGCCAAACAAACGACCACCATGCTCACAGTCTCGAAACACATAGGATGTCGTGGCATAAATAGGCACAGCACGGGAGGTGGTCGTGTTATCTGGTTCTTGGCCAGCATGCAACTGAAGAGTTTCGAAATGATCACTGTCGAACACCATTTTAGTAGTCACCAAAACAATCCAAATATTCGAAAAGAGGGAATATATATATATATATAGTCTATATTTATTCTATATAATGTTTATGAAAATGATCCACGTATCAAAATCGTCCAAGAAAAACCCCGACAGAAATGATTGAAACCCTGCATGACCAGAAAGGTTCGATATTTATAGACAAAAACATTAGCTCAGATTCCTTCTCAATTTCAACATTTGTATTTGTCGTAATTTCAACAACGAATCCGCTAGCAACGAATCCGCTAGCGAGTAACTGTTGTGATTAGAGAACAACATCACATTTACACGGATATTGTTGCCTTTGGCTGATGCAATAGTAAACCCATGCGAATAGACCGTCTTTCGAGACTAAGGGAACTTAACCTTTAAGGAAAGGACTGTCAAATACAAAGTAAAAGTTGTTTTCCTACCTTCGTCTTTATTTGTCAGATATTTAAAAACCTGTTCTTTATGATCTTTCCTGATACCATTGCGACAATACGAGATGACATGAGACGACCATTATATCATTTATCTACTGTTATCAGATCAATGGAAACATGAGTTGTCGGTGATCAACACAGAAGAAAACGAGATGTGTTTTTCTGTATGCCTTTATGCCTTGTATAAAAACTAGTTAGTTTCTACCTCCTCTCTACTAGGACATTTTCATCTTGCTTTTCTCTTAGTCTCCCATCCATCATGTTCACTAAGCGAAGTAACGAAGATAAAGTAATGTGCTTTTTTTGTTTCAGGACCTAACTGTCGCTGTCACTATCACTGTCACTGTCATGATAGGTGTCTTGTTACTATCATACATATTACTATATAAATATCATAAGAATATTGTTGGACATTAGCAAACGTCATAAGACTAAAGGATGATATATTACAAATGGTAAACAAACAATTAAAAACGAAATACAGAAATCAAGATACGAGTGATCGGAGAATAAAGACTCGTATACAAAATATGTTCGAATAAAAAAATTTCCTGATTGACCTAATTGATTTGATTAACAAAACTATATATACTCATCAGTCACATTTTGTTTATATGCTATAATATCATAAATATACATAACAAGACAGCTCTTCTACAAAACCTCCAGTTAGGAAGATTTTGCTGGTCGAATTAATGAACGTGTTAATGATACTACATCTTAGTTCGTCAACCAGACGAGTCAAAAGTCCAATTATTAATTTCAACGTAGCTTAGCAGTACATAATAAACACCCAGTCCTTATTCCATTCAAAATACCGCTCATACTTTATAATAATATTCATGCTCCCACAAGAAGCAAGTAGGAACTTTTTGTGCGAACTTACCCAAGTCGTCTTGTTAAGCTAAGCAACCTGCAAAGCTGCATGCAAACACTTCCTGCGTATCCCAAGGAGAAAGGCACCGACCCTTTGGAGAACTAATATAGGTACCAACTATTTATACTCGGAGAGTTCTATTAAATTCATATCTGGATCTCGAAGATAAATGGACTCAATGCGTCCCTTAGCACCTGTACGTTCGACAGGACCTAACTCAATAGGTAAGTTACGTTCTCTCAAAATTTCAATGACATTTTGTAATGAAATGCTACAAATAAAACAAATGTCTGCGCTTCCAGGAGTTGGAAAACTAGCACGAGGTAAAATTGGGGATCCCTCTGCAATGTGAAGATTAATCTTTTGATTTCCAAAAGTAAGAGCTGTACGTCCATTCCCAAAAGATTCAAGACCCATTCCTAATCCTCTTACGTAAAAATCTCTACTTCTTTCGAGGTTGCGAACTGTCAATACGAAATGATCCACACGATCAATCATGGTAGTTGTATAGTAAACACAAATGATGATTAACAAAAGCGTGATTATATAAGTTCTGAATCAGTCAATATAATCAAAGCAAAACCTACTAAAAAGATCTGAGTGAGATAATCTAATTTCACGCTTTAAGTAAATAAATTTAAGCACCCTCGAGAGGAGGGTATTTTTCCTCCTGTCAGTGTACAGTAATTAATTACTTTTATCGACTAGATAATAATGTGGAACTTTCTGTTTACTCAAGACTAAATTAGTTACCTTAATCTATCATAGTTCATGGTCTCCTTAAAAAAAAGTCTTTTAATTTTCTCTAATCCCTATCTTTATATTTTTTTACTCTTTACTCTTTACTAGAGAGATCTTAACTCAAGCTAAGCTAACAGTATCAAAATTTGATGTTCCGTAATAGTAAGAATCAGTTCGTGGAGCATAAACAACAGAACCACCGAATTTATGAATTTTCTTCAAGCCCAAGCTAAAAAGTCTTCTAAAGAAACTCCTTGTACTACAATAGACATTGATGCGTGTAAAACACATATGTTTATTTTTAATATAACCATTAAGAAAGATATATTTTGATTAACTGCTCTTTACAGATTAAATTTGCGTCAACGACGTTTTACGCGATTTGCTCTCGTTTCTCTAAGTACTTGATGAATATTGTGGCCGTGGAAGTCTAAGCTTTTACCGAAGAGTTCTAAAAGATAATTTTAAAACGATCGCGGATAAAGTTTTCCTTATTTCATCTTCATGGTTATAGCGACATGCTTGATATCCTAAAAGTAGAATGGATGTCTTACTTTACTGTTAAGATTTTGAGTACTCTACTGTATAAGTGAACAGTTACAATGAATGCGCCTAATGAAATAGCTGGGTTCTTTTTTAGAACAAGTTCAATGGTACAAAAGGGCAGAAAAGCCTTCCTATAAAGATTTTCTCTTTAATGCCAATTTACGGGACATATTATAACTGTGATTGTATAAACTATTTTGGAAGTCTTCATCGTTTCGCGAATTCAAAAAATTTCCATCAAAATTCTGTTGTTTACAATTCGTCGCAAAAGTATTTTCTATATCTTTCCTACAATGGCCTTTAGATGACATATGTACACGAATTATTTGACTTCTCTCACACGGTATGTATGGAGAATGTAGAATAGTAATACCTTCAAGGCCAATTACTTAAGGATGGTGTTTTCATATGTCTTTCCCGTAATTTCTTATTTGCGTTTACCATTTGGATGGAATAAGCTGCTTTTTTTGGCGTTGCATTTATCCTACTTGTTGACTATTCTAATCTTATCAATTTGTCAGCTAACCTCTCGAAAGAATACCAGTGTTTTCGGTTCGCCCTAAGAGTTATGATACCTTTCTGTTCGCTAGCAACCCTTTTATTTGGGTACGATTTGGACTGCTTTCGGCAACATCAAACGAGCCATAGTGTAACTAAGTACTTGTTGGCTTGGCTCGCTTCCCTTCCATTGGATCCTGACAAACCAATTCTTTACCATTGTTTCCCTTATTAAATAATAGCAAAGAAAGAAAAAATGACTTTATAGAATGCAGGAAAAACGGGACAGAAAGGGAATAAAGCATAAGGGATGAAATCTCATTTAAGCACTAAAGTTAAGCGAAAGCGAGGGAAATACATTCCACGTTCGTCAGTACTTACATGCCTTCCGCCAACTTTTAGGAAATAACATTCTCAAAATGCGAGATTTTCAGTTTGGTAAACGAGGCTTATTTTTTTCATTTGGTATACGCTGTTTACATTGATTAAAGTAGATCTTGAGCTTGGTATTTCAATTTCTGAAATTCCTTCTGATAATGTCAAAGACGATGAAAACTTTCAGTTCAGAATTGATTGCCAATGGGTAAATGCGGACGAAAAACGTACAAAGTATAATTATTTTGCAGGTGAAGAAATTGCTGTCACTTACTTTCCAGCCGAAGAATCGAAAGTAGCGCTTGGTGATAGCGAAGCGATGAAAGACCCTTTTTCCCAGGTTATTAAGGAACGCGGAAAGTTTTCTATATCCCAATACATCCGCCCTGAGGAGAGAGATACTTTGACTGGTCCTTTTCCTTCTAGCGGCGGTTCTGTCTATAGTTTCACCTTTGCAACCAACGCTACCCACCCATACCGCTATATAGAATTTGAAGAAAAGGTCCCAAACACATTTTGCTTTGCTTCGAGACCAGTCTCAAAGAATGGATCTAATAGTGAACCAGTATATCTTCATTTTGATTCAGTTTGGAGTCATAGAATTAGTTGGGGCTCTAGTCTTGATGATAATTCTGCTCCAAAAGATGCTTCTTATTACAGCCCTTTAATATTTACCTTTGGATTCCTTTTGCTCGCTATTTGCTGGATTTATGCGATGGTTTCTCAACGATCAAAGGTTTTCCCAGCGCAATATGGACTTTTGCTACTCACCATTAGCTCTGCTTTTGGAGCTCCATTTTTCTTTTGATGGACAAGATCTTGTGAAAACCCATATCCAAGTTTTTGCACTCTTTCGAAAGTTGAAGAAATCAAGAAATCGTTTGATATATTTACTGAACGTCTGGTGCTATATTTTATTGCTTTCGGTTTTGGAGTATGGCGTCCAACTCGAGGCAATTTAGTTTCGGGAGGTACGATCTTGTTACTTATCCCTGTAGTGTTCCATACCGTCCATAAATTAATCAATTGGAAGTTTTGGATACATGAAACATCCTTTTATTTGATTGATGAGTTTTTGAATGACTCGAGCAACAATTTAATTTGGATGTATGCAATTTATCATTTATACCAAGCATTTACATCTGGATCTTGCATGAAATCGAAGCAGTCCGTAAGGTTGGTAAGGCATTCTCTTTTTTATTGTGTCGGTATGATTACGTTGCGTCCTTTTGTATTGTCATATTTTACTACCAACTCATCGTGGCGTCCTGCTTGCATAGCTCCAGGCATAGAGGACTTTATATATTGGATAATCCGCTATGGAGCAGAAGTTTTAATTCCTTGCTATATATGGCGCCCTTCACATAATGAATTGGTCTGTTACAATGAGGAAGAATATATAGAGTCCAAATGAACCAAGATACGAAGTCTAAATGCCTGATTTTACCCAGTTACTAAGCGATGAATCAGAATTTAATTTAAAACTTTTAGTGGCAATTCCCATAGCGTTCAATTGTCTGCGTGAATATTTGATATCAACCCTGAGCATATTTTAATGATACCCGGCTGCTATACATTGGTTTTTATCGAGAATTTAGCAAACTAATATAAAATATCCAACAAAAATTTTCTCTTTGAGTAAGCGTTTGAAACTCGTTGAATCAACAAGGAATTTGTAAACGTCATTATATCTTTTCGTCTTATGAACGCGCATTCATAAAATTTTGACTGTAGATCAGGTGAGCCAACGGCAATGCGGAAAGCTACTGAAGGAACATAAAAAACGTTTCGACTAATCAATTCATCAAGAAATGAACATGGTGATTTTCATGAAAAGCAGTAAGAAAAAGATGTAAACAAACGCGAAATAGCAACTTGTTACTTATTGTTGTTCCTTTTGTATACGATAAGATGATGATTTTGAACAACAATGTTATCCTGACAAAAATGTTGAGTAAGAGAAGCGAAATTTCCTGCTGGTGCCAAAACTTTTTTTTTCCTATAATTCCTGCCAATAGGGCTGATTTCGACTTTGATTCTAAATGTTTGGAATAATCAGGCTGAGCTGCTTTAGTTTTGGCTGCACTTCTGTTGAGTTTTGCGTTTGCGAAATTTTTACATCGAATTCAAATTCCCTCAAAGTAAAAGAGAGTAAAATAACGATAGTAATTGAATCAGTGGCTTTCTCAAGTTTATAAAGGAGCATCACTGCAAAGCATCAGAAATACTAAGCTATCGTTTATCATCAACAGCTGTTTGCTAACAAAAGGCAGTCTTTTATCGAATTGCTGTCATGGCAACAAGAGCCTTGCTCAACTATATAACTTTCGTGTATATTGCCATTGGTAGTACTGGAGCATTACTTGGGCGAATAATTGGCAGTATTGGACTATTCTTTGGTGGTATTATTGCTTCTTGTCAAGGTTTTTATAAAGTTTTTATATTGTATTGGATTTGAGATCAAATGCTCAACTAAAAGCAGCAGTTCGCCTACACTTTCGAGATATCAACAAAGAGATGATGTACTAACTCCTCCGCTGAAATAGAGCTGCAGTGAAATCCTACCACTCAAATTTAATGCCAATTTGTTTAACTTTCTTTCATGATGAGCTTTAACTCTTCCGATCGAGAGTTAAATAAGTGAAAAAAGAGAACATTACAAGCGGTCTATTTCGACCGAATATTTATTTTTGTGTCTTTATTGAGCATTTTTATACATTATCTATTAGCTGATTTGGCTACAACATGAACCTTCAGTGTTGGAAATTCACGGAAAACATTGGACAAGGCATGCTTGCGTTTTCCGCCGGTTGAGAGGCGATGAATGGGTTAATTTTATTGTAATAACATAACTAGAACGAACAGTAAAACTGAGAATTGCTGGTATCACTTTAGATTCATATACAAGGTTATATACTGTAGTAATAATTGCATTTGGATATGATGGTTTAGTCTTTAATAGCAAAAGGTGACTAATGAATTTACTTTCAAAATAGACCTTTTTTTATGTATTGTCACCTGGCAAGTAACGATCTGCAGCAAGTATACAACAGTTCGATCTCTTCCATGACATTTGCAAAAGTAACTAAAAGATAAATCTAATAACTTTCAAAAAGTAGAAAAAGTAAAGAAGTTTACAGCACCCCGGATTCCCATGTTGTCTCCAACCATAGTACTAACGAGGCCCTCAGACGCTTAACTGCAGTGATCGGACGGGAACTGGTGTTTTCGCCTAGGTATGGCCGTAGATGTTCACATAATGAAACTTTGTTGAATACTAACCGCTAGCCGATCTAAAGGTTCAAGTTTCCACCATACCGCTTTTTTATTTACCAGCCAAAAGGATAACATGTTACCCTAGCAAAAGAAGTAACAACGATTAAATCTGATACAGCGAAGAGTTTCGAGACGACGGTAAATAGAATAATGAAAGGCACCAAAAGAAACTTAAATTGATTGATGCCCGTTTCACTTCAGCAAACTCTAGCCATTGCCATTGCAGTTTCATTTCTCATTTCTTGACGATTTTAAACTGTTTTCATTTCTTTGTAATGTGAATTGATTGATTTAGGTGCTTTTTTGTGGGCTTTGATGCATTTTTGGTTTTTCTACTACCTACTTTGGGTAGTTTTCGCGATTCATTGTGACCGTTTCAAAGACAGCTGAAAATTTCAGTTTCTTCTAATAAAAATGAATGAAAAAGAGAAAGAAATGCAGCCGGAAGTTGCTAAACCAACCGAATCTCCTTTCTGGGTTTCTCCTACCAGTTCAGACAGCTGCTTACCGTCATACAGCGAAATCGACTATTCGTCTCATGTGGATGATTTGGAAAAAGGTTATTTATGTTTACGTCCAATTCGCGGTCCACCATGTTCTGAAAAGAAGAGTCAAGAAGCGTCCATGAATGCTTCTGAAAATTCCAACATGGAAGTATTATTGTTAATTATCTGTCCAGCAAAGGTTGCTAGGATTCCACAAGCTACTGTCAAAGTGGTAAATGAAACTGCTCGACTTGTCTGGTGCTACATTTTTGCATTTGTGCTGGATTTTGTATTTTCGGACTTTCTTCTTTTTCCTTTTATAAAGAAGTCAATGGAAAATGCATGGATTCAGTGGAGTCTAGCGGGTCTTCTTGCCATTTTGGCTTTCTGGATTTGCGTATTTGTTGTTTCATGTGAGTTGATTTATAGATATTTGTTTTGAGACTTTTACTAATGGATCAATTATAGACTTGTTGGATCTTTTCATTCTGTCACTAAATGTTCCCATCCTGTTACTAAATGGGTTCACTGAGTTAATTGGAATTATTAATCCCTTGATTGCTTCAATCTTCGGTTTCGACACGACGTTGGAAAGAAACAACTTGGCGGGTGATAATCCCATCCCACTGAATACAATCCCATCCGAGTCTCAAAACCTATCAAGTGACCCTAATACTCTTACAGATGAACAACCATCTTCTGAATGCGTTGAACAATTTCCGGAAAGACAGCGAAAACCAAGTCAATCTAGGGATGTTGAAAACACTGGGAATTTGGAAAGCAGCTGATTCCTTGGTTTCGGACTCTATCTTCTTTCGATATTTTTAATTGGTGAACTGAGAAATTGAGAGGGTTCTTTTCATTCTCTGTTTCATATTCAGTATTTTTATGTTACGTTATCTTCATTTTAACACACTTTTTTACGTTCGTTTTTTGCATAAATTATTTATTTTGTACTTTGCATTGCTGATGTCGTTAGATGCGTGGTCATTCTTGATGCTACGATGAAATCGTATTGACTTTGAGATAAGTGAACGTTAAGTGAACGTTTACATAACATGGTACGTGAATAGATTGTCATTGTTTCACTGGCAATCCTTTCGCTGTGTGATCTGTACTTTAGACCGGGACGACAACTATGAATTGACTTTTCAATGTCCCTTAACGAGTATCATTTTTCTTTTTGATTACATCTTGCATCTGCGTGACGCTCCATTCTCCTCTGTGCTTTTAAGAAATAACATCGTTACACTTTTCTTCTTATTTGTTTGTACTGTAATTTTAGATGTGTGCCCTTTTCCTTTGTATTGTATTAACATAGCACTTCATCCATTGGTATGGCAGTAAAGAGCTCAACCATGGAAAGAACCTTTTTGAAAAAGAACAAAAAGAGGAGGAAGCCTACAGCACCCCGGATTCCCATGTTGTCTCCAACCATAGTACTAACGAGGCCCTCAGACGCTTAACTGCAGTGATCGGACGGGAACTGGTGTTTTCGCCTAGGTATGGCCGTAGACATCTGTATAGTCTTTTTAGATTACTTAACATTTTACGACAATCACGTTTGTGCTGTTTGATTTTTTTGGAAAACGTAATTCTTTAATTTGCATACTCGCCTTGGAACTGCTTTTCACTTTCGAAGGGCACGGGTCGCTTATGATCCTATCCTATGTCTTTAGAACATAATAATTTTAGTTATAATTATAATTGTAGTTATAAATAACGCAACTGAGAGAACACCTAATTTCCCATCTTGTATTCAAGCTTTTCCGGTACAATTTCAACCGGTAATGGGAACTTGTCGTTTCTTTCAAATCCTCATGTCGTCTCAAATGTTAGCGATTCCTTTTCCGTAGACTGTAACTGTATCTCTACTAAATCTATTACTAGCACTAGCGCTAGCAAATAGCACTAGCTCTACAATAATGATCAATCGCTTTCTGTACATTTGCTTAGTTATGGATTGATTTCGTTAGGCTCTTCATAAGAAAAAAAAAAAGCAAAAAAATTCAACAACTAGGTCCTTACAGTCTCTGTGTCTTGGTCACTCTCATTACATGAAATTAATTACGTTCGGGGCCCCGCACGTAGTTAGCTGTCTGTCGTACTTCTCTAATTTCTTTTTCTTCTACCAACTACCAAACATAAACTACTGATATTGCAAATGGGTCTTATGCGAGGTAAAAGCTGGCTGTTATGGCTGCTTTCTTTCTCTTACTTCTTACAAATAAACAGTTATCAATCCAATCCTGAAGATGAAGATGAAGCGTTCCAACTGACTTTATTTTGTCAAGGCTTTAAAGTGCAATCAGACTCGTTGTTGTATGCCGCATTTAGTAGTTGGTGGGATGATGAAGATGGTGGACCAAAGGCGATTACCTTTTTCAATGCAAAGGATTGGGAGTGTGCTTTGGGTTCCTTAGACGAGAGGGAACCTTTTTCTGCATTTTTTTCACAGCTCCAGGTAAACCAACTTGATACTTCTATTCATATTCCTCCGGAAAAGCGAGAAGTGTGGTCAGGTCCATTTGAGTGTAACAAAACGTCGGTGATGAACTACATTATTTCGATCAATGAAACTCTTATAAATAGACACTTTCAGATAAATGACTCGGATGTTTATTGTATTGCTACAAGGCCATTGACAAGCTTGGGTTCTCGTGCTTGTGTTTCTGTTGGATATTTTTATGAAGATATCACTGGAGATCCCGGGTATGAACCCCATCCAGAGTTCGACTTTTTCCCAATAATTGTTACATTAATTACAATTCTCTTATTAATTCCAGCTTGTTTTTGGATCTACGCACTGCTGTCCCAACCAGCAAAAATACTGCCTATTCAATATGGGTTATTAATCCATGTTGTAAACATAGCGATTGGTATCATTATTAATATCTGTGATGAATATGCCTATTGTCATTTGAAATACCATATCGAAGTTTTTGTTCGTCGTTTACTCCTTATCCTTGCCTCTTTTGGTATTGGGGTCTGGCGGCCTGTAGAACCTAAATTTCTTTTGAGGGTTGTCGCTGGGTTGTCTTTTTTACTTTTCTTCCATATTGTTTCCAATGTGATTGATTTTGAACCTCTGCAATTTCTCGAAATATGGATAAATAATTCCGTTTCCAATGTTATTTGGTTGTCTTCAATTTATATGCTTTATAAAGAACAGGATCATTTCAATAATAAATCTGAACGCTCTGCGAAGGTTTGTAAGCATTCACTAATTTACTGCGTCGCTGTTTTTACTTTTTTTTATTGTACAAGCTCCTTTGATAAATTTTTCTGCTACTCTAGGAGAAGCTCCTTAGAGACTGATATTATATATTGGGTTATTCGTTATTTTATTGAAATCATTATTCCTTGCTATATCTGGTATCCCTCTCAAAATGAGCAGATTGCTTACAAAGAAAGTGTGGAACTTTAAAGTCCAAATCAGCTTTCTTTTGCTAATTTCAAGCATACTTAATAATGCGTCTATGGAAAAGATTCCATAATTGATAGACATAATATGCATTCGTTTTTTATTTCACGAATGATCTCATATTTCATAAAAATTTAATATTATTCTATTCATTTGTTTTGATTTCTATTGATGACTAGTTCAGAATAGCAAGACGGGGCTTCACTAGCAATGAAAAGTGTACAGTACATATACCATTATAATCCTCTGGAATACCTGAAACTTACTAGAGAAATCCAGGAAACCACATTACCAGCAACTTTTGCTTGATTCAAACTATTTTTGGTGCTTTCTTTGAGATCCCATGAACCCCTGCAGTGATCGGACGGGAACTGGTGTTTTCGCCTAGGTGTAGCCGGTGGACATTAGGCTCATACCCTCACAATATTTAAAACAATTTCTAGACTTGATTTAGACAAGTACTTGTTCAAATTGGTAATCTTACCTGTACGTTAAGAGTGAATAGCTCTTAAAACAAAAGAAAATAAAGTAGAATAAAGCACCAATTGTTGACTTAAAAAAAAATCAAATCGATTCTTTTCGTGGATAAAGTATACAAACCCGCTACAAAAAATTTTGCCCACACCAGGAATCGAACCTGGGTCGCATCGGCCACAACGATGAGTCTTAACCACTGGACCATGTGAGCTTGTTATACTAATTCAAACTATGTCTTATGTAACCATAAACTAGTTTAGTCTCAAATCATAGCGGTCAAGGTACATCGCAACATACAAGTAGAGAAAGGAATGTATGCTGAAAAGTGACTGCAAATTGATTCAATAAAACAAGAAATGGATCTTCAATATCCATATAAGAATACTCTTGTTTAGTTTTCTCAGCTTTTAGAATTCCTATTTACCAGGAAGATTTTTACGTTTCATTAATGAATTTTGTGATATCGATCGTTTTCGTTATTTGCTTTCTTACTCTAACCACCTGCAAGTTATTGCATTAGTAGCTACCGACAGCTGTTGGAAAGGCCTTTTCCTTCATTATTTTATTCTCATCTTCTTCTGTATGTCTCTATTTCATGTATTATAGTGGTGCTTCTTAAGGGAGCAGTCATTTTCAAAATCTTGGGAGTTTAAAGTTATTTTCACGCTCGTTTCTACAGTTCTTCCAATTTTTTTATTTTTATTTGGTCTTGTTTTGGTTCAATAGCTTTCTGTTTGAATTTCTTTACAGTTTTTCTTGAGGGCTGCTCTTGTTCGGTAGATGCCGTCGAAAGAATATGAGGTGGAAAAAGTCGTTGACGAAAAATTAGACCGGCATGGTAAGGTGAAACTTTATAGAATACGTTGGTTAAATTACTCTGCTCGAAGTGACACTTGGGAGCCTCCGGAAAACCTTTCTGGCTGTGCAGAAATTCTTGCTGAATGGGACCAGAAAAAGCGGAAGATCCAATTAGAAAAATTGGAAAAAACCGCAACACATAAAAAGGGTTTTAAGTCGCCACCTCGTCCTAAACTCAAACAACATCCATTACCTTTACGAAAAGAGGCTCGCTCTGACAATACAACTTCTGACCTCAAAAGTAAGAGGCTCTCAAAACCTTCTGTAAGCACCGCTCGTAAACGCGCTTCCTCTCTTTCATCAAATCAAGAAAAGCGGCATCGTCCCGAGACTAATCTTCGCTATATCAAAAATGATAACTCAGACAAGGAAAAGGAAACAACTAGCGAACCATCAGATACCAAAAAAGATATCTCGGATACATTGAATGAGCCTTTTACTCAACCCTTGCATACCACGTCGAACTTCACAGTAACTAATCAAGTTGGCCCTGTGAGACAAAATGCTTATAGTTATCTTTCTTTCTACGAAAAAAAGGAACTGTTTCGAGAACGTTTAAGAAACTTAGAAGGACCGGAGATCACTTTGGTGAATGAAGTAGATGATGAACCTTGCCCTTCTCTGTATTTTCAGTTTATCACAACATATCGGCTTACTGAAGGCGTTGTCCCTCCAGATCCGAATTTCCAATCCGGTTGCACCTGTTCTGCTGATGGTTGTAACCTAAACGATCCTTCGCGGTGCGAATGCTTGGATGATTTAGAAGAGCCAAAACAATTTGCTTATGATGCACAAGGAAGAGTTCGGCGCGATGCTCCGGCTGTTATTTATGAATGCAACTCCTTCTGCTGTTGTCCACTGAGCTGCCCTAATCGTGTAGTACAACGTGGTCGTACTCTTCCTTTAGAAATTTTCAAAACCAAGGGAAAAGGTTGGGGTGTTCGTTCTCTTCGATTTATTCCCTCTGGGACGTTCATTACTTGTTATCTGGGGGAAGTCATAACCTCTGAAGAGGCTGCCAAACGTGACAAAAATTATGATCAGGATGGTATTACTTATTTGTTTGACTTGGATATGTTTGAAGATTCGAGTGTTTATACGGTCGATGCACAAACTTACGGTGATGTCTCCCGGTTTTTTAATCATTCTTGTTCGCCTAATTTAGCTATTTATTCTGTAATACGTAATCATGGATTTAGAACTATATACGACCTTGCTTTCTTCGCCATTAAGGATATAAAACCTCTAGAGGAACTTACTTTTGATTATGCAGGAGTGCGAGATAACTCTTCACAGTCTTCACAACAATCTCAGCAAATGAGGTCTTCTAAAATACGAAGGAAGTGCAAATGTGGAGCTACCAATTGTCGTGGATGGCTATTTGGATAAGGTCTTGAGATTTTTACGTCTTTTACTTTCCCAAAGTTATAACGAATACTTTCAGGTATAGACATTTCTATTATAGTTTGCATCACGTTATCAAGTTAGTCAATAATTATATAGATTCCTTGTTGAAAACAAATAGATTGTACTATTTGTACGAATAAAAGCGACAGGAGAGAATGATGGCCGCTGCCATAAAATTATGTTACGAAATTATCGTGTTATTAAAATGGTTTAGGCAGCAATTTCAGGGACTACAGGTTCACGGCTGGGTTCCGGTGCTATGATGCTTTGAGTACTTTCCTCAGCAGGGACTGATCCATTGTGGTTCTCTGTCGTGGAGTTAGCTTCGTTAACTGTCTTCACTGCAGGAGTGCTTGTCGGAGTTGGTGGCTCTTCCGGTTTCACAGCAGCACTATCAGTACCAAGAGATACCACTTCTGCATCAGCGGGCTTATCATGCTTCTTTTTGTGCACGAATTCAGTAAGCTTGCGGGAAAGTGAAGTAGGTAAGTGCTCAAGTTTTGCCTTTGTATTTTCGAAGGGTTGAGTTGCCTTGCTTCCTTTTTCGGTCTGTACTGATTTTTCAGACTTAGCACTTTTCGGGGCTTTAGGAGTCTTCCATGACTTAGAGTATGCAAGCAAGCCATATCCCCGCTTCTTGTTAGGGCTTTCTTGAACAGCTTCATTGCTTTCTGGAACAGCTTGCTCCGTAGTTTCAGGTTGTTGAGTAAGGACATCTGAGGGAGCCTCTGTTGCTTCCTCTTGTGTCACACCATCGGCAGCATCGTTGTTAACTGTTTCTTCGGGCTTTTCTTCTTGGCTCTTTTCATGGTCTTTACCTTTCAAAAGATAATGGAAGAAATCAAATACGTTGTCTTTAGGGCTCGTAGGTTCGGGCTTTTCCGCAGCTTCAGAAGGAGTCTGTTCCTCTTTAGTAGATTTTCCTTTGAAGGATGGGAAAAGAGAGCGTAAAGTTTCCAAAGGGCTGGCTCCAGAATTGTTTGCAATTTTGTTCAGCTTAGTCAAAGTTTCACCATAGGTACTCGAATTTTCAAGTTCCTCCTTTATCTCTTGTCTCTGGGAAAGAATGACGTTTAGATCTTTGATCCAAGCATCTCGACTTTGAGTGTTTAAGGCCTCCAATGTTTCGGTTTTTCCATTTTCGAAAAATAGCAAAAACTTGTTACCATTACCGGCTTCCACTTTTTCGACATCCAACTAGAAATTTTGTTAATGGTTTCATTTAATTGGTAAAAGGAACTTACCAGAGAAATAATACCGCTTGGGACGCTAGTGCACTGAGACTTTGAGTAGAAAAGTAACCCCTTGCATCCTTCAACTGCTTTGGCAATTCTATCAACATATAAACTTTGCGAATTTAATGAAGATGACTCATTAGCTTGCTCAGAACTCAAAGAAGGATCATCTTCAGGTTGCTTGTTGAGAGAACCTTGGAAGTGCTTTTTGTAGTAATAATTAAGATATTCTAAAGGCATAGGGGAGTCCTTAATGAAAAAGTATCTTTTAATAACATGACTATATGTGTTAGGTAATTTTTCTTGTGGATTTTTTTTTATGACTCACGGAATAAGGCCATTCGAACGGCAGTACAAGTAGCCTCCGGAGAGGTACTCGCTGGGCGTTGTCTCAATGACCACAGGATTCTTTGCCTTCTTATTTCCTTCTTCGGCGGGAGTTTCTTTAGGCTTATTGTTTTCCTCCTCAACCTCTTCCTTTGCTTGTTCAGTTGTTGGTTCAGGTTCGTTTGCTGCTTGCTCAGTAGAAGCGGAAGGTTCAGTTACCTCCGATGGAATCTCCTTGGCCTGAGCAAATCCTGAATCGATTTCAGAATGTTGCTGCAAACTTTCAGTACTTGGCTGATCAACCTGTTCAGGTCGTGCTTCAGGGCTTTGAGTAGACATGCTACAGAATCAAACAAAGCGTTCAACGACTCAATCTTGGGCGAATTGAAAAAAGTTAGTGTTGGTTAAAGAAAGGATGAAACCACCCCTCATCCTCAGTTTGTGCATGCAATGTGCGGGTACAAAAACAAACAAACAAGGGGACAAAGAAATAAACAAACAAAAACAAACAAATTTTCGAAGAAACATAAAGCAAAGGTGTATAAACAGCTTATTTAAAATTAATAATCTCTGTGCTTTTTAATTCTCGTTTCTTTCATCTTTCAATCCATTTGGGATGCAGCCCCATATATGTAGGCTTTTTCCTTACAAGATGGATCGCTGGGGTAAAGCCGTCTTGGTTTTATAAACATAGGAGTTACTATCTTCTTTCTTACTATCATGTTTACAGTTGGTTTTGGTTTTCTTTCGTTTCATGTGCGTCCATTATGTGATGGTGAACTCTTGCATTTTACTAATATATCCCTCCCTTTTTTTTTTGTACGAATCAAATGTATTTAAATAAAATTCTTTCTATAAAGAAGACACGAAAGGTAGACGCTTAGTTACCATTGAAAAGGAACATGCTGAAATTGAAATATGCTTTTTTTACGTGATGAAAGCAAGGAACTGAAACATTCCTTTTTGAGCCCTCTTATTTATTTATACTTGATTTGATAGTGTAAACGAGTTTTTCTTCATTGCATTCGGTCAGTAGAACTTCGCTTTTTGTTACATACTGCATTTGTTCAAGAAAAACATGTCTGTGAATTGTCAGCTTTGGCGCTCAAGATAATACTTGATGGATAAGCAATGTTATAGGTTGTATAGCTTCCATTTTGCTTCTCCAGATTTCATTGCTTTTTAAAGTTTCTTATGTATCTCTTGATATCCTTCATTTTGTTAGAATATACGGGTTTTTCTTCTTGTTTGACAATTCTACTTGCATAAATAAAGTCCGATTACGAAACAGTTGTTTATGTTCTCTTATTTGAAGTTTCTACCAATCTGGTATTGTTTGTTTACTATTTACCGCTACATACAGAGCTCATAATAATGCATAATAAACTACAATAAGGTCGCGCGTATAGAAAAGGTAATATATCTTTATGATTTGTAAACATAAACAAAAAAAAATCCAAGGGAATGTTTCTATGAAAAAAGGAGACTGCATCGCGTTCTATGGAAACTAATAAAACAGTTTAAAAGACAAATATCTATTCTTAAATTTTATGGAAATTGGCGTATTTTGTATGGTCCCTAATCCTCACTTCGTAAGCTAATTCAAAGACCTTTGTATGGAAATCTTCCAAGTATCAGTAATATCTAATTTATTTCGTTTTCATTCTCAACTTTAAGTCTCTAACTCGACACTTTCCAAATGATTTTGTGAAGGATATTGCTTTTGTGTCGGACTATGACAGTTTCGTTTGCATCAAAACAAGTCAGTCTTAAAATTACACTTTTATCCTAAAAATACAAAAAGAATTGAAAAAATAAATAAGCAATCGTGAGAAAGAGAGGCATTTTAGCACACTCATTTGCTTTTATTTCACCATAGAAGAAGTAACACGCACAAGTAACAGAAAAAGAGCGAAGTATTTACGTTCTTTGACTGGTATAACTCATGCCAAAATCCATGAAACAATTAGAAGAGCAAATTGAGTATGAATGCACGCGTTCTATGGGCAAATGATTAACAAGAAACATTAGGAGGTTTAAAGAAGCTCTTTTTGAGGATTCTGATGGTAATTGCCAATTGACTTTGAAAGATTGACTAACACGCTCTTCTTTAGCCACTGATTCAGATTCTTCTATAGGAGAGTCATTAACAAATCGTGGATTGAAAAGAAAAAGTAATTCCAGGTCCGTCTATTATGGGTCTATGGGCAATTCGGTCGGTACTTCTGTCGACGTAGATGTAAGACAGTACAGGATTTGCAGCTTCAAAACAACTAACCTTTTTCTCTGATGAAGTACTACAGCATTGGAAATACAAAGCGTGGCGTTATTTCCCATTATCGACGACGCGCTGAACCAGAATGGTTAGACCACGATAATCCTTACCACGATGTAAATATGAACGGTAAGGACAAAGACTTTGTATCAAAGTGTATTCTAACCGTAATGCATAGAAACCATGGCTCCTTTGACCAATCCACAAAACATATTTACGCATCCTGGCATTGCATACATATTTGAACAGAATTATCTCAACATCTTAGCTGCTTCAGCGCATGAAAGTATTTCTTCAGAACATAAGTATGCTGCTCAACTTCAGCAGTTACTGTCAGTTTTGCTGGGTGACGACCCATCTCTCACACAAGCGCCTCATGAGGTGTTTGGGATCACTCCGGAGCAATGTAAAGAGCTTAGCGGGACTGTACAGAAAGCTCTTGAAAAAAGCAGGGAATTCATTCGGTGTTGGTCAAATGTACGGATGGATTTACTACGCGCGATTCGCTTTAAAGACAAAGTTTTGACTTATTGCCAAGGAGAAAATTATGATGGTATGGTGAATCATGAGGACAAAGATGCTCAAAAAAACGAATAATTTTCACCAAAAAGATGTTATTGTTGCTTCTATAATGTATTTCTGATTACAGGAAACAGTGCCTTTTTTATATGTATACCTTTTTTGTACATTAATTGTCTCATTTAATGGATTATCGAGTTCTTATGTTTTCTATCTTAAAACAAGCTGTTTATATATTTTTTTGTTGATTTGGGGATTAGAGGAAATGAAAATCACCGGACTAGGAAATTCTTTTCATAAAACACGCAAGTATACTTAAATTATGATGAAACCGCTACTCTGAATGATAGAATCTGGTCTACTATGAATCACTCAAAAGTCTTAATTAATAAACCCTCAAGTTTCAGCGTGCATTTTTTTCCCTTATGATGAAAATATGAAGGAAATTATCTAGTGGAAACAAATGAATATATATATAAGCTTAGTTGGCCATGAAGCAAAGGTCATTTACGCTGCCAAAATGCCGTTCTCGTAATGTTTATTAATATATGCTGTGATGAGATTATACTTTTTTATTTTCCTAAAGGGCTATTGCAAGAAGGCCGTCGTCAAACAACTTTCTGAATCCGGAGATCATCGTCCTTATTTGTCCTCTTTTCATTAAAAATTTCACCAAGATATGGACTGCTACTTCACTGCCCAGTGGCTACGAATTATTTCGCGAAAAACCGACACCAGGTTGTTTGTTACTTTATAAAGATCTAAGATATAGATTTCTGCGGTGATAGATTCAGTGAAAGATTGATCAAGCGTGTGATCATCAGAAGCTTATTGACCTCTGACTTTGTATAAAATGGTTTCCATTGGACCCTTGTTCCTTTAATTCTTTGAAACTTTTTACTCTCGTTTAAACGGGTTTTTTATTCACTTTGCAGCCCTTATAACCAGTCCTATTTAATCAAGCGAGTTAATTCCAGCTACTACCAATCTTTACACTCTATCGCTGAGCATCCTTATATTCCTTATTGCATCTTCTTAATCACCAAGTCAAATCAGTTTGACTGTCACCTATTTAACCTACTCAGACACTAGATCTTATTTTTTTTGTTTTTCTTTCTACACAATACTATTGAAGCAAAAATGCCTGAAGACGTTAAACGTTGCGTTCTTGCCTACTCTGGCGGCTTGGATACCTCTTGTATTCTTGCCTGGCTTATTGAACAAGGATGGGAGGTGATTTGCTACATGGCTAACGTTGGTCAAGAAGAAGATTGGGAAACAGCCCGTCAAAAGGCTTTAGGTGTGGGAGCCAAGAAGGTTTACATTGAAGACTTACGTGATGAATTTATCCATGACACTGTCCTTCCTGCCGCAAAGTGCAACGCTATCTATGAAAACGTCTACCTTTTGGGCACATCTCTTGCACGCCCTATCATTGCCCGTCGTCAAATCCAGATTGCTGAGAAAGAAAACTGCATTGCTGTCTCTCACGGCTGCACTGGTAAAGGCAACGATCAAGTTCGTTTTGAGCTTGCCTACTACGCTTTGAAGCCCGATATTGAAGTTATCGCTCCCTGGCGTCTCCCCGTTTTCTTTGATCGTTTTGCTGGACGTACTGATTTGTTGAACTATGCTGCTGAGAAGGGCATCCCTGTTACTCAAACTACTAAGAAACCATGGTCAATGGACGAAAACATCGTTCATTGCTCCTATGAAGCTGGTATTCTTGAAGATCCCAGTCTTGCTCCTCCCGCTGACATGTGGACCCTCACTGTTGATCCTAAGGACGCTCCTGATGAGGAGGAGGAACTCGCTGTTCATTTCGAAAAGGGTAATCCCTGTAAGTTAGAATGCAAGGACGGTGTCTTTTCCGACGTTGTTAAAATCTTCCATCAATTAAATACCATTGCTCGCCGCAATGGCGTTGGCCGTATCGACATCGTCGAAAACCGTTTTTCTGGCTTGAAGAGCCGTGGCTGTTATGAAACCCCTGGCTTGACCATTCTTCGTTCCGCCCACATGGATTTGGAAGGGTTGACCATGGAACGTGAAGTCCGTGCTTTGCGTGACCAATTCGTTACTTTCAACCTTTCCAAGATTCTCTACAACGGTCAATACTTCTCTCCCTGCACTCGTATGCTTTTAGCTGCCAATGACGTTTCTCAAGAAGTTGTTAATGGTGTTGTTAAGCTTGCCGTCTACAAGGGTAATGTCAGCGTCCGTGGACGTAAGTCTGATACCGCTCGTCTTTACGACGAGAAGCTTGCTTCTATGGATGAACTTGGTGGTTTTGATCCTACCTGGACTTCTGGTTTCATTCAAATCGAATCTATTCGCTTACGCAACTCTGATGAAGGCAAGTACTGGCTCTAAACGTTTTTCTATATAATTATTCGTAGTTTTAATACCGAATAGAATTACTGTTTTTGCGTAAACGAAATTCATGTATTTTGTAGATGATCTTAACCAGTATAAAACATGTAAAAGCAAAGACGATACAATATAGATATTTTAAACTAAGGGAACATTGTTAAAGACAACTTTGAGCCTAGGCGCTTTCGGTTGGAGAAGGGTGGGATTCTTTTTATTCTTTTTTTGGTTCATTAATTTCAAGGCTTCCGGGCTGTATGACGCCGAACAGAACCTGACAATTATACTTACAATCGAAAATTTTTTAAGGATGCAAAGAAGAAAATAATATCGATGAGCTGCCTGTAAGACTGTTCGTAACAATAAGTCTCATAGGCAGTGTTGAAGAATTATTGACTATTCAGGAACCAGTAGACACCGAGACAAACCATTAGCAACAAAAAGGAGATAGTAGCTAATGTTTTGAAAAGTGCTAATGCAATTCGAGTAGCTCTGTTAACTATGACCAAGGACATGTATAGAATGAGAATGAGTGTTAAAATATTGATTACAGATGGAAGCGAAAAAGGTTGTTTCCTTCTGTACAGAGACTTGAAAAATGAAGATTCATATTGCTCAATATTCTTACCGACCTGCTCTACTTTTTGCAATACTTGATCTGGTTCGGCGGTCAAACCATAGTCAATCATATACTTGGCAATAAGTCCCCAAAATGCTTGAGTTAGAGACATTTTTAGTTTCAAAATGAAAGGAAGAAATGATTTTAGACGAAGAAATTCAGAATAATCAAGCTGCTCCTGAGTCTTCAGTGGAGGTATGTTTTGAGGTACGATCAAGTACTAATGAAGTGAAAACAAACAGCATTATTGGAATTTATAATTGTGAAGGAATTGACAGTTCAATAGAATTAGATTACATTCTTCAAGACGAATACCTTTTCGTAAAGCTGTTTTGTCTCAGTATTTAGGGTACCTAACTATGAATACTATCCTTTCAAGCACAAGTTAAGGGCAAAAAAACCACATAAAAGAATATCGTAATCTTTCTTTTACGTTTTTTCTATTAATTTAAGGAGATAATGACACAGAACGAAAATATCTTTTTGCATGTGTTTCATTCAAGCAAAAGCAAAAAGCATTCCACTAGAGGTAAGCTATGCTAAGTGTTATCTATTTTGCTTAGACAAGTGCAAGACTTGATTGTAAACATAAGGATTGTTCATTTCACCTGTAAGCTTTTCCAAGGCTTGTCGCTCTTAATTCCAATCTGTGTTAACGAAGGATCCAAACAAGTCAATGAAAATCTTCATTGAGATGGTATTGATGTTGTCTCAAGTCAAAGCTTTGATTCGCTCATAATAAACAGACTAAACGATTCTTTCAAAGAGTCGTAGCATAGGATTTTTTGCTCAAAAAGCAATAAAGAAAGCTGCTTTCCTACTATTTTCGTTTTTTGTCTGTGTTAACAAAGCTTTTCCTTTTGCTATCTTTAAACATCTGGTAGTTGCTCAAAAAACAAATCTTAGGAGATCAGAGGTTCTAGAAAACGGTACTCAAGAAAGCTCTGCTGGACATCTAGAGAAACAACATCTGCATACATTGGTAACGTTGAACTCTACTTGACTATACCCAAGATTTGTAAGCTGAATTTCACTTGCAACTTTCATACTTCTGACATCTCTTCTGTGTTCTTCGTAAAACTTGCTCATGAGAAAACTTTCCCTGTTGGATATTCTTTTTCCGATAAGACTGAAAAAAAAAATTTATTGGTTATCTTCCAATTGTACTTTCATGAGGTCAAAGGATTCTCTAGAGTAACTGAAGTAACCGAAGTCTTCAGGCTTGCGTTCAATATTGGAGTTGGCCGGTGTTTTCGAGACGGGGTGATACGGTGGACCCAGTTCGTTTTTGCTTGGTTGATACTTTCAACTTGTTATTGGGGTGTCTACACAGATTTGAAACGCTCTAATTTGTTATCAGATGGGAAACAACATTTCAGCAAACCCGGCTAGCTGAAGTAGTTCTTAGCTCAATCGAAACACGCAACAAGGGCTCTTCTATCAAGGTAGATAATTCTCTCATACTTTCTGCATGGAATTATTATGACTTGAATTGGGCTTAAACACCCAATCCTGTTTTCACTTACCGAATTCATGACACATCAGGTGAAAAAGATTCATAAGGAGAGAATTTTCCTTATAAAATGACAAATAAAACTGACTCAAACGGCGAAAAATCCTTCAAATTAGATCGAAAGAAAAGTGTTTACATGTGTTACCTAAGCATATCGTTACTGCTAGCCCTTGGATGAAGATAAACAAATAAAAAGAAAATATCTTTTTACCAAGCAAAAGAATCAATCACTGAAAATGGAAAGGGTGTACTAGAAGAGACTTCATCTTATGGTAGATTGCTTTTTCGGATGGCTCATTATCCTTTTCTCGTCTTCCATTCGAGGTCTACTCCTTTCGTCTGGAATGTGTTTCATAAATACGAATTGCTGCTGAATGTCTTTTTATAAATTGGATGAAAACGAGATACTTCCATTCCATTAAGTTTTTATACCTTGCAGTCGTAAAGGCTATCCTATCTGAAAGATCCTATAATTCTTTTTTTTTTTTTTTTTTTTTTTTGGTAATGAGCAATCAAGTTGTTCTTAACATAGACAAGCTCATCTTTGAGGATTCTTTTCTATTTATTGAATCCATTTTCGATATTTTCACTGCTTTTCTTTATTTATTCCTTTATTTTCTTTTCCTTGATAACAAAGGATGGTTACTTCAAAAGTGACATTTCCATCCGTCATTGTCAGGATAATGTTTATGGTCTCTTTCTGTTGATCTCGAATGTGAAAAGAAAGTACTTTGAAAATGGAAGCCTCTTGCATCGAAAGGAATGTGTCCTCTCGACAACGTATCAGGGATCTATTCGAAGAGTTAGAAATCACAGATAATTTTGCTAAATATTTTGATTGGCACCTAAATGTCGTGTGTGGTTAGTTATAGACCGCAATAAGACAGGTAAAAGAGTTTATCCTTTAACTATTAACCTATCTAGCGACAAAGAACATAATACATCAAATAAATAGTCAATATGATAATGGGGATGTGATATGGATGATATTTATTCAGACGCTGGTCTCTGCAGTGTCAACAAACACCCACTTATTAACTTTGATAGGGCAGAACGTGACGAAGAATCAGCTTGAGGATGTGTATAATTAATACCTTCATTCCAAGCCATTGGTAGATCACATGAAGAATGCTTTCAGTTCACATCAAGTACACTGAATACTACCAAATGGATGAGCCCAGTAGAGAGCTAAATGTGAACACATATGGGAATTTCAGTAACGCCAAATTAACTCTAGGTCCACAGAAGAGGACGGAGAACTGCCTCAATAAGCAGATGAGATCAGATGAGATACGAGGGCACACAATTTGCGATTGTGACAAGGTATTGGGACAATCTTTTGCATACAATTGAAAAGGCAAGAGTTATACTTACCTCATTACCTGTTTCTGTAACTGCATTCGGGATGCATATCACCGACTTGTGCAGGGAATCGTGACAAACCCAGCAATTACCGTCATAAGAGGATACTTCGATAATAGAATCAATACTACAATTCAATTCAGTAATTGTGTTTTAGCGAAGCTGATATTCATAAGCATAAGGGGTCGTCGCTAAATATGCAAGTAAACAAACATTAAAAAGCGAGATACTGAAATTCTGAATACGAGGTCGGAACAGATTACGAATGCTGGTTTAGAGAGAGGATATAGACCATCATTTTACAGTTACGATCTTCAGACTGGAAGACTAGACTGGTCTGCCTAAAATAGACTGTCTTTCAAGCGTTTCATCCAATTAATCGTGTCCCTGGACATTACTAGCATCTATACACATAGTGCAACCAAGTCCAATTCACGAAAAAAAGTCAACTAACAAATCGCATATGCGAAAAGTTCTACTGGAAAGGTATGACCGCAACAAACGTTCAGAAATATATAAACGATTGTCATATATATGCCGACGATGTACACCAAAAAAAACCATCAACGACATAAAGATGAACGATACCAGTAATCGATAAACCTGGTAATCATCAAGATACAAGGAATTGGACGCAAACCATCCAAGTCGCCAGTCTCATTATTGCTTTCATATGGGATACTTCTTCGAGCTAAGATTTTCGTTATATAACATGGATTCCTCGTGATACGTTCTTTTTTCCTATATTTATTTATTAAAGTAGTGAGCGCTTTCAATCATTTGGTACACCCATATAAGACATTACAGGGAATCCTCTTTATCACATCTGGTATGATGATTCCAATACTGCTCTTTGCTTTTTTCACCATCTACACCGAAGATAAAAAAGCCTACAACAAAAGAATAAGAAAAGAGCTTTACGCCCTCGTTCCATCTCCCTCCATCTACCAACTTCAACTTCAGCTCAACTAAACTAAACTCAACGACCAAAAAGCAGGTAGAAATCTATTTCTAGTTGTCATTTTACTACGAGCCTTATAGACACAGCTCAAATAGAAATATCCTTCCTTTTTTTTTTATATAAAATGAACGCTTCTTTTCTTGCCAGCCGGACTTTAAAGTGCGCAGGAAATGTCCGGATGGTTTTCCCTAGAAATTTTCACTTGCGTCTACCACGCACCACACAATTATCGAAATTGAGCACCTCTTCTCAAATCCGCAAGATGAGCTCTTCTTCTGCTGCCGGTTCTTCTCCTAAACCGTTGGATGCTTCCAATATTATTTTCAAAAAGGCTGAACAGCTCAAGCCTTTGCCCGACTGGAAAACATTGAAGTTCGGCAAGGAATTTACTGACCATATGATGATCATGAAGTGGAACAAACAAACTGGATGGGGTACTCCTGAAATTGTTCCTATGCAGGATCTTAGCTTCCATCCCGCTACCTCTGTCTTCCATTATGGTTTCGAATGCTTCGAGGGCATGAAGGCTTACAAGGACGAGAAGGGTGTCGCCCGACTTTTCCGTCCCAACAAGAACGCTGAGCGTATGTTGTCTACTGGTACTAGAATCTCTCTTCCCGCTTTCGATCCCAACGAGTTGAGCGAGGCTATTCGTAAATTCGTTGCTACCGAGAGTCGCTGGGTCCCTAACGAACGCGGCTTCTCACTTTACCTTCGTCCCACCTTTATTGGTACCGACGCTGCCCTTGGCGTTCACGACTGCGAAAACGCTATGCTCTATGTCATTGCTTCTCCCGTCGGTCCTTACTACAGTTCCGGCTTTAAGGCCATCCGTCTTTGCTGCTCTGAAGGCGCTGTTCGCGCTTGGCCCGGTGGTACTGGTCAGTACAAGCTTGGCGGTAACTATGCTCCTAGCGTTTTGCCTGCTGCTGAAGCTGCCAGGAAGGGTTTCGCTCAAATCCTCTGGTTATACGGTGAGGAGGACTATGTCACTGAAGTCGGTACTATGAACTGCTTCACCGTCTGGATCAACAAGAATGGTGAAAAGGAACTTATTACCGCTCCTCTTGACGGTATGATTTTGCCTGGTGTCACCCGTGATTCCATTTTGGAAATTGCCCGTGAGCGCCTTGTTCCCCAAGGCTGGAAGGTCACTGAAGGCAAGTATTCCATGAAGGAGGTTGCTGAAGCTTCTAAGGAGGGTCGTCTTTTGGAAGTCTTTGGTGCTGGTACCGCTGCTTTGGTTTCTCCTGTCAAGGCCATCAACTACAAGGGTACCGAAATAAATGTGCCTTTGCCTGAAGGTCAAGAAGCCGGCCCCATCACAACCCAAGTCAGCAACTGGATCCTTGACATCCAATATGGCAAGGTCCCTAATCACCCTTGGAGTATTCCTGCCACCAACTAAGAAGCTCTGTAATCCATCCCCTGTTTGATTAACCCTGTTTTCTGTTTTATAGGCAACCATGTTGTTAAGGTATTCCTGAATTCATTTTGGGTCGATAAAGACATGATAAGACCTCATTCATTGATATCGACATAGTATTATTTAACTCTTGTTTTATAGTTTTTTTAAGAAAAGAAAAAGTCTGAATAGATTGCATTTCGTATTTGTGTGCGTGCTGTAGCATAATAAGAATTATGGAAGCATGGATTTAGATAATGTTGTAAAAGATAGTTATATTTAGCTACAAGTTTGCTGTAGCATTAGCAACTATACATTTAATTCCTTTATTATTACTATTCTATTTTAGCTGTTTTCGATCTTTTCAATAGCGTTCAAATGGAAAACTTCCAGCCCAAATTTGAATAATAGACAAGTGAATAAGTTTTTATCGAAAAGACAAGTTCATATTTGCTTTTACTTGTACCCTATATTGTAAAAATATCCTTGGAACTTGATTCCATTACTAACCCATCCTGGTCACAATGTACTTTCTACCAGCATCACATTAGAAAAGAGTTTGGCTCAAATTGAACATGTCTCAACATGTATCAAACGATGTTTCTACGTTTTCTATTAGTCGTGGAAACAATGATTTAAGCGTATGAAATTGAAAACTCCTATTTCGCTCCGGATAGAAAACGAAGAGTTACTAACTTGAGTAGCGTTCCAGTTTTCAAGAACTGATGCAAATGGAGAAAGATGATCCAGAGGTTTGTTAAATCTCAAAGCTCTTTTTTTTTAACGTGTGTATAGATGAACAATGATGTCGTGTTTTTGGGACCAAATGGTATGGGTGAATTGAGCAGCTTACCAAAAACTAACAACTGAAGAGACACCAGTCATTCTTGAACTTGGAGATGAATTTGAATCATTCGCAAATTTATTCATTACAAAAAGGGACGATTTATTCTCCAGTGATGGATTGTTGACAAGCTTCTATAAATTTTGTGAAGAAAAGTATGTTCAATCTTCGTCACGCTGTTCAGTCTAACAATTTCGAAGATATATAAAAGCTTGCAAAGAAGAAGATGAGGAATTGATCAGTCATTGGGGTTTGGAACTACGAACTTGGGATTTGATACAGAGACTCTATTCGTATGTTTTTCATCATATCAGTAACGTTCTTTCGAGATTACTAATACTCTAATGAAGGTTTCGAAAGTCAAAGCGAGACGAAACTATTTCTTCTCACATGTTTTCTTCAATAGCTGTTTTGGAAGAAGAGTTCTACTCCAAGAACCCCGCTGCATTCGAAAATCATGTATGTAAAATAATAACTTCGAATGGTATCTAATAATTACAGTTGGTATTCAATTGGTTACGTGACAGTCCTGTAGAAGAGCCTGACATTGAAATCCGTGGTAATCGTTGGTTTTATACTCGTGAAAATATTAAGAAAAATACACGAACAAATTCCAAATTCTCTATCGAAAAGAAAGATGAGTCAAATGTTCCAAATTTGGATCCAGATGCTGACATTCGTGATGAGCGACGCCTTGACGAAAGAGACGACAGCTATGATCGTCAATTTATTCGCGTTGCCTTCTCGCTTTATCGGGCTGGGGATTTTGAAGGACTTTTGGATTTGTGTAGAAAAAGCGGAAATTTCTGGCGCTCGGCTTCCTTACAAGGTGCTTTCGAATATCGTAACAGTGTAATAGATGATGCTCTGCAATCCGAAACATTAGGTAATAAAAGGAAAGAGCTTTGGAGACGTACATGCTTCGCTTTAACAAAAAATAAGCGTACCGACGCTTATGAACGTGCTCTGTATGGCGCTCTCTGTGGTGATTTAGAATCCGTTCTGAATGTTTGCACATCATGGGAGGACGCTCTATGGGCATATTATAACAGCATGAATCAGTATCATTTAGACGTGTATCTTTCCGATAAAGTTCCCCAACCAGATACTCACCTCCCACCTATTGATAGCGGAATAGGTTTAAGCCCAGAAAGTATTTTTGAAGCTTTGGATCAATATCCATCAGAAGAAATCCGAAAATCAGCGGCTCATCCTCTAAGGCGACTACAGGCGTATACTATTTTGAACCAAACTGATAGACTATATACATTGGCTCACGAACAGCTAGAGGCTGTGCGAGCTGGAAACGTAGAAGGCATTTTGGAATTTACTAGCCCCTCTAGTCTTCGAATTCTGGTTCATCAGCTTCTTTTTCTGCAAGTTGCTGGCATTCATGTCGACGCTTACATTTCCGATTCTATAATCCAATCTTATATTGAGCTGCTAGCCAGTGCAAAAAAGAATTCCTTGGTTCCCCTGTACATTCCTTTCCTTTCCGATCATGTTCAGTATGAAACCTACGCTCGCTTTTTGAGTTTTATAGGAGATGAGAGGTCGCGTCTTGAGCAGCTTAAACTCGCGAAAAAGTATAAGTTAGACATCGATAGAGCAGCTTTAATGAGTGTTTCACTTGCTTACAACGAATTCGCTACCGGTGTTGAACAATTACGTGAAATTGATTTGAAATCACTAGAAGATCCGGTACCATTGGTTTATACGAAGTTTATATCCACCCTAGAATGGTTGATAGTAACATGCCAATCCGACGATTTGTTAATTTACGCGAATTACGCTTTCCGATTTTTTTTGTCTAGGGGAGAATTGAATTCTGCATATTTATTGTACACACGCCTTCCAGCAGAAACTCTCGACGTTTTAGCCTCAGGTGAAATATCTGCTGATAAAGATTCAAAAGTTCGAACAGCCTATGAATTCATGAATTATCGCGCACTGTGCCGAGCCTTTCAAGTGCATGAAGAATGGAAAAAATTAATGAATGAACCAATTTTGAATGATACCTCTATGACAAAAGCTAGTGGTGCATACAAAGAATGGAAAAAGTCTCTTACACTTACTTCACGCAGATGTATAAAACTATTTAATGAGCTTCTTCAAGCGAGATTCCTTCATCCATCGACTATGGAGATAAATGAAGACGAGGAAAAAGAACTTTCTAATGAATTGTATCGCATTCGGAACATATATATCCCTGAAATTATCTTAAATCTTCACAATGTCTATTTTCATAATGAAGATTATAATGGTTGCTTTGCTCTCGCAAATGAGGTTGCGGGAGAGGATTTAAAGCTCTATCACTGTCTTCTTGAAAGTGGAAGAATTGAAGAGTATGCAGCTGGTTTGGGTATTGTAGGAGAATACAGTCTTACTTCTCCTGAGGGAATTTTCAGCATTTAAGTCTTTACAAAAGCAAAATTCGAAAATATATCCTTTTGTTTAAACCCTTTTTTGTAAGATCTGTTTTGTGGGTTTTAGTGAATCATTTTCGAGAATCTCCTAGAGAAGTAGTTTCATTTGAAGTTGCAGCTACATAAGCCTTTTCTTTTACTCTAACTGCCATTACTATTCTTCAATTCATTCTCGTCATTATTGTGTTGTATTACTAGCACCATCATCAAAAGCCCTAGGTCTACTAAACAAAAAATATTCAAGCTCCTAGATAAGTAACAACATAGAAAGGAATTTGTTACATTTTCCTGTCTTGGACTTTAAGCATTGGCGACTATGTAGAAATGAATTTCTGGCAAAATACCAGAAATCGTTACTCATAAAAGAAATTATCAGCTGTAAAATTGCTTCTATTAGGTACAGAATTTCATCAAAGCCATATAAACGTTCAGAAAAAAAAAGTCTTGACATTGAAAGGAATTCAAATTTCCCGGCTCTTAATCGTCCCTACACAAAACAAACATTAACATTGTAAAGACCTATATAATGCCAACTATGGAAGAAAAAGATAGTAAACAAAGGAATCTAAAAAAACAAGGTACCATTAATGAAAAAGGCATTAGCAAATCACACAGGGAAACGAAGAGTCAGCATTCAACTGGACTAGAGGATCTCAATGACCTTGCAAGAAATTTACCGAATTTGACATCGAAACCATCAAGTCCTTCAAAAACTAAGCATTCCTCTAATTTTCGCGCCTTACAAAGTTTAGGGAAACAACAAATAGATGTGGATTCAACAAAGGATGATTTACCTACAATATCACCAGAGAAAATAGATGCCATCTTCTCTCCGAAACCGAAAACAACTAAAGGGAAAGCAATAAATTCACCAATGAAGGAGCCTCCTCGACCAAAAACTCCAAACACTGGCAAAGAACAATGGGATTTGGACCCTTTTGCTCCTATTCCAGTGAAATCTTCCGCATGGAAGTCTCCTTACAAACAGAATATCACTAAAATAAGCAAGCCACCTTTAAACAAACCTACTAGTGATGCTTTCGTCATTAAGACACCAAAAAATGACGCACCTACATGGTTAAATACGCCAGTTCAACCAAGGACTCCTAGTTCTTCAGCGTCTACGTCTCCGCGTAAAAATTATAGCTCACCCAAGCTTTCTTCACACGAGTTTGTTGATCCTATAAAGACTCAGGAAACTTTGAAAGATCTTTTTGCAGGATCATTCGTAGATAAGGCGACCATTGATTCGGAATCTGGACACAACGGGGAGTTTTCTATCAAAGGATTGAAGCTGTCTTTACTACCTCACCAGGTTCAAGGCCTTCGCTGGCTACAGCGAAGGGAGAACACTGACAATGATGAGGTGCAAAACACTGCTTCAAAAGTAAGTTATATTGTATTATTGGAAGATGCTAATTTTTTAAGGAGAAAAAAATAAAGGAAGAATTTAAACCATATGGTGGTATCCTTGCAGATGATGTATGAAGAACTTTGTTTATTAAATGCTAATCATAAAGATGGGTCTAGGAAAAACTATACAGACAATTTCGTTAATTATATCTCATCCATATCAAGGTAAATCTTTAGAGACCAAGGATGAAGTTAATAAGTCTCTTATTCCATGTCATTCAACTTTGGTGATTGCTCCTTTAAGTTTGATAAAACAATGGGAAGGCGAGGTTCATAGTAAAAGCAATTTAAAAGCTTTGGTTTTTCACGGTGCAAACAGAAAGAAAGAATTAAATCATGTACATGATTATGATGTGGTCATCACAACTTACCAGACCCTCGTTTCAGAATATGCACCCGATAAAAAAGAAGAGAACTCCAAAGAAACATTGAGCTTATTTTCTTTCTTTTGGTGGAGAGTTATCCTTGACGAAGCTCATACAATCAAGAATAAGGCATCAAAAACTGCTGTATCGTGTTGTTCCTTAATGAGTATTAACCGTTGGTGTCTTACTGGAACACCCTTACAAAACAATTTAGATGAGCTTTTCTCGTTAATTAAGTTTCTGAGAATACAACCTTTGAATGACGCAGCTACATGGAAAGATCAAATCACTCGTCCGGTTAGCCAAGGGAAAGGGCAATTGGCTGTTGAACGCTTACGTGCCTTTCTTTCCGTCATTATGTTGCGAAGGACAAAAAGCATACTCCAACAATCAGCTGGAAAGTTAGGAGACGGTGGGCTAATGAATTTACCAAAACGGATTGTTGAGAAAGTGAGTTGCCAATTCAGCGAACGTGAAAAGGAGTTTTATTACTCTCTGGAAAAGAAAAGTGAAACTACAATGTCAGAATTCATAAAGATGGACGAAGTTAACAGGAATTATACAAATATTCTCTGTTTACTTCTCCGTTTACGACAAGCTTGCAATCATCCAAAGCTTATTAGCACACATTTACAGAATGATGCCGATGCTCTTTCTATTTCCACTATGAAAATGAATGGTAAGGACCCTCTTCCTGATCAAGCCGTGGACGATGTTGCCGCTATGCTTGAAGGGATTGAAATTGGTCACAAAAGTAAAGTTCGATGCGAAATATGTTATACGGTACTTCCACAGAGTTCGAGTACTTCAATTTGCAAAAACTGCCTATCTAACATACGAAAGCTTTCTGCTGATCCATCAGAAGTAGCAATGGATCGGGAACTGTACCTGTCGTCCAAAGTAAAAAAGATTCTTTGTATTTTGAAGGGAGAAGGACAACATGAAAAAGAAGGGAAATCTATACCAACCGGAAAGACTATCATTTTCTCTCAATTTACAACCTTCCTTGATATCCTTGAACCGCACTTAGTTGCTGCGAAAACCAAGTTTGTTCGTTACGATGGAAAAATGGCTAACCCTGCTCGTGAGGAATCGTTGCGAATACTAAGAGATGACAACGACGTGCGCGTTTTATTGTGCTCTTTAAAGTGTGGAGCACTTGGCTTGAATTTAACTTGCGCTAGTCGTGTAATTCTCTCAGATGTATGGTGGAATCCAGCGATTGAGGATCAGGCTATCGATCGGGTTCATAGAATTGGGCAAACAAAGGATGTATTCGTATACAAACTGGTTGTAGCTAACAGCATCGAAGAGAGAATCGTCGCTTTGCAAGAAGAAAAGCGACTGATTGCAAAAGGCGCTTTGGGAGACAGCAAACTAAAAGTAAAATCAGGAAAATTAACGATTAGCGATCTTTTGTATCTTTTCCATAAACAAGCTGAAGCTGGACTCTAGTTAAAATTAGCTCGGAATACTGACATATGACTAATGATGCTTGAATTGACGAAGGTGAAGCTTTATTTTTGCTATGACTGTTAATTAAATATATTACCCGGAAAAGAACGGATTGGGTTACGAATTGAAAGAGCAATATTTATAACATCATAAATTGTAAATGAATCATATGTTATATCGTCAAAAAGCAACCAGGAAGTAGTGAAGTTTTTCTAATTGGATGACCAAGTCTTATAGAGACCCATTATGCTTGTGGTAATGCCGGTCATAGCTACAAAACCATCATCCAACTTTAAGACATCCAACTCAGCCAAAGGAATTACAGCATCCAAAGCATTTTGGATGGCGAAATAGACAATCTCGTTTTTTTCCCTAGATAAGTGTTAGTGGAAAGGAAAAGGTGAATAAACCATACCTAATTAAAGATTCAATTGATGCTTCATTTTTAGTTTTACCGGATTCGGATGCCTGAATTGATTTCAATTGTTCGGAAATCTTTTGGTAATTATATACCCCTGCGAAGCATGAGGAAAGTAAAGCAGCGGCTAAAAATTGCTTGCTCAAGGTAGAGACGCGCTTAGACTTGGGACAGTCGATTAATCTTGCCTTTTGCAACCAACCGACCAATTCCATTGCGGAATAACCAGTAAAAGCAATATCTCTAGTCAGTTGGATGGAAGGAAGTGCTGCTTCAGAAGATGAAAGTGGATTTTGTATTTGAAGGCTGCCAAAATAAGACTTTGAAAGATAATCAAATACCTTGCCAATACTGAAGAGTTTTCTAGCAAAGGAAATTTGAGATTCCAAAGTATCCCACTTGTTCACGCTTTCCAAAGAGCTTCCGTTATAGTACAGACGCCAAGCCAAAAGCTTTGCAACAAACTGCAAGGTTCTAAAAGACTAGACAGCAATGTTAGCAAGAATTTGGTGCAAAAGAGAATGTCGAATTTGTTGTTGGATAGTAGGATCGCTCAGCCATTATAGCAAATTATTTTTTCTTTAATCCGAGAAAGTCGATTGGATATAGAGGGACATATTTGTATCCAAAAATGTAATACTCTTGGTTTTGCTGTATACAGCAAAGCATAGCCAAACGAAGTGAAGTGTCCTTTTTCTATACAATTGAATAATCATTACCTTGTCTCTAGCAGACATAGAATTCAGCATCTGAACGGCATAGTTAGTACCTTTACTGAAGTTTCTATATTTGATAGTTTCATACGCGCAAAACATGTGCATATTGAGCTGTCTCAAATATAACCGCCATTTTTTCTAATGAATTGAGTCGTGATACAAAGAATTAAGTAAAGTCGCCTGAATTTGCTGTTGTATGCAATCCGCAAAATATAGAGCGTTGAAGAAAATATGATATTCTAAGCTTATATGATAATGATAAAAACTCGTAAGTATTTAGTATTATTTGTTATAAAATGATCCATAAGATATTTATTTGAAATAAAAACAAGACAGGAATCGGAAAACCTACTAACTGTGGAAACAGGATGAATGACAATTTATCATGATCAATGTAAATAAACCGAGTTAAAAGTTACTAGGAAGTTAATTTTAATGGGATTTTATTAGTTCCAATTTCATTAAAGCTATGTATTAAGAAGACATTAGACTACGAGAAATGACAGTTGAATAAAAAAGTCGCAGGAAGGATGAGTAACTCCCAAAAAGAAAGTATGGATGAACCATATATGCAAGATTAATCTTCATACTCATCCATTATTGTATTATGGGCTTCAATAAAGCGTTCAACATATTCATCTCCTTTTGCCAAAAATGTTATTCGAACATGATACTCATTTTCTCTTTGGCCAAGTCCACTTCCTGGAACTAAGCATACGCCAGTACGTTCCAAAATCCGTAAGCAGTATAACTCATCAGGCTCAATGTTAATCTCGTTTGCTTCTCGAACCAACTTTTTGGGTAAACAAATTTTAGGATGCAAATACATGGCACCATGAGGCTTTTGGCAAGTGACAAATTTCATACGTTTGGTAGCCTCATAGAGAAATTGGCATTGTTTCTCCATGTCTCTGTGAATCTTCTCTATTTCTTGAGAATATAACCCGTAACTGGGTTCTCCTTCCCTGGGAGGTCGTACAAGCAAATCAACAAGCAGTTGGCCTGTCACCGGCGGGCATATGTCTATAGTTGCCAACTTTAAGATCTGGTCCTTGGTGATGGGCGGAATGTTCATGGTATCGATGTAGCCTCCTCGTTGTCCACATTCACCAAACTGTCCTTTACTGACAGAGTTAATGCAGATGAGAGAGACCTTGTCCCAATTCGAGTTCGGCTCGCGTCTCTCAAGCTCACATAATACTTTACGAAACGAAGTGAATTCCTTCCTGAAAATATTGTTTTGGTAGACTTCGTCCGAGATGATGACGAGACCTTTTGCTTTCGCAAAGCGAAGCATCTCTTCGATAGATTCTTCTGTCATGCAAGCACCTGTAGGATTTCCAGGGTTGATAAAAACGCAAAGGCGAATGTTCGTTCCCTTCTTCGATTCCTCTTCATAGGCTTGTTTGAATTGCTTAACATCCACATTCCAGTCGTCCTTTTCAGATAGATAGTACGATACGGATTTTCCATGAAAAAGATCCATTAGAGCTCCGTAAAGAGGGTACTGGGGAATGGGGAGCATGGCTCCCTCAGACGGTCCAGAGATGAGCAATGTCATGATAATTCTGGCTCCTTGTGTCGCCCCACTCGTCAAGTAAATGTCGTCTGGATGACAAGCGCAGTTATCACGTTCCTGAATAAATTCTGCTACGTGCTTGCGAACAATTGGGATTCCCTGAGATGCGCTATAAGCTCCTACGCTTCCAGTCTCTTTCAATAGTAATTCTGTTCTCTCAACAACGTCTCTAGGAAAGATGCTCTTGAACCATGGTTCATTGGCATGGTCTAGCAAAGCTGGATACTGGCAAATGGACAAAACCTGACGATTAAATGTAATGGGAAGTTGCCCAAACTGCTGCGGGTTACCGATATTTGCGTAAATTATATCTCCAAATGGATAATCGTTAGAATCTTCCAACAGGTCATTTTGGATTTTCTCGGCAAGAACTGTTAAAGGACCACGTACTGCATAATTGGCTTTGATAACTTGTTGATTCAAAGTGGAAATATGTGCGAAAGCGTTAGGACGGTAATTGTTGGAATTCATCATTTCATGAATGCTTTGGAAAGGACAAACCATTTCGACTGATAAAAGGACCTGTTATCCCAAACCGACCCAAACCATGGAAATCTCAAAGCTGTTTACCTGATAAAGAAAATTTTATTATTAATCCTCGTTATAAAGATCGTCCAAAAGACACTCATCTTTTTGATAGCAAACCATTGTTGACTTTTGGCATATCTTTCCTACTGCTTATCGATCCAAATATCGTATTAAAAAAACCCGTATCTTTTTACAAAAACTGTTTTCCGGTAATACGATATTAGACAAAATTGGTTTTTAGCGTTTTCCCGTTTTAATAATGAATGTAAATGCAGCATTTTATGTAAAGTAATTTAAATAAAAAAAGGAGCTGAAAGGTGTTGAACAATGGGTAAATTTCAAACTCTCAGAATACGTAGTTAGGAAAGAATGAATCTTGATCGAAGGGACGTTTCATATAAAACTGGAGTTTGCTATCAAATATTTGAAAAAGAGTGGATAAATAGGGTAGGAATGATATTCATATGACCTTCTTGGCTACTCCTGGTTCTTGATTTCATAGCATGCTTACCAGATTCAACGAAAGCATGCCATCAAAAGAACGGCTAAAAGATGAATCCATCTTCATCATTTTTTTATGTCTTATTCAATTAAAAGCTCGCTTCTCTTGTTTCCTTCTCAGTAGGTATTTGTACGATCGTCCATTTTCTGTTCACTTGTTTTCCTCTTGAAAGTTTCCCGATGAAAGACCTCCCTTTAGAAACGTCTACTTTTCATATAAATAACATACATTCGAATGCTACTGTCATCTTTTCACAAAACCATTCCGATGTAAATAAAAGTAACAGATTGGTATTGTTACCTGGATCAATGTAGGGCGAATCCAGAGGTGGATGGGAGGAAAGGTGTCATCTACTACCACCTTCAAAGACAATGAGTGAAAAAGCAAGAGTGATATCTGATTTGACGATTTCTCAGTCCATATATGAGTTATCAAACGGTTTTCTGGAAAGAAAGCATGAAAAAGCTCTAGAAACCCTGTTTTCAGCGATTCGAGAAAACCATCTGGCACCTCTTTACCAATACGTCTGCGAATATGAGGGTACGATGTCGAAAATCGATCATGATGAAGCCTTTTACAATCAAATGATGGAAGAGAACAATAAACGGATTGAAGAATATGACAAGGCCCTTGCAGACGCCCAAGAACTGAACGGTGAACATGAAATTCTAGAAGCTATGAGAAACAAGGCATACTATTTTGTCGATATTTGTGATAGAGTACGAGGTGTTCAACTTTGTGATGAAATTTATGATCGAGCTACTTTGACAGGCATGAAAATTGATGTGTTGTTCCTAAAGATTCGCCTAGCCTATATCTACGCTGATATGATGACAGTCAGTCATTTGCTAGAGAAGATGAAACCACTTATTGAAAAGGGAGGAGATTGGGAACGCAAGAATCGCTTAAAGGCTTACCAAGGAATTTATTTGATGTCCATTCGTGACTTTTCTGGCGCAGCCGATTTGCTGCTTGACTGCATGTCTACATTTTCTTCCACAGAACTACTTCCTTATTACGATATTGTTCGTTATGCTGTCATTTCTGGTGCCATTTCTTTAGACCGTGTTCATGTAAAGTCAAAAATTATAGATTCCCCAGAGGTCCTTGCCGTGCTCCCTCGAAACGAGTCTATGGCTAGTTTAGAAGCTTGTATCAATAGCCTTTATCTCTGTGACTATGCTGGCTTCTTCCGTACTCTTGCTGATGTCGAACAAAACCATTTGAAGTGCGATCAATTCCTTGTCGCTCATTACCGCTACTATGTTCGTGAAATGAGAAGACGTGCCTACTCTCAGTTGTTGGAATCTTATCGCGCTCTTAGTATCGACTCTATGGCTGCTGCCTTTGGCGTCTCTGTCGAATATATTGATCGCGATGTTGCTTCCTTTATTCCCGACAATAAATTGAACTGTGTTATTGATCGCGTCCATGGCGTCGTTGAAACAAATCGTCCTGATGAAAAGAACCGCCAATATCAAGAAGTTGTTAAGCAAGGTGATGTCTTGCTCAATAAGCTTCAAAAATACCAAGCCACTGTTATGCGCGGTGCCTTTAAAGTCTAAATATTGGGGATTTCTCGTTTCTAATTAAAAAAGTCAAGTCGGTTTCATAAATGGAAACTCCGTTTGTTGATGCTCATGTAATGAAAACTGTTCTGCATATGACTGTCCCCAAAAGGTTTGTAAGAATAAATCTTTTTTCACGTTTTTCTTATTATGTTTGTAAGCGTTTTCACCCAACTTTGTTAGCGTAATCGGTTTTTGTAAGACGACATAGAAAACATCACGTGTAACGATTCTGGTTTTTATTTTTATTTTACTTGAATGATATAGTAATTTATAATGTTAATTCATGAACGCGGTTTTTACTTTCTCTGTATGTAGAAATATGAAACGCGATCTGGGTACTCTAGCTGCCTTCAACCTACTACTAAGCAATAGGGAAATTTCCATATTCAAGTTTGTCAGATCAACCTTTTTAATAAAACATGAATTATGAAGATTTACTGCAAGCTTCAAGTTCTCCTGACACAACGTGTGTACCATCGTCGCCAACTTTTTACGCAAAAGACGAGAATTTAGATACTTATCACGTCCAAAATGTTGCTAGCAATGGAGATGTAGACTTATCTGAAAAGACTATTCGATTTTTGAAACTACAGATGAATGCAAAGGGAATTATCGACGCGTTTGAACGCGATTCATTACAAAATTCATTGGAAATCAAGAACTTAAAATTACAGTTGGAAGAGGAACGAAGGATAAATGAACAATTCAAACAGGCATCGGTAATGAAACTCCAAGATGCAATTGGACAGCTGAAAAATGAAAACCAGCTTCTCCTAGACCAAAATGAAGAATTACTTACTGCCAAAAAAGAGAATGAAACGAGACATGAACTACTAAAACAAGATCTTAAAACAATTGAAGAAAACTATAAAGCATCGTCTATGCAAATCCGGAATTTGGTGCATGAAAATTCTAGTTTAAAAACTTTACTATACAATCACACTAGGGAAGCCAAACAGGGGCTACACGCTGAAATAGAACCTTCCAAGGATTGGAAAGAACAGTTCAAGGAAAAAATCAAAGCAAAAAGATCCCCAGGTTACCAGCGTAACAAATATCATGATGTCAATTTATGTGAAAACTCTCAAAGAGAAAGAAAGAGAGAAAGAGAAAGGGAACATGTAGAATCCCGTGACAACAACAACCAAGCAAACACATTTTCTCCAAGGTCCGCAGAAACACGATCCCGAATTCTCAGACTACAAGAGTCATTTTCAGATTTGGAAACCCAACATAATTCTTTCCGGCATATTTGTGATTCTTTACGAGAAAAATTAAAAACGGACTCTAGTAAAACAAAACAAAGACTCTTGAAGCTGGAAAATCTCCTTCAAAATCGCTCTCCGCCATCTTACACATTTTCCTTAAGTTGTACTCATCAGCTTCCGCATGGTTATACGACAGAACCGTTCATTAAATCAAAACAGGAATCTCAAAATCAAGCATTCACTCAAATCTCACTGCCGTCTGATACCTCTCAGGGAGAATGACTCGCGGATTTCAAGCATTAGCAAGTCTTTAGTTGTTCTTTTTTTTTTTCAAATCGATTATTTTTTTTATAAAAGCAATTTAAGGATTTCTGATAAAACTACATTTTTATTCGCATAATCATTTTATGCCATCTAAACATGCTGTTGGAGGCCTCCAACCTGGAGTAAACAACCTTGGAGTTATCATAAAATTGGCTTTCGCAAAATACTCAACTTTAACGGTAGATACGAATGCAAGCCGCAGAAAATGATACTTTAAATGGTTTATTTAAGTCGGTAGTAGCCGTTTTGGATGCAGATGATCAAAATATTGTATGAATGAGCTGCTTCTTGATGGATCGCTAACTGAATGGTTTTTACAGAAAAAATTGTTCCTTCAATATGGCGGGAATATTTTAAACTATCCGTACGACTGGAAATTAGCTACGCACGTTATAGGAAACAATTTTGGTTCTCCAGTTATTCAAGAAGGCGCTCGAAGATCGCTTCGACTTGTTAAGGTATGTAATAATATAACTAATGAGTTGATTCTAACAATTGCATTGACCAGACTCATTGGATTGAGGATTGCATTGAGAAGAATGCTTTATTGGATTATATGCCTTATAGCAGCAACCCATATCTGATCTATAAGGGAATTTGCGCTACCACATGTGAAATAGATCCATTCTTGGCTTCCTTCATTGATGACTCTTTGGAAGTTCTAGGGGGGAAGTTCACACCAGTATTGATAAAGTCCATAACGCATGTATTTTCCTTTGATGGAGATGGTCCAAAGTGTAAAAAGGTAAAAGAAAAGCAAAATCTTGATGTCAAAATCATTCATCCGAGATGGATTTTTGATTGTTTGATTCAAGGGAAGTGCATTGACCAAAAATATTATCTATTCCCCAATCCCGTTTTTCAGCAGAAGCCTGAGGATAATATTGATAACAATTTATTTCGAAACGTATTCCATAACAAAAAGGTCTTTTTCTCTGGTGATCTCAATCTTCCTACTGCAGCCAAACAGGCTATCCGCAAATTTACTGTTAAATTAGGAGCTGGCATAGCTGAGTCGGTTCAAAACTGTGATGTATTTATAGGATTTCAAAGGGAAACAAATGAGTTCAAGCTTGCAGTCGAAAAAAAATCTACTATAGCTACTATCAATTGGCTACTGAATAGTTTTGTATTAGGGTCTTGGAAGGATCCCCTATTGGACGCACTACACTTTCCTTTACCTTCAAAGAAATTTCTTAAAGGACAAACGATTGCTTTGACAAATTATACAGGAAAAGCTCGGACTTATCTAGAGAAGTTAATTGTGGCTTCGGGAGCATCTTACACGAAAAACCTAAAACCTACGAATTCTGCACTAATAGCTGCTTCCTCATATGGACAAAAATATGGTGCTGCCAAAGTTTGGAATATTTCATCGGTTCATCATACCTGGCTATTCTCGTCGTTTAAGAATCTTTCGTCTCAGCCATACTCTGATTTTCCTGTTCCTCTTGATGAATCATATATGGATTTTTTGCTTCCATGTAAACTGGACACTAAGATTTATACGGAAGTAAAGGTTGCTAATGACTTGCCCCATGATAATAACGAAGATTTGGTAAACCAAAGTGGAACAGAAACAACTTTGATATCAGAAATGTCAAAAGATTTAGAGGAAAGATTATTTGAGCGAGAGAAAGAGGGTTTACAGAAGGAAACGGACGATAAGCCCGAAGAGCGTAACTCATGTAACAAAGATTCTAGTCTACCATTAGCAAATCCTCTAATTTCAAAAGATGTTCAATTGGATGATGACTTACCCAGTATTAATGGCCCCATCATGGCAGGATCACCATCTGATAACAATAAAGCATCAATTCATAATATCCAGACAAATAACGAAGAGGACATTTCGAGACCGTTTTTAAATAATATAACAACGGATTTGCCACAGGAGTATAAAGAAGTGGATGTTAATCAAGCACCAACAAACAAAAGTACGATTTCTAGTACCCAGAATCAGAAAGAACCGGCATCAACACCTTTACTCACTCCCGCCGTCATCATTCCACCGTTAAAAGGCTTTTCTAATTCCGAGGAAGAATCACAAGTATTTTCAAGGCACTCCTCACCTCCAATTTCCCAAATACCTGATTTGATGCACATTGAAGAGACTGACGGCAATGTTCCTTCAACGCAAGAACGGTCAAGAAGTAAGCGAAAATCGGCTTCTATGGCACTTTCGATGCTGCAGAATGTTGTAATGCCAGATGTGGTGGCATTCGAACGAGAGAAAAGGCTAAAAAAACACGTTGACAGTACAGTCCCAGAAAAGCAAGCAAATCAAAACATACCGAATACAAATTTAAAAGAACGACGATATGTAGTTATTACTGGATACGAAACGAAGCCTAGTTCTGATGACCTGAAAAAGATTAATATAACTATCATATCGAATCCAAGTAAGTGTACCCATTTAGTTGCTCCTAGGATTTTGCGTACGGCAAAGTTTTTATGTGCTATTCCAAAAGGACCTCAAGTGGTGACCATGGAATGGCTTCAAGATAGCATCAAGCATCGACATCCTTCTTTGGAAAGTGAATATCTCCTGAAAGATGAGGAAAAAGAAAAAGAGATCGGCTGTTCTTTACAAGAATCTTTGCAACGAGCCAGAGAAAAAGGACCAACCCTTCTAAAAGATTATGTAATTTATTTGACTTCTAAAACAGTTGCTCCAGAAAATGTTTCCGCTGTTATGAATATAGTGAAATCGAATGCCGGAGCTTGTTCTACAATAAATAGTTTTAACAAGCGCCTGATAAAGCATTTGGAAAACGGAAATATAATTATTATTACCTGTCAAGAAGATAGGCATATATGGGAAAACATTCGGTCCTCCATCGAAAGTTATCCCAACACATTTCTACAGAATTACGATTGGCTTATGAGAACGATATTGAGACAGGAATTGAATGTTTCAGAGAAAGTTGCTAGTGAGTTTTCTTAATGAAGGTATCTGGACGCAATTTGAAAACTAAGATGGATAATGAATAATCTGTTTTTTTTTTAAGTTGTTTAATAAAAAGTTATTTATATACGCTTTTTTTTTGAAAGTACTGCGTTTAGATACAATGATTGTGCCCGCGTAAACCTCAGTACGTCTTCAAAATAGACCAATAATCAGATGTTTCCAGATTTATCTGTTCTCTTCTTCTTTTAATTGAATTCATATATTTCAACAAATTGTACTGTCAGCTCTAAAAATGCTGAACATGCTTGACAACATGCCCTCCAATGCATCTTGGACATTACAAATAACGCTTAACTACTTCGTTCCCCATTTAGTGAAGCAAAGACTTTTTAAAGGATATTTGAAGTTGGTTTATCAATTCAGAGTCAAAGGAAAAATTGATCAATTGAATGAGAAAAGGGAACAACCTTACGTGATATTGAATCTCATTTAAAAAAACAGCGAAGCACTATGGCTATTTCTGAAGCTTCTGAACCAGATTCGGAAGACACTAGAGATGCGCAGATGAGTGTAAATTCGGTTCGTTTTCGCCGTATGTTTTTATAAAGTGACTGAAGGTAATTAATGTTGGGGTATATAGGGGAATGCATACTGCCTTCTTTTGAGGACATATCAGATCTAAATCGTTGTTTTCAGAAATTCAGCTTTGAAATTAGGAAAGTTGAACGGCGTACTCTCTCCAAATTTGAAATAGATCAAACGTCTGGTGTATGTATGGATTTATCAATGATTCCTTCAGTGTCTTACTTGTGTAATACTGACTACTTTCTAAAAGAAACTTTTTTTAAGTAATGAAGATAACTTAAGAGCTTCTATTGCTTTGAATTCTCTACAATCGTTGGTAGACACCAATAGACGGAGCCATTTCAGCAAGAAAGCGCCGAAACGTTCGAAAGAACCCAAGAAAAAGAACTATACTTTTCAAGAAAAATTGAGCTCAAACAAGGAAAAACGTGAAAAAACTCTGTTAAAACGATATTCACAAAAGTTGGATCCGGCGTTGACTTTTCCATGTGAGGTAAAATATTCTTTCAATATGGATTTTCTGTACTAATTTTGCTGCTAAATTAGGGATCTCTTGTTATTCCATCTGACGAACTCGATGTCTACGAATATTTTGGGGGAGCACAACTAGCACTTTTGAACCCAATTCGCATCAAGCTTCATTGCTTTATCGAATATTCGCCGAAATTATCCGTATGAATAGTTTCCTTATTGTACTTGCTAACCTTTATAGCTAATTCATATTCGTTGTGCAGATTATATAAAACTCAAAGAGGCGTTACGACACGTAAGATTGTTTTATTTTGAGCAGGCCTCATATCAACGATTAGAGAGGTCGCGTCTTATTCTACATATTCTCAACGTGGATTGTTCCTATTCAAATACCAAAGTATTTTATGATCGGGAATTCATCCTTTCGAGAAAATTTCTTCCTCGCCGTATTCATTTACGAGCAATTGCTTCTCATTCTTCTTGTACAAATGGAACAACATTTGAAAAGTATGCTTCAAAAATCCAAGGTACCCAAAGATTGATTGCTTACTTTGAATTTATAGGATTCGTACTGGCAATGTTCAAATCATGAAAAATTACATTTTAGCCTCTCTGTTTAATGTCTATTTATATATCGGGATTGTTTACGTAAGAGTTAAAATTGGTGTTCCATTGTTTGAGAGGCTAAAAATTAGTGAAAACGAGACAAACACTAATACGGTAGAAGATGCGTCTAAAATTCTGCTTGAAAAACAAACACAGTCCTCCTTTCTTAGGTATTTGGCTCCTAATGATGTATCTGAGAAGATTTTGGCATCAATGGAGTCAATCAAAGATGAACGAGGAAATCAAGTATTTGAAGCTTTTAGGACGGATCATCTTACTGTCGTTCATTTTACATTAATCGATACTCAGTCCTGTAAAAAGACTTTAACTGCGATCTGGGATAAACCAGTTGGACGGCCTAACAGATGGTACCTTGAGAGTAGTATGAAGGATGCCCTAAGCATTACACACTGTAATTTAAACACGCTTTCTTGGAATTTTTATATTAAGTATGGGAAGCCTTCCCGTGATTCGAAAGCATATAGCGACTTCGCGTCTTCAATTGTTATGGACTCTAACGCCCGGATTTACTTTTCGAATACTTCTCAAATTTTTGTTCAAACTATAATCATTAAATTAAAACATAAATTTTACCATATAACCTCTGGTTATCACCTTCATTTAACTCGCTTCGAGGGACATTCAATGGGACAAAGCAAATATATTGATTCCGATAGGCAACCTGGAATCCAAACGTATCAATTAGGCCAGGACACTTCTATACTTCGCTATGGCTTATCATTTTGGGATCCCAATTGGGATCGCCTTTTTGTCGAAAATCAACACAGATTATCTGGAAGCTCTCCTACTTACGAGCCGTCCCTTCAAACGTTCTTTCCAAAAGGGATTGAGGCATTCATTTATCATTCTCAATCTATAACTTTACAAGTGGCTTCCCTCGCAAATCATTTCGACGGCGATCAGAATATATTTGAAGCGGACAATTCTATTAGCGACTCTATGATTTAGTCTTCTCATATCTTTGTCCTCCTCAATTTATTGATTTTGCAAGTTAGCAGTATCACCTTGGCTACTTATTCTAGCATTTTTATGACACTAGTTCACATTATCTTGTTCACGATTTAAAGAAAATAATCATTATTATTACTATTATCTTGAACAATACGATAAGAGCATACTCTTCTGGTCGTTCTGAGGAAGAAAATAAACTCCATCCTTATAGCTCAACGTTATAATTTAAATAAGCTGTGAAACTAAATAGGTACCTAATGCCGTCCAGAAATCATTAAATCTTCAAACAAGGATTCAAGTGTTTTGAGAAAGGAAAGCCGGTAAGAGCGATGAAACCACTATATTTAAAGCATTATCAAACCATAACATCTCCGAAAGCAAAAGAAATAAATTATTATAGCCTAGATAATACGCTTTTGCTGTCGTAACTAGGGAGTCCTTTAATGATAGGCAGGTAGAACTAAACAAAACGAAACATTACGGGCGATAGTCGTGCAAATGCAAGATAATAATGATTAAAACAAAAAAACTTAATAAAAATGCACGCTAAAAAGGATTATTTAAATTAACCAGTTCCCTGAGTTAAACTCGGACAACATTACGGTCAGGGGCTCTCAAAGCAGAAAAAGAATGTATTTACCAGTTCTCGTCCCTCATATCATGATGTATACGTTGCTGTTGATGATACGCATAGTCTTCATCAATATCGTCTTCCAAAGGCATCGAATTCTTTTTTATCCAATCGCGAACGAACAAACTGGCCTTCATGAATTTCTTCGATGCATACTTCTTAAAAAAAGCTTCGTGTCGGACAGGCTTCTGCAGATAATTTATCATTTTCTTCACAACAGGAATTAGCTCGGGTTCCTCGTATCCAGAATAATGTACAAGATTACCATTCCATACACCGCGTCCAAGCATTTCTCGAGCCAAATACATAGCTGCCGCACACTGTTGAGAAGGAGGATAAGGCAACAGTCTATGATCCAGAAGAGCTATTTCGACCAAATACTTAGCAACCGTTCTTGTTTGAATGTCGTAGTAATCAGCTTTAGAAATACGTCGTAAAAAGTTCATAGGATTAGGATATGCAAGATTAAACTCCAAAACGCGTAATATATACCTTTCAGCTTGAAGTATGTCTTCCTCGTCATAACTACCATCAGCCATATAAACAAAATTTTGCACGGAGGGACACATCACCTCTTCATATTTACTCGCAATAAACAAAGCAGCAATTCCCACAAGTTGCAGTTTACCTAGAGAACAAACACGTAAAGACAAAAACCTATCGATAATGTTTACAGCCAAAAACAAAGTCTCAGGAAGCAAACGGAAGCGCGAATGCACTTCAATGATCCAGTCTGTTAAAATGCCGCGCATTTTCCAAGCAAGTTCTCTTTGACGATCCATATATGTGGGTGAGGGCATTGTTTCGATTTCCAGTTGATTAAGATATTGGAAAATATCAACAACATATTCAGAAACCATAAGGGGATCAGCCCAGTCTTCAGCATCCAAATCATCCCAGTCCCGTACCTCTGGCTTTTCAAGGGCAGAATTTTGGTGCAGAATCTCTTGAAGTGGAACGCGATCTTCAGTATCCTTCTTCAGTTTCTTCGAAAGGGCTTCGTTTTCTTTAACATAGGCGTCTGTGTTATACTCCCCTACAGGCTGAGTCGAAACGATATCGACAGGATGGGCAGCGGAAAATGAGGATAAAGAGCTTAGGGCAGAAGGTTGACGGCGCTTTTTGGAAACCGGTTCGTCATCAACTGATTTAATAGTATCCTTTCTTTCCTGAGGACGATGGATTGGGTAAGCAGCATTAGAATGTCGAACATTCGAACTCTTCGAAGCGAGTGGCATATTGGTTTCCTTGGAATGGAAGTTTGAGACATCGTCTAAAGCGTGACGTTTTTTATTAGCTGTAGAGGTGGACAGGGGTTTCTTTCCTGGTATTATAGCATTCTCGGATGACTGCAAAAGGTGCTTTGATGGATTGTTTTCATCGTTATTGCTCAAGGCATTAGCCAAAATGTGCTGACGTGTAAGGCGTCGAGTAGACATTACAAAAATTCGAGAGTATCAATACAAATCAAAGAAAAGAATGAAGCAGGATATTTATAAAGAAAACGCACGTTATCTTTTTTGAAAACAACAAATATTATAATCACCTCAACTTTGTAAACAAGTGCACGTCACGACTGTGTAGAATATAATATTATGCAGAAAAAGAAAGACAAAAGGGGAGCGCAAAATCACAAAGGTATCAACAATCTTTCAAGAACGGGAGTCTCAACGTTGGACAGTAAACGATTGTCGACCGGGAATCCACAAAGGCGTTTATAATAAGAACCTGACAAAAGAACTCGGTCACTAAAAGCTGTTAATATCGAACTCTGAAACATAAAATGACGGTTGAACCAGGAATATATCGCTGGATTTGGTTTCTTCTTTCACTTTTTTTAAGGAACTACTTAAAAGAGTATGTCGAAACTAGTTAACTCATCGTTTACTAGTTGCAATCTATCTTCATTCCTTGAAACCGTCCAAGGAAGAAAATTTTCTACCATATCTTCTCAGAACCTTTCCAAAACCCAAGTCTTCCGGCTTTTTTTACATTATGTAAATGTATAAGCTTATTTCCTACACTTACAAAGTATTTAAACGAGTTTATGAAGGTATACAGAACTGTCTACTTAACCAACAAAGTTCCGTTTCTTGTTTCGCCTCCAGCTCTCCAAACAGTAGCAACAGTCTAAACCGACTTTTTGTTTTTGTTTGAATAAATGAGCGTAATAGGTGTAATGAAGGAGATTTGGCAGGACGTTGGTTAAAGACAAGTTTGGTTCCTGGTGTAGAAAGGAGATGTAAACAAGGGTTGTCGGGGTAACCCAATACATCATACAAAAGGGTAAGGGTCATACAATTAAAGCGATATAAACAAACAAATGTTTCACAGAAGTATCAATATTTAGAAGAGAGACGCTGCTAATTATACGACCAAAGGTCCCCTTCCGGTTGTATCGCTTTAAGCCTTCATGCAGACGTTGAAATTTCTTTACAATCGAACAATTGATATGAGAATTTAATGATCGAGTTTGAGCTATAGATTGTAAAAGGAAATGAGTGATGATTTCATTCGTGCAATGGTTTCCATAAAGTATATAAAATCATGTATGAAGCTTTATTTAAGAATCAAGATAGCGAAGGGCTAAATGCTTCCGTAATGTATGAATCCAACTGAGCTTTTGTAAATCGTATATACTAAGCAAAAGTTAGTACTTCTGTCGTTAAAGAAAAGCAAAGTTTGTTTAGATACATACTTTTTCTTTATATTTCGTAAAATCACTCGTAATATATCTGCCTGGTTAGCAATGCTTATGGGAAAGATATGGAGTTGTACATACTTATCATAAAATCTTTGATATAGAGGCAAAACCGTTTTCCGCACTTCTTGCAACAAGAAACTGGCAACTGTAGGTTCAAACCGTACTGAGTCTTTGTGGTTCTCAACTATACTGGTGATCTGTTCATTGAAATTTCGGAACTTTTCCTTTGTTGCCTCTCTATCTTTCGTAGACATGTTTGGTTTTTCTTTCGCTTTCGTATAAGTAGCGTCCAACATGTTTTGTGAACAATGGCGCCAAATTTCCATATACATACTGGAGTATTTCTGTGATAATTCCGAAAAGTTGTTAAAATGTTCTTCATCCAAATAGGTTGCAATCTCGGAATCAACACATGCAGACTCAAAATAAACACTAATGTTCAAGAGAATTACACCCTTTTTCCAATTAATTGTATCTACGGTTTGCGCACTCTCCTCCACGGAATTCAGATGAGATAAGAGACAATCCATAACATAATTTTGAACCAATTCTCGTGTTGTTGAAGATGGTTTTAAATCCGGTGACAGTTCATGTCGCCAACCCCAATCACCGATACTTTCGATTAAATAAAATGAGTCCTTATATTGACAGAAATTTGACAAAAACAGTATAATTCCTTGAGTAATATCACTAACACCATTGGTACTGAGTACTATAGGCTTGGAACTGTTACAATAGCCATTGTACAGACTCGATAAGGAAGCTATAATAATTTTTTCTGCTTCCTTTCCAACACCTGAAACTAGGCCTACTAAGGCAACATCTTCAAAAGGCATATTCATTTGCATGTAATCCTCGGTAACCTTTACACAGTGTATCAATGGAAATAAAACATGATTATCAAGAGCAGATTGTTTCTCATAAACAGCTTCCCGTTGGTGTATTATGTTTGTTACAGTTGAAATCACATTCTTTCCAATTCGCTGGTACAAGGCTTGTGATGTTTCTGCGTCATATAAATGGAGTAGCTCTGTAGCAGTGGCAGAAAGAATTCTTGCTAAAGCAACCAAATAAATAGCAACTTCTTCTTTTCCTTGAATAAATTCTTTTGAAGCTTCATTCAATTGCCCTGCATCAGTCTGTGAAGATAGTGATCTTAGTAACTGGACCAAACACTCACTTTTGATTTTGACGTAGTTAGAGCTGATATCTGAGGAATAGGAAATAGGATACAAAACTTCATTATCGAACTGTTGGATTAACCCCATAAACTGCTGTAGAGTTTCTGTAGGAAAAGACCATGTTTGGTCTAAATCTAATATGGTCGCTGCCTTTTTCAATGAAGATGCAGCATGAGTTTGCAGAATCTTCTGACACAAACTAGAAAGTCGGCTACATGTTTCACTTAGCCCAATCTCGGCCTTACGCTGCGTTTTCGCCGAAAAATGAAGCGGACTCGACTGCAAGCTTATATAATACCGAGCAAGAACTCTTAGCATTCTCATCACAACCTTAATTTTCTCTGTAACAGGTATATCCATTTTATCCAAAGTATCTAACTCTGCTTTAATCTTGGGAAGATTAGAGTGAATGACTTGTAGAACCTCCATTTCTTTTAAAGTGTCATAAATGTCTAATGGATTTTCAGTAAGTCCAATCACTTATTCAATACATACTGCTTGATACACGATTATAATTCGTAACATCTCCGCGGATTACGCTTGTGGATTCTTCTAATACACCCAAGCGTTTATCCATAGACATAAGTATGTCTGACACGTCTGCAATATCTTTTGCGACAGAACGAAGGCTCCTTTGGAAATTCTCCAAGCCCGCTGGAAGTGAGTTAGTACACTGCTAATATCGTAATCAATGGGTTCTACCTTTATTTTCATCAAATATATCCCTTGGCCTACATATTTGTTAAAAACTAATTGTATTTAGCTTCTTACATTGTAAAACATTTAAAAAATCAGTTATAATTGAAAAAAAATCTAGAAAAGAAGTTGGTTCGAGAAGTACAACTGTGAGTCAAGTAGCAATTGAAAACTGCTGAAGGCATCAATAAAACCACAAAGTAATTAATGGCAAATTAAAAACGTTGGACTTCATTAATGTCTCTTAAATTTTCAATTGATTACTGTTTTAAAAAATGAGAATATTCATGTTATTAAAAGCAGTTTCTAATTTTGTACTGAAAGAGGAGATGTGAACTGTCAAAAATTACCAAAATTAAACTAAATCTGGGATAATTAAAATAAAGAGGATCTTTCAGGGTGCTATACATTTCTATTATAGTTTAGGAAAACCCACTGGTCAGTAGAATTCTTATGTAGTTCATAGTAAAACGAAGATTGAGGAAGTTGATATTCGCATAGGTGAGAGTCTGTATTTTAAAATGACTGAGCTTCGAAAGCAAAATAGATCATATCATGGCCTTATCTTAATAATATAAGCAACGATAAGTAACGGGTCTGGGAGAATCCAGAGAACTCGACAAAAAACCATAACCTAGTCTTTTCAAAATCGACTGAAGTAATTTGAAGTCCTCTTCCGTTCCATAGGTCTTCATGGAGTATAAGGCAAATAGCAACAACTGTTTAGATATAGTCCTTCCTTCCCTGTGAAGAAGTTCTATATTACCAATAGCATCCGCGTATTTTCTGACTAAAATTTGTAAAGCAATATAGTTTTCTCGTAATTTTAGTTGATCAGAGCGGCTGAGGTGTTTACTTTCTTTATTTATAGCATCTCCTAATTCAATAGAGCGAAGATCAAATGCAAGTTGGAAAACAATCTTGTAGTCAACCAGCGTCAAAAGTTTCATTGACCGTAAATTAGCAAAGTAACGTAATATAAGTGATAAATCTTGGCTAAACAGTGAACAAAGCATTATTAGTCTGGAAATTATAGCATGAGTTGGTTTAGGGGCATTCTCGAGAAAAGCGGATAAGCTTTTCTCAATTTCGGTTGATGACTTGAAGTTTTTGTAAAAAGACTCAGCTATAGGCATCAGAAATTCAGCGGTCGACTTGGTATGGGTGCCTTTGTAAAAATTCTGGAAGAACTTGAGCGCTAGTAGGGGTTTGTTTTCAAAACATAGCCTGTCTGTTATTTCTTGATATAGCATGTAATTGACAGGGAAATTACGTTTGGCCAAATAAAGCGTAAGTTGGATAGCAGCTTCAAGCTCTTGGTTTGCACAAAGAGCCATGATTACCATATCCATCGAAGTCATATTGATACTTTGAAATTTTCCTTGATAAAGAATAGGGAGCAAAAGCTTTATTCCCTTAGTATGATAGGAATAGGCAAAGCAGAGCAACAATTCAAAATAAATTTTTTGAAGTTCCCGCTGTTGGGCAATAGAGTAAGTAGATCTTCTTTCCATCAAGTTTGGTAACAAATACTCTGCTAGAAAATAACAAGTATCCAAATTGGTTCCGGTACGAGCAGACGTAAGTAAAAGTCTGCGAAAGGCATGTAGGTACACTGATAATTCATTAGGGAAAAAAGAGACAATTGCCATAAGATCATAAGAATTTTTTTCCCTTACAAATACCCAAAGAAGATTGGTTAAGACTTCAGGACTCAGTACCATCATGCTATTAGCAGCAATCTCGCGCAAACGTGAGGCAAGTTCTCCGGATTGGGTTTTTTCAGCGATTGAGCTCGCTTTTTTTAAAAAGTTACTAGTCAATAAGCTATTATCATTACCGTATTGATTTAAAACATCGTGCACTTCGTCCTCACTGCTTTTTGAGGTAATCAGATCTCCAATATCGATATTTCGTGAAGCATTTTTGTCATTTATAATAGAAGAGAAAAACTTCATCCGTTCAGCATGCGTTTTCAGGTTCTCCAACGTGGTCAAGGTAGCCCGGCTTTCTAAGGTACGGGGATGCATATGTACATTCCTACAAAGCACTTTTGAAGCAAAAAGAGCATTGGAAAATACATTTCTGTTACATATTCTCATAAACATCGCGCGTACATCTGAATTCCACTTTACTATTTTCAGATAATCCACATTCAGTGTTGTCAACAGAGCTTAAGATATCAACCAAAATTTCATTGAAGTTTTCTTTAATGTTGCAAAAAGAAAACTCGCGTTTTGAACTGTTTTTTCTAAGTATTTTTTATGCTCTTGGGTGTGAATACACTTTCAGTGAGTTACCACTTTGTTCTGAGAGTGTTTACATGAGGGTAACAATGTCACTCTGGTAAATATGTTTGTTTACAAAATAAACCCTCAATACAATAAAGACAAAAACAAAAGTCGTAGAAGCAATGGACTTTGTTTTGATATATTTGTATAAAAAATAAACAGGAAACTGATTAATGAACATTTCTTCAATACGAAAGGTTTGTCCTTCCTTGGTTACTAGCAAAGCAACTTTGTTTAAGTATTCTCAAAGTAGTTTCCAAGCACGTCAAATCTGAATTGTTATGACTTAATTTATTTTTACAAAATAGAACTAACGTTACATTGACAAGAGTCAAATAGCTCGTTTCTGTTTCCAACTCAACCTTTGTGGATGCTTTACCTTATAAGTGCTATACCGTGAATGATTTAAATTTCAGATTATAAGCTCAATTAAAAAATTGAGATATGCAATGAAGTAGTATTGAGTTCTAAATAATATGAAAATTCAACCCAATACTGAGATTCAGGATATATTTGTAGCATGGTATGTTTATGAGCATCGGGATGGCCAAGAATAAATTGAAACCATTTTTTTGCAATGATCAAAGGAGTTGTATTCAAGTATTCATTAAGCTTCAGACCTTGACATAGTTGTGAGCAAAACCTCTAGATTTACAGCGAAAATGGTTGTTGGCAAACAGAGGTTATACCAATGTTGAGTCTTTTTTCTTGGGCATTCAGAATTAAAAGGATTCCATTAACCAAAGTCCCCATACGAGCAACGAAGGCCAGTAATTAAATTGAAGAAACGCTTTTGTGGATTTCGCATCGGTAGCTTTTAAAACACTCTTGCTGAAACAGTTGAATAATATATAATGAGCGATACTTATACCATTACAAAGTTACCTATGTTAGCAAACCCAATTCCTTTAGTGATGCATCAAAAAAAAAGAAAACCCCCCCCCCCACAGTGTAGGAAAACAACGATTATGGGAAATGGACATGATAACTAAATTCGAAGAAATTAATATATAGTCAATCACCTTTTGTTCATGCCTAGCAAAAGGATATTGGCATAAAAAAGAAAGACGAACAACTCCGAAAGTTCATAGATTAATACAATGACAAATCCACAAAACATTTCAGGCTTACAGTCTAAAGAATTGCCAAAATTGATCCAAAAATCCAAGGTTACATTTCTGATCCGTTGTTTAAGTGAATAGAATCATATTTTTAACGACATTTACACTGCCAAGATTAGACAAAAAAAATCTAACAAACTATTGCTGTGAAAAGGTTTCACGTTTACTAGAGAAACAAGTAGGTCACCAATAACTGCCTTAGAGTATGTTTAAATGAATGTAAAATGATAGCGTTCACTTTAATACATTTGTTGCACATGCATGCCTACTATACAATTTAAAACGTGAAAACCCCGAGTACACGTCTTTTCAATACTACTAAAAAAGGATTGGATCTATGAATACCAAGATTTTATTTATCCTTAATGCTCAAGTAAAATACATGGTTTAAAGGAAACCAATGCGGTTAGCAACGTCAAGAGCATCAGCATCAGCGGAGAGCTTGACGAAAGCCTTCTTGGTACCGTTGGGGCGGATTAAAGTGTTAATCTTGATGGCTTCAACGTTGTAAAGCTTACGAACAGCGTCCTTGATGGTGTGCTTGTTGGATCTCATGTGCACAAGGAAGACGAGAGTGTTGTCGTCCTCAATCTTCTTCATAGCAGATTCACTGTTGAGAGGATTGAGGATGATCTTGAATTCGTCAAGACGAGGGGCATGAGCAACACTCTTACGAGCATACTTAGGCTTACGAGGAAGTTGAAGAGTCTTGGGGCTATTAAAAAAATTAGTAAATTGGAAACCAGATATGCACGAGCTATCTACTGTGCTTTAAGAAACTGGGTTCAGAAAAAACCTTCTCCCATATTCACAGAGCTAAGCTCAAATTATTTCACATACCGACGGAAGGTTGTAGAAGTACGAACCTTCTTGGCAACCTTGTTGTGGACTCCCTTTTGAACGGTCTTCTGTGCTCCTTTAGCTTTAGCAACGCTCATGATGTCCTGTCAACTAAGAGTTGGTTGTTGCTTGTAGCAAGTGAATCACAAAAGTTTGCTCTTCTTGAGCCCAAAAAAGCAGTCCAACCCTACCCTATTAAAACAAGTGGTTAAATGCGTTTTTGAGGTATAAGGAGAAAACAGGACTATCATTGGGACAGTTAGCGAAAAACGCTCATATGGTTTCTTAAAAGAGCATTTGATATTACCGTATACAGACGCTATGCTTCATTAAATTTCCTTACGTGTCTTTTCATGCAAAGCTGGGATACGATATCTATAGGCTTCGTTATGAAGTTTAAAATATTGTATGGAATAATATCCGAGATATGTTTATACTTTCTGGATTGCACTCTTGTTTTCTACCAATATCTCCATTGGGCAAGAAATCAAAAATAAAAGGATATTTTGCTACGAGACATGAGTTCCAATATCAAACTATAAAAAGAAAAAGATTTCTCCTTTCTTATCTTGTTCAAACTTCATTCTTCTTTAAATTGAAACAATTGGGATTAATTAGCAGCGTGTTTGCGTCTATGGATAAAGATGGTTCGTTCGATTTTGATAAAGGTGATAACAGATCGCAAACAAGTACAGTATTCCTAAAATGATGCACAAAAAATGTAAGTTGCCCTGTCGTAACAAAAAAGAAGCATTAAAAGAACGAACTGACACCTCGTTAAGCAAAAGTTAATATGCTGAATCAGCAAATTGCGGAATACCGTGATAAATTGAAATTTTCGCTTAACGACGTTTACCACAAGTGTAGTGAGCATCCATGCGATGGTGTAAGCAGAAGATGAAATGTTGCAATCGTGATATATGTTGTCTCGTTAAAGATCGAAATATTTTTTTTCAAGGGTTTAAAAAGCCACTATATCCCCTTTCAAAAAAATTTGAATTCTTCACATATTCAATTAAGGCATTATTCTCATGATGGGAAGTATGTTTCGGTTGATTAGCAAGCGGCTGGGGCCCAGTAGATTGGTTTTTCGCCGGTTTCAAAGCTCCAACCCTCAAATGTCATTTCCTTGCGTTGACCAAGCACAGGAACGCAATCGCAGATACGCAGAAAGCATTCAGCAGCATCAATGTTCTGGCAACGAGGATCCAAGTGTATGCGTTACTTCTCCTTCACTTGCTTCAGGTCCTGAGCCTATCTACGGAAAAATTGTATCCGGATTTAAGAAGTTTAAGTATGATAAAGTATTCCTTTGTGATCACGGCGGTATTTTGCCTAAATTCGAATTGGCTTACGAAACTTGGGGAACGTTGAACAAAGACCGCTCGAATGCCATTCTTTTACATACAGGTCTTTCTGCCTCTTCACATGCTCGTTCTCATCCAGATAACCCACAACCTGGTTGGTGGGAACAATTTATTGGACCAGGAAAAGATTTAGATACCAACAAGTTCTATGTTATCTGTTGTAACATTTTAGGTAGCTGTTACGGTAGCACTGGACCTTCTTCCATCGACCCTGGTGACGGAAAACATTATGCAACCCGTTTTCCGATCGTTACTGTAAACGATATGGTTCGTACCCAAATTTTGTTATTGGACCACTTAAAAATCGATAAACTCCATGCTAGCATTGGTAGCTCTTTGGGTGGTATGCAATCTTTAGCATTTGGTGCTCTTGCACCTAACAGAACTGCTCGTATCGCTAGTATCTCTGGTGGTGCTAGATCTCATCCTTATTCAATCGCACTCCGTTTTACTCAGCGCCAAATATTAATGAATGACCCTCAGTGGAACCGAGGTTTTTATTATGATGGCATTCCTCCTCACACAGGTATGAAACTTGCTCGGGAAGTTGCTACCATTTCCTATCGTTCCGGACCAGAGTGGGAACAACGCTTTTCCACTCAACGCGCCAACCCTGCTGTACCACCTGCCCTATGCCCTGATTTTTTAATAGAGACGTATTTAGATCATGCCGGAGAAAAGTTCTGTCTTCAATATGACGCCAATTCCCTTTTGTATATTTCCAAGGCTATGGATATGCATGACATGACTGCTTCAAATCAGAAGATTCTTGCTGAAAACAGAAAGAAAAATCAACACAAACTAGAAAAGTATTTGGCTGAGCATCCCGACGTCTCACAAAAAGATGTGATAAAAGCGAATTCGAACATTGCCGTCCTGCCCGATACCCCAATAGAAGAAATATCCAATGAAGATAGGGCTCCCGAACCTGATATTGATTCAGACTTAACTGCAGGTTTAATTCCTCTACGAAATATTCCAACCATGATAATGGGTGTTGAGAGTGATAATCTGATGCCTGTCGCTTGCCAGCGTGAAACCGCTCGCTGTTTGAAGAAGGCCGGAAATGAGAAAGTCATATACCATGAATTGAATGCTGACGAAAGTTACTATGGCCACGATACGTTTTTGATTTACCGTAAAGACTTTGACTTGGTCGGAAGCAAGCTGAAGAACTTTCTTGAAAAGAGCTAAAGTTTATATTCCTTGACAGAAGAAAATAATTACGGACATGATTGATATGGTATTTATTTCGCATTACGAAAACCAGTTTGCGTGCTCTTATTCCATACGATTGTTGGGACTTTTATTAATTAATTGGATATGTTTGTATGGGTTTCCGTAGAACTTCCTTCCTAAAAGAGGTTTTGGGTTTCGTTATGAGTTACTATGCTTGAGCGGACTTTTCTTGGTTCTATTCATGTACGTTTTCTTCACGGAAAAGCGAATAATTATACGAAAAAATCCTGATATCGATCATGGAATATTTAATAGAAAAAAAAAGTATATATACTAAAAGATTATATAGATGGAATATACGGCGTGTTTAATTAAGGATTAAGGATAATAAATAGGCCATAATTTTAGCAATGGGAACCATATTTAAGAACCACATCAATTGCAAAAGTATCATTGAAAACTCTAATTTCATAAGATCAGTTATGAGAAAGGTTATATAAGACGAAGATTTGTAGGCGTTAGTTAGGAGACAAGCATCGTAAAAAAAATACAGGAAAGGAAAGTCTTTCAACAAAGCTGCAGAACGAAAGAAAAGGAAATCATGATTGAGTTGTAGAAGAAGCAGAAGCAGCAGTACGACCGTTTTTCTTACGAGCGGCTTCAGCCTCTTTCTCTTGCTGAAGTACTTTAACGATGGAATCAATTTGTTCAGAAGGAAGAAATTCAACGTCCTTACCAGGGTCCAAAATTGCCAGCTCAATGTTACCGGCAGAAGTTTGAACAACTTCTAAGAGACTGTTGATTGTAAGACGAATAGATTCATCACGAGGCAAGTCTTCCTTCCAATTTTTTTCCAAAAATTCACGGGCAGCCTTACTAGAACGACCGATAGCAGAAGCCTTCCTAAATTACAAAGTGTTAGTACACTCTCTGACCATACTCGGGAATTGAAAATACTTCGAACCCAAAAATAATATCACATACCATGCATTGTAAACACCTGCTGGCTCTGTTTGGTAAACTCTGGGAATGTTACTGCCAACATCAAAGCCGGCAACTAGTGTCGACACACCAAAAGGTCGGACACCGCCTGCTTGTGTATACTTCTGCTGAACACCAGCTACGTAACGGGTCAAATACTCTACAGAAACGGGGTCTTCTAAGTTCAATTTGTGTGACTGAGCCTCTACACGGGCTTTATCAATCAGAACTCGTGCATCAGCATTTAAACCAGCAAAAGCCAAACAAACGTGATTGTCGATCATCGCAATTTTTTGGAAGCTTCCAGGATTTTGTAATTTGGGAACATTTTTCTTTTCCACACCGATAACGATACAGTCTTTTCCGCGAAGAGCAATCTACCAAAATGTTAGTCTCACAGCTTCACCCAACCTCGTTTCTTGTTTTCACATACCGCAGTAGTACCACGGCGAACAGCTTCTTGACCGTATTCTACTTGAAGCAAGCGACCATCTGGTGAGAAAACTGATAGCGCACGATCGTATCCTGACATGGTTCGTAGTTGGTATTATCCAAGTAGGTTGGTTTGGTCTCATACAACTTTTGGCTAAGTGTTCGCTTTAGCGTTACGGTAAACAGTATGGTGGATTGTGTTGTTAGGTCATATCTGGAATAACGTACTTGAACGCATGGAAATTGGTTTTTTTCACGAAAGTGTAAATAAACAAAAGGAACATGATTATAAAAAAATTTTTTTTTTTTGAGGTTTGAGATTTGGTCCAATTTTTACTCGTAAATGATCCTTTTTTTATTGTTAGTATAATTGCTAAAACTCTGTAAGCATGAAGTTCTATAAAAATTCGATGCAGTTGCAATGCAAAGGTATTGTCAGAAAAGTCGATACGTTGGATTAGTAGAATTTACAATAAGTCATTAATTTTCTTTCTTGTCCTTTTTAATTTATTTTATTGTTTTCTAGCTTTTTTTGGTAGATTTATAAATTTTTAACCTGAACAAGTTATAGAGAAGAGGTGTAAACAAAGAAACACAATCTAAAAAAGAGAGCAAAAAAGAGAAACAGACAAAAACGGAGAAAAATAAGCAAAAAAGAGAAAAATGAATAATTTGGCCAAAGCCTTAAGCAGTAATAAAAGAAATTTGCTTTCAAATTTGATATGCAAACAGATAAGTCAAAGGCCAACAAGAAAAAAATAGAGAATCAGCCAAGTCATGAATTCTAGGAGTAAGAAAAACACTTTACAAAAAATAATTACAGGTACGTCAAAAGGGATTAGGATGTCACAAAAGGGGTAACTCTCTCGGAAAAGGAAGGATAAGACCATAGACAGTGAAAACAATCATTTAGGATTTTGCATATGAGTTGATTGCTGGATGTTATAAGAAGGAATAGACGCATATACATTAGAAAAGGGAGCAAAAGGGGGTACATATGGAGTAGAAGGATATGCGTCCGACTTGATATTCGAAGGTGCCGTAAACATAGGAGGATACATAGGAATGGTAAACGGGATTGCAGGAGGTAAAAGTGTCTGTTGTGTTTGCCCCGCGTTCAATGAAGGAGAGTTACTTGGAGTAGACGAAACATAAGAGTCAGATTTATCACATCGGTCGCGAGCATACTGTATTTTACTCTTCTGGAAAGCTGGTTGTAAAGGTAACCCATGGAATGCTTTCATACCATTTGAGATATTCGTATAACTGACAAATCCCGTATTTGGTTGCTTTAAGTACTTAATGCTTTCAATTTCACCATATTGCCGTAAAATCAATTCCAACTCCTTCTTGGTAAGAGAGTCACTGACTTTGCTAAAGTAAACATTTCGAGAAGCACCCATAGAGATAGAAGTTTCTAATACACGTGGTAAGGGGCCACTTGCTTTTCCCCATCCAGACTTTATACGACGCCCATGAAGGACGACCATTTCGTTGGAAATGTATGCGTGGAAGGCTTTTGCATCAGCAACGTCGACAAACGTGACGAAACATATATGTTTCTCAGGAATATAATGAAAGTCTTGTAGAGGTCCGCAGTAAATGAGGTCACATATTTCGGAATCTTTTACTTTTGCATCCAAATTTCCTAGGAAAACGGTCCGGTTTTCTATGTCAGGTTTATGAGATATCTCAGAAGTAGATTCTTTTAGTTCAGGATCGGAGTTAATAGACACGGAAGACGAAGAAAATTTAGGAGAACCGTATGGAGAGGAGCACGTACTTGCACCACGATGCTCGCAGCGATCTATACCATAGAAAATTCTCCAAGCATGATAAGTTGGATCACAAGACAACGTCTGTACGACACGAATTGCATCTTTGATATTTAGGTAATGAATGAATGCAATGTTCTTTTTGGAAAGGATTTTCACATTATCAATTTCACCGAATTTGCCAAAATGATCAACCAACTCATGTTCCCCAAAAGTAGCAGGAAAGTTCCCAATAAAGACATTTCTACTCGCCGCCATATTATTGCAAACATTGTATACTGATTCTGAGAGACGGCTCGGTCTGGCGAAAGTAACTTTCAAAGAGCGACCATGAAATTGGAATCTCCGACGATTACAACATTCATGGAACTTGATAGCATCTTCTGCAAATAAGAAAGACAATATTACCTTGTTTTTTTCTTGCTTTTGTTGAACCCTTTCCAAAGGGCCCGCATGAATATGCGAGAGAAGATCGGTTATCTTATACTCAGAGGGTAAATTACTCAATATTAAAATTCTAAAGTCGGCCAAATAACTTGGTTCTTGATAGGGTAAATTTGAAGTATCTTTTGGATCCGGAGGTTGTGAAGCAAATGGAGGAGATGAAGAAGAAATCGGTTGAAAAGGAGTACATTGAACAGGATGAGCTGAGTAAGGATTATCGACAATAGGAATGATTTGAACTGGGTAAAACGGGTTAGAACCATAATACATATTTCCAGAAGATGCGCCATTAGGTAAAGAATGAACAGAATTCGCAGATAGATCGGAAGCAGGAGCAAAATTTGGAGCAGGAGAAAATGAGTCTTTTAATTTATTTTCAGCCGATTGCAGTTGAGGTTCTTGGAATGTGTCTGACTGAGCAAGTTCATGTTCTATTGGGTCAAGCAGTCCTTCCTTCTCTTTCAAAAGATTAATTGAGACGCCAGGCACCTCTGAAAAATCAATATCGTTAGGAGAGTCAAAAGAAGTAGAAGCAGAGAGTGAATCAAATGACTTGAAGTTTTCTTCCTGTTTATTATCCAAGTGTTGACAACCTAATTCTTTCAAGAAGTTACTCTCTAACTCAGGAGTGGTATCTTCTTCCTTCTCGCCAAGTATATCATCACTGACTTCCAATTCTGTTGTTTGGATAGTCTCGGAGGGTACAATGTGCTCGACCACACTTTGATCTTTCGGTTGGCTATCGCCATGATAGGAAGCAGTAGACTCCTTCATAACCTTTTATATAAGACTAGTATCTCTAGTGTCCAAGAAGGGGTTGCAGAGCCAAAAATTCAGAAAGCTAGTATTGCGAAGAATGGAAAACCAGGAGAATGAAGCTCCTATTTAAGCCATCTTTACTAGATAAAATCAATCTTTCGTAATGCTTTCCACCTAATTTCTCCTGCCTTCCCCTCATTTTGTAAGCCATTTTCTAATTATAATGAAAGTATAAGTAAACAAACCTTGTCCTCTTTTGCTCATTTTGCCTTCGCTTTTTCCTGGGGAAACCGAAATGTATGGCGCATGTGCCTTCACCTAATTAACGGCACCAATAAAAAGCTTCAAATACCCCGCACGTTAAAAATAGAGTACAGCAAGCTATTACCAAGCGATATCTTGTCACTTTCTGATTGGGCAAAACGGTTGATGTCATCAACACCCTTGTAACATAAACAAAAAAACCAAGGGCAAAAATCCATAAGCGCTCCAGAGCTTTGGTATTAGTTTCATCAAATTACTGAATTATGACAGAAAACCTCTTGTGTTTTTAGAGAATAATCACCAGGAAACGATTTCCCGTAAACGCAGTATTATAGTAGCAAGCTAAAGAAATCGCTATAAGAAACCTACTAAGAGGGAGGGCCACAAGAGCTTTATAAGTATGTTAAATTCCTGCATAAAGAGGTAAATGCCTTCGGATGCCTTCTTAAATGGTGCGTCTTAACAATAGAAAAGCTGATCCATTTTGGATCGTAACGAGCTGAACTCACTTTGTATCTTGCTTCCAGCTTTCAAAATGTTTCATGTTCTTTCTTCCTTCTTTTACCACAAAAAAAAGTTTATGTTCCATTCAAACTATGCATTCCCCTTCAACTCGGGATACCGCCAAATCGAATATTATATCATTACACCCTGTATTTATTATCTATTATTGCAAAATGGTAAATCTGCGAAACACTTCTAATAGTGCCAATTAGACCGAGCTTTTCCATAGACTCTTCAAAAGACGTGCCCGGTATATATGACAAGTAAATACAACAAAAGATTACTTATATCCTCAAATCTATATTAATTTCCGAATTCAAAGACAAAACCATAGAAGCTTGCCCCAAAAAGAAAGAAAGTAAAAAAGAACGCCTTCAGAGATAGCACATCATGAAAGTCAAACCCTTCTATACCATCCGATGAATTTCCTGATCTTCGAATTTGCTCGAATTATCCACATCTGTCCACCATTTGAACAAAAAGTGCTGGCAAATCAACTTAAACCAGGGAGTAAACTTGTATTCAGGATCTTCAAACATAGCCTTTAACTCATCCATAGTAACATACTTATAGGCTTGTACCTCATTAGGATTGATTTCCAACTCAACATGACCCTTATAGAACAAAATATAGTCAACTAAACATTGATAATTAGCAAAAGTGAGCCTCAAAGGATTTCTTGTGCTTACTCTCATGCTCGCCCCATTTGTCAACGCTAGGTGCAAGGTAATGAATCCTGGTTAAGTACTGGTACCTTTCTTTAGGAATATATTCAGCCTTGATTCCTAGTTCATGAAACAACTTTCTTTGTGCGGCAGACTTCACGCCCATAACCGCTTCATCCAATTTAGATCCGCGCTCAGAGGCAACATCTAATGGATGTGAGCAGCACGTGTTGGTCCATAAGGAAGGAAAAGTGATTTTTTCAGCTGCCCGTTGCTGCAACAAAAGACGGTTTTCATTATCAAAAAGAAACATGGAAAAGGCTCTATGTAATAATCCTTTATGAATATTTTCCATTAAGTGGCCTAGTTTATCCATTAGTTGTGAGTTCGCATAGTTTAACTGTTTTCTCTCATATCAAAGTTCCATACATTCTTTTTTCGTGCCAGATCGTACAGGCTTATCATTTTCGTCTACTACAATACAGACTTCTTCCATCAATCTCAATTGCTCTTCATCATAGAGCATTTGCTGCTGTGTGACGCTCATCGTCAATGTTGGTGAAGGGTAAGAGAACTTCTGGCATCTCCTTCGTACCACCCACCAACAACCAACTACGAGAAAACTTGGAATTGTTTCCAAACACTCCGTTTTCTTGGTTGATTGTTTCTTTTATTCTTTTTTAATTAAAACTTTAATCAATAAGTGTCTAAGCCCGTTTGCTTCTGCAAAATTTCGCTTTTTCCTAGCGAATTCAGAATTTACCAAAGAAAGACATTATTAAGATTTCCTTCTTTTTTCTTTTCATTTGGGATTTTTTTTTGATATAAATCTCAATTGAAATCTTATTTCTCACTTATCTGCATTTCAGTAGGTGCCACATCATAATTCAGTTTCTGTATCTTTTGTTCTCGCGCTTTTTATTTTTCATAAATTTATAAGAAAAAAACGAGTCATGGTAAAGCGTCGTACGGCCGCAGTTCTTCCCATCAATCTTCCTCATTTACAGCATTTGGTGAAAAAGGACCCCAAATCCTACCGCGACGAATTTTTACAGCAATGGAACCATTATGAGACAGTTAGAGAAATTTTCCTTATTCAACCATCCAATGATGTTACTGAATTCAGTTCCCTTGTTGACTTTATTGCTCAAACATGTAACCATTATACGGACATTACTAAGGACTTTTCGAAAGAATTAATGGACTTACTTCAAAAAAATCATGACCAGTTTCCTTTTGAACTATCTGAAAAAATCGTACAGGCTCTTGTTTTACTAAAAAACAAAAGTGCTCTGTCGCCTATCACACTTCTACAGTGCTTTTTCCCTCTCTTCAGCAGTAATCCTTCTCGAGCCTTCCGTGAACTCCTATATGAGCAGGTTTCTCTTACAGTACGTAATGCAAACAAGAAAGCCAAGAATGATAAGCTTAACAAAGCTGTTCAAGCTGCTTTATTTACCTTAGTGGAAACTTCTGATACGGCCTCTATAACACATACGGATTATTCTAACAAGAAGCATGAATATTCCCCAAACGAGCTTTCCGGTATGTGGGCTGTAAAAATGGTCCAAGACTTATGGAAGCGAAATATTTGGTCTGGTGATGCTCGAGCGGTCAACATTATGAAGACTGCCGCTTTATCAAACAACACCAAAGTTATGCTTAGCGGTATATATTTTTTCTTAGGTGCTGATACCCAAGAAAATGAAGAAGAAGAAGAAGAAGAAGACGATGGTTTGGATGTCTCCAAATTAATGCATCAATCGAATATTAATAAGAAAACAAAATCTCGTGAAGCTCAGATACTCCGTATTCGTGCTCTTGTGAAGAAAAAAGAAAGGGGGAAGATGGCACCCCCTGCAAATGTTAACTTTCCTGCTCTTCAACTTTTATATGATCCTCAAGGATTTGCAGAAGAACTTTTTGAAAAGCAATTAGTGAATTCAAATCGTTCTCTCTCTATGGATCATAAACTTGTAGTTCTTCGTCTTCTTACGAGATTGATTGGTACTCACAAGTTGACTGTTTTAGGTCTTTACTCGTACATGATGAAATATCTGACTCCCCATCAGCGTGAAGTTACTCAGTTTCTAGCTTGCTTAGCTCAAGCTAGCCATGAATTTATTCCTCCAGATGTTTTAGAACCTTTGATCCGAAAAATCGCTGACGAATTTGTCACTACAGGTGTCGCTAATGAAGTTGTGTGCGCCGGTATTAACGCCATTCGAGAAGTTTGTGCACGTTGCCCATTTGCTATGACGGCAGATCTATTACAAGATTTAACCGAATATAAGTCTAGCAAGGATAAAGGTGTTATGATGGCTAGCCGTGGTCTCATTACTTTGTATCGTGAAGTTGCTCCTGACATGTTGAAGAAAAAGGACCGAGGAAAGCTTGCATCGATGGAGTTGAAGGATCGTGCTCCAATCAAGTTTGGTGAAGAACTAAACGTTGTTCACGGTATTGAAGGCTTAGAACTGCTTGAAAAATATAAAAATGAAAATGAAGATGGTGGAAACGAGGACGACGATAGCAAATGGGAAAACTGGGAAGCTGTGGACAATGAAAGTGATTCAGGTGAAAGCGAAGGTTGGGTTAACCTAGGAAGTGATGATGATATCAATATTAGTGACAGTGAAGGGGAAAATAATAATCAAAAAGATACCGGAGGAACATCGGAAGATAAAGCTAAGCTTGAGGACAGCGAGCATAAAAATGAAGCTTCTAACTTGGCTGCTAGATCAATTTTGACTCCAGCTGATTTAAAGAAGCTGGAAGAACTGCGTGAAAAAGCTAACGTTGACCGCTTGGTCCATGGACCAAAACGTGTACATGCTGGCGACGCCGTTGTTGATGCAGGTGATATTGAAGGTCCAAAGAAAAGGATGAAAGACGATCGTGAAGGCCGTTTGGCACGTGTCATGGAAGGTCGTGAAGGTCGCGAGAAGTTTGGATCCAAGAGTAATCAATTTAATCCTACGAGTCTTTCAAATAAGAGAAAGCAAAAGAACAAAAACTTTATGATGATTAAACATAAAGTCAAAGGAAAGGCTGGAAGAAGCCTTATGCAGAAGCGGAAATCTTTGCGTGATCATATCGATCGCGAGAAAAAACGTATAAAGTAAAGGAAGATTAGTCTGAAAAGGTGTCAATGATTTAAGATATCTCTGGTGAGTTTTTTTGGTAATTGTTTTATAGAAAGGAATCGGTTTAGGGATTAGGACAATTAATATTATTGCATTATAATACAGCAATTGCATAAAGCTTCTTTGTGATGTACCTTAAGCAAAAAAATCAATATATCATTAATTAGCATTAGACTCATTACGATCATTACATGTTTGTTTAGGAACGCTTTACTGAAGATAGGGATGGAGTTACACCACATATACCTTTCTGAGTAATTCAGAAGCAAACTCTTTTCCTGAAAAAGGATCCCTTAAATATCCTTCTTGTATTCCGTTTGCTTCATTCCATGCAACTAAACTCTTAATTCCGTAAACATGCCCATTTGGAAATGCCACAGGACGATTATCACTATCCAGTCGTGCACCCGTTAATGAATCAACAATGACGGATTGCGTAACATGAGCATAAGGCAAAGATTGAGCGAGCACGCTTAGGTTTGGAGTGCATACGGGGCACTGCCGAATAGTAGAGGATTGAAAGGAGTGAGAAGTATGTGCAGCTTCGTAACTACAACAAGAAGGGGTTTTTAAAGAAGAAAGACCCGCGGCAATTGCAATATGCAAAATGGAAACCGAAGAAAGACTATGGACTTGAGTGAATGTTTTGGAAAATAAAGACGCTAGAAAATCCCATCGATTATCAGAAAGATACTCCTAAGAACTAAGTTAGACCAAAAATGATGCCCATAAAAAATTAGTACACTTACATTGTATCGAGAAGCTTTCGTGGTATATGGAATCGCCAAGAGAGCTGCCACCTGCTGAAGACGGACTGCATGAACTTTGGTCCAATTACCGAAGTAAGTCTTGGCAAAGTTAATTGCCTGAACTTTTTTATTCGATTTTATTAGTTCAACAAATCGTTGTATCCGAATCTCAAGCTCCAGAGTGCTGTTAATCTTTTTCAGAATGGATCGATGCTCGGCACACCATGCAAGAACCTCTTTCAACTCATGCCGAAGAATGGAATCAAGTATTTTCTGATATCTCTTGTAGACATCAATGTCTACCATTTCAAACAGGTCAGAGTTCTTGCACAACTTTATGGCAGAGTCATGATATCCATTTGCTAACATATAATCCGCAATTAATCGATTCAAACGAGTCCTCGACCAGTCCAAAAATTCTGGAGAATCCAAATCTTCAATTCTACTGAGAGTATTTATAAACTGTAAACGTAATCGTGTTCGTTGAATATGTATTTTTTCGGATTCCTTGAGCTGCGTCATCTAAACCAACGTCAGTAAAGCAATAAGCAACAAGGATTTTTACCTTTTGTTTCAAATTTCGTGTCCTTAAAACCAAGCCATCGATCTGTTTGACCTTGTTTTCGATGGGGATTGACTCTTGAAGCAAAGCTGTAAGCGTAGAGGTCATTACATGAGACTCATGTTCCAATTGCCGTAATACTTGCTTAAAATTTAATCTCAATTGCTCAAAAGACAGCAAGATTCCGGGCTTTTCCAGCATAAATTGTTGCTCCGGGGAGAAACTCATTATGATTGTATAAAACCTGCAAGAGATATTCACAGTAAAGTCTATACCAGAAAAGAATTAAAAAGATTATCTGTAAGAGCGAATTTATAAAGCTAAGAAAGAGCAATATCACTCAAATGAAGCAGGAACAATAGACTTTAAAAAAACAACAGGAAAAAAAGCAATACCACAAGACAAAAGCAGAAGCAATGGTTGAAAGGTTCAGCAGAATAGGATTTTCTTTATGAAAGGAGATATTTACAATGAACGACCTACTTTAGTATTGGTAGAGGATGCAAAGCAAACGACTGGGGATTTGTTCACGTCAAGAACCATAACGATGAATATGTCGCTGGATAGATCCTTAGATGAAATTATTAAGGACAAAAAAGTAAGTTCTAAAAAATAAACAAAATCATTTACAATATAGAAAAGTAGTGTTTTTCGAAAACCAAGAAAATCTGATCGTCAGAATAGGATTGACAAAAAGCGAGGAAAGGTATATACTTTAGGACAGAGTGACAATCTTTAGCTTGATATAAGGCTAACATGATTCCTTCTGCATTCAGAGACCAGTGAAACGCTTTACATCACAGATTCCTTCTATTGACAATGAACCATGGCAGCATGATTTGAACCAAGAAGATGATTTACCTCAGAGCAAGAAGCTATACAGAGAAAAGGGAAGAGACAGGTATGCTTCTATGCTCAGAGATGTACAGTCTGTTATGCCGAGATGAGCAATTTGAGATGTATTGGACCGTCATGCAAGCTAACATTGGATTCAGAAATTCTTCCACCGAATCTTTGTATATTGTTTTAATTGAAAATTTACATTATGAGCTATCTGAAGAAAATGTCAGGGTAAGTTGCTACTGGTGATAATAGATATACTGGAAGAAACCGAACATTGTGTGCAAAAAAAGCCGGTTCATGAATGCGTAGCAACGAAGGCTTTTCCCTTAAGGTCTCGCTCCATAGTGACCATGGTTATTGGCATTTTACCTTGCAGGTTGTATTTAGGAAAACAACTTTACATACAATCAGCGGCTTTCGAACGCGCAGCCTCAAATATCATTCTAGTTAAAAGGCTCAGAGAAAAGATTGGTCTTCTAAACGCATTACAAGTCATCCTTTGAAACCAAGAGCTTTCTCGATGCAGTACCTTCAATCAATCTATCTTCTCAAAATATTTTAAGCTATCTTATTATTGACAAGGTTTATTAGTCATTCCTATCAGAATTTCATCCTAGTTCTATTCTCATGGATTATGATCGTGCCGGTCGTTCTGAAGGAACTTGTCGCGCTTTTTTCTCCTCAAAAGAAGAAGCAGAACATGCTGTTGAATCTTTGGATGGTCATTTTGTTAATAATCAACCGATAAAACTGTTTTTAAAGCCTCCTACTTCCCTTCTGGATCGAATTTCTTCTCCCGTTAATGCTAGGAGTTCTCATAAAAAAGCCTCATTCAAGGATTTAAGGGATCCAGGCAATGAAAAAGAAATAGCACATGTCCATCCCATTTCTCATGAGGACCTCGATCGAGAACTGGATGCTTATGCAGCTTCTTACCAAACACCAACAAATTGTGAACACATGCCAAAGGAATCTCCTGATAATACAAAACCTATAGAAACAGAAAACAAAGGCTTCGTTTCGGTATCTGTTCAGAATACAGAGGATATGCAGCTTGACAATTCATAGCGTTTGAAGCTTGTACTTCACCAAATCAGAGAAAAGTAGGTCTTAATGAATTTATTTCTTTTTTAAAACTAACAGACTGTAGACGATTGTACCTCTAGTATGAACTATTTTGTCGTCCTACTTCCCCATACATCCATACAAAACACACCATTTCCACAATTTGTCGACCTGGCAAAACAGCCATTGTAGCAATCAACTCCGACCAATTTGCATCAATATATCGTCAAAAAACTATTAATTTTTCCTTCTATGCATGTTTTTTTAGCTAACTCATTGATCCTTTCATAGTTTCATTCAGTTGTTTTCATTTGAGATTCTGGGTTTTCTGCGTCATCTTCCGAGTGATTTACTGTCACTTTTATTGATATTCTGAATTATATTTCTGTTATCATGTTCCAATTCACTTCTACTTCCTTGCCAGAGTATGAAGGTCCATTGCGTGTCGGTTCGGTAGTCATTGAAACGAGTGTTCCTGAAGAACTTCGGTGCCAGCTTCCTAGCATTGAACATGAGATGAAAACAGTTAAACTTCGAATGTTTTATCCCCTTCTTCCTAACAAGGATGTGAGACGCCGGAAAGACGAGCTTTGGCTTCCTTTCAATGAGGGAGTTCCACAGATTGCTAAAGGGTTTAAATGGTGGATGATTCGCGCATGTGCATCATGGTTTTCGAAAACGTCGCTTCCTGTTTACGATGGGGATATATATCAGGACAGTCAAAATGCTAAGCTGCCGGTATTATTGTTTAGCCATGGACTTTTAGGTTCGAGAAACGTTTATTCTTCTTTATGTGGAAATATTTCTTCGTATGGGATCGTTGTTTTGGCATTAGAACACCGCGACCAGACTGCCATTATTTCGACTGTTCGTGATCCTGCCGACCCGGATGATAAAGGTTATCTTCTTCAATACCATGAAATCAAAGATTTTTATAGCGATAGTACTGTTGCTTTGCATAAGGACAGGTTTTTTTTTCGTGAAAGAGAAATCCAACTTGCTATGAAAATGATCCGCTCAATCAACGAACACGGTGTGCCTAGTCTAGACACAGCCTACTCTTGCTCTGCTGACCCCAAATTATATACACGTCTTTTTGAATCACTAAAGGGTCGCTTGAATACTACCAAAGGAGAGATTTTACTTTCAGGTCACTCTTTTGGAGCTGCCACCTGTGCTTATATAACAAATTCTTCAACTCCTTCGCTCAATCACAATTACCTGCATCGTGAAGAATACAAATGTGCGATTTTGTATGATATTTGGATGTTCCCCGTTCGTCAGCTGAATATACAGAAAATCCGATACCCTACATTGATGATTATCTCCTATGAATTTCATCGCTGGACCGATAATTACGAGGCCTTGAAAACGTGGCTTCTGGATCGCGAGTCGGAGTCTCAAATTGGTCAGGAAAGTGCTGCAGACAAACTTGATATTGTTTCAAATGAGAAGACTTCGCACGTATTCGTCTTGAATGGGACAGTCCATGCAAATCAAAGTGACTTGCCTATCCTTTTACCAAGCATGGTTCTCAAAATTTTAAAGGGAAAAGTAAAGGCTGATCCTTATGAGGCTGTAAAAATAAATACTCGCTCATCTGTTCAGTTTTTGCGGGAAAATGGAATCAAAATTCAAGGGGAAAATGACCCCGATTGTTTACGATCGGAAGTCATTCCTGGTTGGGAAAAAATCATTTAAGTGAATTTTTGGTATTTTGGTTGAAAAAGATGGCCCACCTCTAACCTTTTTGCTTGTTTTCTATTTATTATTTCAGCATGCTAAAACAATGGAATATCTTCGTTTTACAAAGTTTCTATATCAAGGGACTGCTGATGCTTCATAACACAGTTTTGTTTTGTTTTTTATTACGCTTTATAAAAGATCATTTTAAATCATGACACTCTACACACAAATGTAAAATTAACCTATAATAACCATTTCATTACGGGATGTGACATGAATAATGAAATTAAATTAAAACGTGAATTACTACTTTAGTCAAAGCACAATAGAAATAGCATATAAATTTTGCTGAATTGTAGGTATTACTTGCAAATAAAAAGCTGGGATTCTTTCATTAGGATTGATACAGAGCAAGCTAAACCGCATCATAGAAATCAAAACTGTAAAAGAAAAATATAGGAAAAAAAGACTAACACTTTTTATTTCTTGAACTAAAAACGCATAACATCAGCATTTTCTTTTTCAAAGATCTCGTCCAAAATAGATCATATGACAAGGTATATTCACACGATACCACAATTAATAAATATTTTAAGATGAGGACGAATTAGTGGAAAACTCAGCAATAATAGAACTCAAAAAAGCAGTAAGAAAAATCAAAAAGTTATGGATTCCAAAATAACATAACAAAATCATACAAAATCATACATAATAATTCACGATTTATCCTATGTACGGTTGTCAAAGATAGGAATAAATACCAACGGTTTTCTGAGTCTTTCACAACAGTTTAAAAATCTTGGAAAATATCCGTGAATTCTGGATTCTCAGTGCCACCATAATTCGTGGGACCAGTAGCATAAGCCTCAAATTGACTCGAATCACCCATGCCAGCACGGATTGGAGGTACATAAGGAACTTCAATTTTACGAGTCAAAATCTTGTCCCAACTGATGTCTCGGAACCAAGGATGCATAATTATATCCATACTTCCATCTTTAAGGTTTCCATACCGATTAGTAATATCTCTTTGAAGAAGATGATTCATAAGGTCAATGCTAGACGAGGAAAAATATTGGGGATAGGAGATATTACCTTCAAGGATATTCTCATAAAGTTTCATTGGATTCTCCGAATAAAAGGGAGGGTAACCAGCAAGCATTTCGAATATGAAAATACCCAAGGACCACCAGTCAGCAGCTTTGTTATAGGGTTTCAAAGAAATAATTTCAGGAGCCAAGTAATCCGGGGTTCCACACAGCGTAAAGCAATTATTGGTAGAAACACGTTTCGCAAAGCCAAAGTCGACAATTTTTAAATGTCCAAATCGATCGAGTAAAAGATTTTCAGGCTTTAAGTCACGATATACGATTTGGTTATGATGCAAATAATCTAAAGCCAAAATAACTTCGGCTGCATAAAACTTCGCAACCTTCTCCGGAAAACGATGACATTTTCTAAGAAGGGAAAACAACTCACCACCTTCCGCAAAATCCATGACCATGAATAAATTCTTAGCGTCTTGGAACGTTCCCCACAAAATTGTGATAAAAGGATGCTGAACTCTAGAAAGAATATGGCGCTCGTCGCAAGTATGTTCAACTTGCTTCATGTCAACCACTTTTCGTTTTTCCAAAACTTTAATAGCGTAGAACAACCGATTGTGTTTGGATTGAACCAAATGTACTCTGCCGAACGATCCTGTACCTAAGGTTTGCAGACAATCAAAATCTTGGATTCCATAGCGACCCTTGGTTGTATGGTCCGCAGGACGGATTCGTTTTCTCTGTAGATCAAGTAACTGTACAAGGCGTGCCTTGCGAAGTTGGCGATCTCGAAAGTTGTCGGCGCTTCTTCCGGTATTTCTGTATTGCTGAGTCTCAGTACTCCGAGAACTGGCTTCACTAGACGAAGGGGCTGGCTTATCCGTGGAAAATGAAGGCTGTTGTTGTTCCGCAGATCCGGCTTCTTGCATAGATTGCATGGACTCTACTTGAGGTCCCTCTGAAGCTGATGGCGCTGGCTGGCTCATAGTTGCTTCGTCTAAAGCGGCAGGAATACCAGATGAATAGACATTAGACGAAGAATTTGTTTTTTCCACAGACTTTTGCTCTTCTTGCTCTGAACCATTATTTTTTTGCTCTTGAGGCGGAGATTTGGGGGTACCGTCGGGTTGCCGATCCATGTAGCCATCCACTTTGCTAGTTTGATCGGTAGATGATGCAGGATATGCTGCAGTCTGCATTTTAAAACACACTGAATATATTTCCTAATGAAAAGGAAAATTTATAAAATAAGATAAGATGATAGGTGTTACTATAAGACACAAACACAGTAAAAGTCTTGAAATTTACAAGACAATGAAGAACCAAAGTTTATCGATAAACTCAGTAATTTTCCGATGATAGTTTAAAGTCCAAACGATCCACTTTTTTCCTTCCAATTGTTTTGAAAGTAACCGAATGCTGAAGAGATGAATCCCTTTTTTTATTCTGTAATAAAACAGCAAATTCAACGTACTTTATCCTCAAAGAAGCCCGTTGATTGGAAGACAAACAAGATAACTCGATACTACTGACTGTAATCTTTATTCTACCTTATTTGCTTCGTGCTTTCTATTTCCCCTGCAATATTGCAGAAATTAACTCCTCCACAAATAGTCTCTCTTCGTTTTTAAGAATGCTTTCTTAGAACTTGTGTTTTGCAGAGGGCAAGTGAAGCTTGGTGTTGTCATTCCCCAATATGTTTGAAGTCATAATTTGAGGAGGAATAACGTAGCCCATCACCCGCGCAAAATATGCCATTGAACACTTGCGTATCGACGGCTATTCCATTAAACGATTCTTCCGAGCTCGTTAAAATATAAACACTAAAAGGTAAAATAAGCATTACAAGACATTCAATAGATACAAAGAAAGTAGCGAGTAGAAATGAAAATCAAGGAAACGAAATATAAAAAGCCAGTAAGTTTATGAAGTTGCTTTGAGAGTCCTGTAAGGTAGAAATGTGTTTTTGGTTGAGACTTACAATCATAAAATGCAGAACGTATTGAAGTTTTTTTTTTCATCTTCAGTGGATTAAGACGTTTACAGTATGTATCATGTTCATGCTAACTGAATTCACGTACATGATCTGTATTAGGTTTGAATTCCTCGGTTTTTATGCTCAAGTTATCCATGGCTGCATAGAAAATATGCTCTGTTCTTTTAGATAACAGCGATCCTTATGCTTTGTAAAAGTATAGCAACATTTTATTTAATATGGAAAGTACATAATGAAGTATCATTCTATAATTGGAATACTATTGCTATCCCAAATAACGGATCATTAAACCCGGTATTTTTCATTCATAAAGGTCATTATTCATTATTTGTATTAGGAACGGCATGTATAAGCTCCCAAACTCGAAGACTCAGATCTTCAACAAATTCACGAGATAGAAACGAATATTGACAATTTTGGAATTTGTCCTTCAAGATACCACTCCAGCAAGATTCAAAAAATTGTAACAAAATTTGGACGCTCGTAAGCTGATCATTTGAAAGCTTATTCAACGACATAGTAAGCGACAATTTTGTCGAAAGCGAGCTATTCGTACGTGATTTTGACTGAGTCGCCTGACTTAAGGCACTCTTCGGTCCTTGGAATAAACTGCTTGTTTTAATCAAATCCCAAAGTGGATTAGGGGATTTGTCTATCTGACTCAATAAGTTTGGAGATTCGCTTTTAGGGTCTGTATCGTCATAAGGCATCAATGTTAGAATCTGTGATTGCTGCAACAGTTTACGATAAGTACTATTTGCATCTAAATCCAAATTCAATTTCCAATGCTTTGAACTCAATGTCGTAATGGAGTGTATACTATCAAGAGAAGGTAAAAGGCCTGGTGCTTCAAAATTTTGTACTGTACCATTCTTATGACATATTTTCATTGGAATAACGCATGGCTTCTTCGTATCTTGATCCCTAGGAATGAAACATCTTTCCTCAACAGCGAGTGCCCAAAGGTTCCTTAAAGCTTGCAAATGTAAATGGTTATCCTGTGTATTCTTCGCAAACTGAGGATATAAAGAAATAAGTAATGCTGCAATCGCCAAATTACTATGAGACAACGAATATCGACCTTCTCCTAACGTTAGAATACCAAGTGCCATATGCGTAGCCATTTGAGCACCATAATTTACGGGTTCAATTCTCCCGTGCAGCAACCGAAGCCTTTGGAGCACTTCCAAATCACAGTATCCAGCCATCACACATGCTACTGAAAGAGCTACTACATGTGTGCAACGGATGACGGTAACATAAGTGACTCTTTCATCATAAGTCTTTGCTGGTAATCGACAAAGGCGGATAAAATTGTCCAAAAAGTTGATAAGAATTTCTTTCGCTTTTAAGTTTCCTGTGCCGACAAAACGAAGTCCAAGTGAAAAACAGATACCACTTATAACATTATACAAAAGTAGATCATCTGAAGATAGTATATTTTTTTCGCGCAAATCAAATTGTGAGATCATAATATCAGGAATTTGACTTTTCACCCATTCAAAGTCTGCTTTAACTTCATCCCACATAACAAGATTTTTCCCCAAAACTCGTAGAAGAATAATATCCGGTCGATAAAAGTCAAGTAAATATCTAGATTTCGGAATATCTATTTTACTTGCGATTTCGACATCATTTGTTTTTAAATATATTAATACTAATGCCATTATTGCTCCAGGAGATCCGGTTTCCAAAGATTGAAAGGCAGCTTGACTGGATATCCCCATCTGTAGTCTTGATACAAGCTTCAAATCCGCCATTCCAGGAAGATTCGAGCCTTTTCCGATATTAATTAATCCTAACGCGAAACCAGCAGCAAGCTTGTAACCTTCGTTTTTATATTGATTTTGTTCAGGCGTTAATATTTCCTCCATGGTGACTTCCGACATCCGTCTATGACAGGAGTCGTAAAACAGCAACCCAATTCCCAGGATTCCTGCAGTCTGTGTTAAAGGCGAGATATTCAGCTCACTGGATCCCACAGGTAATAGTGCCAATACATGCACACTTAACAGTTTGGTAACTTTTGCATCCATTGTACCGAGGTAGGATACAGATAATCCTAACAGCAACCCAATACTAGTAGCATCGTGCTTGCTAGTTAAGTAAATGAAGGAATGCCATGTAGCAAGTTCTTTCAAATGGCCATTGAGGCCTAAACCGAGCAAGAATCCAGCATGATAGGGGGAAAGGGTACCAGGTCTATTAAACATTATCCAACTAGTATTAACTTCTGTAGATAGTTTGGAGACTGTGAGACCCTGAGAGACACCTGCATGGAACTCAGGCCATTCAGTTAACGAAGGGGTTATGAAATCTTTATCGGGATTAATTAGCAAAGTACCAGGATGCAGATGAACGGTGAACTTAAAAGGAAGGGGATTTATTCTTTCAGTTGGAAGAGGGTGTTTGGTACCATACGTAAGCATACCAGTGCCGATAGGTATTGCTAGACTCCTAATACAAATTGACTGAGCTAATTTTTGTTGCATCGTGACTGAACTCAGATCAATATCAAATTGATCAGTCATAACGCTGATTTGCTTGGAATAACATAGCAACTGTTCAACCTCTGCTAAACGACGGTCCTCGCGGAAAATCATGTCAGTATAAGGCTGTTTAGCATGGGTAGTTTTGAGATCATTAAGTGTAAAGTCGGTTACAGAATTCGTTAAAACTCGTATATTCTTATTTTCTTCTGTCGGAGTAGAGAGAAACCAATTTGACTTTTTAGGATGTAGAAAACAATCAACATCTAAGCGATTGACGATCTGCAGTTCCTCGCTTCCCCAATATCCTGGAAAATCATAAGCACATATATCCAATATGGTGTAAAAAATCGATGAAATGCCCGAGGGATATCTTTCAATACGTTTTCTTGTTATGCCTAGACGCACCATCTCTTCAACAAAGTTATGCAATGACATTTGATGATTAAACAAGCAATCAAAGAGTTGGAAAATGGCATAGCTTTGAGGAAATAGGGCATAGCATGAAGATGGTAGACCATAAATTTCAGGACTGTAAGAGCTTAAAAATTTTTGGAGATAAAAACATTCAATCATCCACTTATATATAGAAGGAACTTCATTTGGTTCTTGAATTCGCGTTTCTAATAATAGCGGTTCAATTTTACAAATATCTGAGGCATCAAGCTCATAATATTCATTGAAACGCTTCCAGCATGTCAGACGACTTAATTGATACAAAAAGGATACTAAATAATCCTTTCTCGGTTTTGCAGTAATGTCCAACCTCAGCTCCTCTGCTATGAAATGTAGAGATAGACTAATAAGTGGAAGAAACGATTTGAAGGAAGAATAATCAAATTCTGAGGAAAGGAAAAAGGCGATCTCGATTTCTTTCTTAAAGTTTATTAGAGATGAAAGATAAACTGCTTCCTCCAGTGTATCTGTTTTCTTTGGAAGCGCTCGGGTAGGAGAAAAGAAGAAAAAGCATGCTAAAACTGCTGAAAAAAATGCTTCATCATCATTAAGTTTATAAGTAAACAGAGAAAATAAATATCCTGTATAAAAGATTTCATACTCACGGAGAGGTAAAATATGCCGTAGTACTCTAAACAACCATTTAACAAGACTGTTGGAGACGTTTTGATCAACCGATAAATACCTTTTATTTCCTTGCGTATCCTCCAAATAAAGGGAAGCACCGTGCACAGAGAAATTACGAAATGACCCTTCTAAGGTAAGTGAAGGCGACATGGGAGATTCCAAAGTAACCTTTCCTTTAGCAGAAAGAACAACGATTTTCTGGAGATGCTTTGATTTCAATGCCGCGATGTTGGTAGCATGTAGCTGTAAAGAATCCAGAAAATAGGGTGGTTTTCCTTGTACAAGACGAAAAATCATCATATAAGCTTTTTGAAGTTCTTTGACAAGAGAGAAGATAACAAGTACCCCATTAACGATGACGGAATCGAATGAAGTTACGGAACTCATGGGGAACGATTCAATGTGAGAAAAGACAGCAGAATATACAAATCCCTCTTCCTCAAACTTGTTGAATATGGAATCAGTGGCCGAGTAATACAAAGATTCTGACCGAGTGATTTCGGAAAGTCTGTCTTTTGAGGCGACACTAGATCTCCGCTTTCCTCGAGGCCTTTGACTAATACCGTGTGTACTTGTATCTGAAAATCTGCTTCTCCAGAACGATAGCCTCTTTTCTTTCTCATTATGGGTCACAACGATGTCATTGACAATGTAAACAATGGAATCATGAGCAGAAAGCTTTTTTTTCCCTTCAATACGGATCAAACTCAACTCGTCCAATGGCCCATTCAAACAAAAGATGCGAGGCCATCCATCTTGTGCGTCTTCGCTATCAAGATGAAGACGTTCTAAATAAATACCCTTTGGAGAAGCCCAAGCGCTTTTGGTAGAAAACGGGATATTCACAATATACGTGTCATTATTTTGATCATTCACATAATATATGTACCCAATATCATCGAGAATAACTACGATTGCTTTTTTGTTTTCATCGAACGTTGTAATGAGGGCCGCTCGCACGTTTTGACCGTCAAGACTATAATCAAATGTGCGATTCAAGTGATCGTTTACATAATAGTTTACTGAGCTTCCTTGGATTTCGATTCGTTCTGTTTCTTGTAAATCAAGTATTGTGCTAGACGTAGATTCGTCGATAATATCTGTTTTTAGTTCCAGCATTCTTCATCAAAATTTATCCAGTTTAGTCTCTAAAATCTACACATTTCCTTCACAATAGGAGTTTGGAGTCGGTTAAGTGGTGGAGGAATCGTCTTTGGAAAATGTAAACAAACAACAAACCACGTTGTTGTCGTAACTGGTCCTTTGTTTACAATTAGAACCTGTTTCGATCCTTTTTGTTTCACTAATTTTTTTTATACTTCGTTTATTTTCACTTTTACTGTAAATTACAAGTTCGTTGTCGATAGAAACCTCCTTCACATAGTTCCTGTTTATTTCTGCAACAGGATGCTAGATAACACACTGTATCACCTTAAACTAAGTTTACGATAAGGATAACTAGTACGTTATGTTAGTAAATAAACCATGTGGTCTTGATGAAACTTGATTTTATGAAAATGCTTGCTGAAAGTTAATTGTTCGTCGATCGTTTCGTTATTTCTTTCAGTTGTATCGTAGAGTTTGTTAAAATGATCGCTTAAAAAAAGAATTGATTCCGCTGTTCTTATTTTCTTTCGTCTTCCGTTTACCTGTTTTCATGAAGAGTAACAAACTCAATAAATTAGTTAGTTGTCTCTAATTGTCTAAAGAAACAGATATTTCATTGGAATTTTGGCCAAGCTCCTTTTTTCTGTATATTAAATTTTTTTGCAAACCTTTCATGAGAACTGAACCTATTTCTCGAAAACAACTATACGATGTTCATGGAAACAAAAATCAAACTGGGTAGACAAGACAATTCTTGCGCATGAACCAAACGATACCTTCGCTGACTCCTCCTCTTCCTTAATAAACACTTTCTTTCTTACAGCTTGCACCAACGAAACGTGAAGTATTCAAGAAAACCAACATATACCATACTCGTCCTACACTGATTCATCTTTTCCTGATTTCTTGTCTCCAATTTTGTTAATGTTTTTCTCTCTTTGTTACCCAGTATTCAAATATCCAACTACCATCTTGAATGATCATTACATGTTCTCGATTTCTTAGAGAAAATTAATCTTTCATATGACAAGAAATACCTACTGAAAAGGACCACGAACGAAATACTTCCTCCGCTTTATATCTGATCAGTTGTTTAATATCAAAACACATGACACCGGCATAAACTGAACAATATGTACTCACGAATATCATTTTACACCACCTCAGCTACCCTATAGGTTAGGAGGTTTTAAATGTAATATAAAACATGTTTTTTAACAAGCATTCATACAGCCAATTTTTTTTGTAACTGTCAATAAACAGATAAACATCATGTAGACACACTCTCTTATACGCAAAAATTCGCTATCTTTGATAGAGACATCGTTTCTCATCGGTATTCAGAAGGATATAACCTAAGATGGCTCTATTATCTTATACGAATAAGAAAAGCAATTCTTGGAAAAGAAAAGAGAATAAAACTAACATCTATTTAAAAAATAATAAAAAAGAAATTGAGTCTTTTTTACCTGCCTTTAAATTTACGCTGGAGTTTCCCTCCTATAGTTAAGCATCTCTATGAGCAGCAACAGTTTTTGGCGAAATTTCCGTCTATCCCGGTTCTCATGGACTAAAAATCCAATCCTTCCTTTATATAATTTTCCTGTGCGTCGTTCAATGGGCTCATCTGCTCCTACGGGTCGTTTAAGCCTCAGTCAACGTGTGAAGGATCTTACAAAAAAGTATGGCTGGTGGGCTCTGGGAGTATACTTAGGCATCTCTGCCATCGATTTTGGAATATCCTTTGCTTTTGTTCGTACATTAGGCACAGAGAAGATTGGTTACATTGAACAATCGGTAGTGGGAAGCCTCCGTCGCTTCTTCAATTGGGAACCCAACGAAGTTCCCTCCCCAGATGAGCCTCAAACGTATCATTCTAGCATATGGACAGAAATGGTCGTTGCTTATGGGATTCATAAGGCTTTGATTGTAGCTCGCTTACCCATCACAGCTGCAATTGTTCCTCCTCTAGTAAAGCGATTCCGGGGCAGAAATATGCGATTACGATAAATTGAACCATACTTCTACATAAATTGTTTTCCTTGTTTTACGATTTCCAGAAGAAAAAAATAAGAACAGCATGAGTTTTAATAAGAATGTATCTTTTTTCGTTATCCTCCTCTTGATCGTAATGAAACAATCCAACAAATGTTTTCCCAGCTCACCATACAGGTAATCTTGTTTCTAACTTTTTATATTACGGTTCTGTACAATAAAAACATATTTTCTATTTGAATGGAACAAAAACTACAAACACCATATATTGTGTGAAGCTTCTTACCAAAACACCATTTTTATATTAAAAATAAGCAACAATGACAAATACATGCTAACGAGCCAATGTTATATCATCAATCTTCATGATCATCTTTGTCGTCTCAGCAGCCAGCTGAATAGAGCTAATATTAACAAGAACGGGCTGTAAGACCTTCTCCTCCAAAATGTCTGTAACAATTCCTTTACGAACATTGATACCAGCAGTTTTCTCTCCGTTTGCATGACGGCTGCGAAGTTCTGTGACGACTTGAATAGCACTTAAACCAGCGTTTTCGGCAAGGGTAACGGGAATGATTTCTAAAGCTTCTGAAAATGCACGGAAGCAAAGAGCCTCTCGCCCTTCCAACGTACGAGCCACATCCAAAAGGTGCTGAGCAGCCTCAATTTCTGGAGAGCCACCACCAGGAATCAAAGCTCTTTGCTTAACAAGACAACGAATAACGCACAACGCATCATGAAGAGAACGCTCGGCTTCTTCTAATGTAAGAAGGTTTGCTCCTCTACAAAGAATTGACACAGTTTTACCAGCGTTCTTTACGCCCATAAACTTGACAATTTTTTCACCAGATGAAGAGGCTTCTTCTACCAAGTCAGCATGGCCCAATTTATCTTCAGTAAAGGATTCAATGTCGGCAATAGGCTTGCAGCCTGTGGATTTACAAATAAACTCGACTTCATCACGTTCAATGTCCTTGATGACCATAATTTTAAGCTTGGCCAAGAAATGAAGAGCCAAATCGTTGACGGCATCACGAAGAATGGATTTCTGAATGAGGATTACATTAGCACCAGACTTCTTAATTTTCTTGCACATGTTGAGTAAATATTGACGTTCTTCTTTCAAAATCTTATCCATTTGACGATAATCATTCACGACTATTTGATTTTCCATATCGGGCTTGGGAGGAGAAAGTTGGAATTGAACAAGAGCGATGTTTGCCTTTTCCATCCGAGACGGTCCACCAGCCGTTTTCACAGCAGTCTGCGTTAATGCAAGACCAGGAATCAATTCGGTGTCATCAATAATACCACCAAGCTTCTTTACAATACGAATGTCCTTCAAATCAACGTTTGTAGCGACACGGGGATCAATCACCTTCAATACAGCATCCACGGCAATAGGGGCGAGCAAAGAGCTATATTGGGAGACAATTTTAGAGTTCAAAGACGTGGTAGCGGCACGTAAGAGCGATTCTCTGTCTGATAATTCAATATCGAGAGCTCCCTTTTTCATGCATTCAACAGTAACTTCAGCGGCACGCTGGAAAGACTCAGCAATCACAGTAGGATGAATACCCTTTTTCAAAAGTTTCTCTGCACAACTAAGCATAGATCCTGCTAAAACTACAACACTTGTCGTGCCATCTCCTGCCTCTACATCTTGAGCTGCACTCAAGTCTACAAGCATCTTAGCAGCAGGATGAAGGACTGACAAATGCTTCAAAATAGTAGCACCATCGTTCGTTAACACAACCTCGCCTTTTCCGGTTTGAATCATTTTATCCATTCCTCTAGGTCCTAAACTCGTGCGAATCGCGTCTGCAACGGAGCGCGCAGCAGTAATGTTCGACAAGCGAACTTCCTGAGGCTTTTCTCGGTCCTGAAATGCCACTTGAGACGTTGCAGCTTTCGACATTGTTGTTCGTTTAGGAAAGGCAGAATTGAGCTGTTTCTTTAAAGAAGGTCTGAGCTGCATAATAGTGAATTAAAAAAGATTTTGTAAACATACATTAACGAATCTTAAGAGTTCACTATAAATTACTAAAGTAATACTGTAGAGATCCTTATAGTATTTACCAAATTTTTTAAACCTACGTACCGTTGCACTATCTAATATACGGTTCTTCAATTTCTTTCAAGCTTGATGTTGCAGGATGGTCAAAAACTTTTGCTCTCTTAGCTTTACAGTGTAAACAAGTTGGAGCAGAGTAATCCATGAATTAATCGATTTAAGAAATCAGATATATAGCCTAAAACTTGGAGCATCATGAATTGGAATATCTACATCAGCCTTGAAGTTCGTTTCCAATTGGCGACAGCCAAGAAGTTGTTTAGTTCTGCAAGTGTAAAGCATGAAACGCCAAATTCTTCTGTGGCTTTCTTTGACGCGGCCCTTCCTGGGTCTATGCCGGTATGAATTTTTACAGAATCACAAAATTTTAGTCTAAATATGTGCTCTTTGCTAACTAGGAAACCAACAGTCTCTAAACCCAGAAGCTTTAAGGCTTGCTATTCAAGGAGCGCTGGCACTCAACTGCGATATTGCGCCAATTTGTCAATTTGATCGAAAGTTAGTCTTTCATCCTGATTCGCTAGCTGGTTATCAAATCACCCAACATGAGATGCCATTGGGAGAAAATGGATTCATAGACCTCTCTCAAGATTTGGATGAGGTTGAAGATATGCGTATTCCTATTCAGTCCATACAGTTGGAGCAGGTATGATTTAGCCATATATATATTTCTTTTGAGACTAACAACCTTTCAACATAGGATGCTATAGAGTCAATCCAGGCGAGTCATCCTACCAAGCGTTTCCTGGATTTTAATCGTGCTGGATCACCAGTGATAAAAATTACTGTACCTCCATGTCTACACGAAGAGCAAACTACTGGTGCCCTTTTACGTAAGTTACGAATGGTTCTTTGTCATGCAGGGATTTTGAATAATAAAACGGAGCTCGATGGAATGAATTGTAGTGTGAATATCTCTAGTCCTTCAGGAACATCGCACCAAAAGAATATTATTTCTGGTATAAAACCTTTTAAGATAGAGCTGGAGAATTTATCTTCTGTGCAAAGTGTGATGACTGCCATTGAATTTGAAGTACGTCGTCAGTTTTCACCCACCGAAAATAGTAACCCTTTGCGTACTCAAGTAAGAGGGTTTGACGATAAAGCTGGAGAAACGTTTTTCCTTTATGAGAAACTAGTTCCTGAGGGTCATCTTTATGTTCCTGAGACGGATATACCACCCATCAACTTATCTAAGGTATATATATGAGATTTCAAAAAAATTTAAGCTAATGCAATCTAGGCATATGTTGAAAAACTGAATTCTTCCATGAAGCCTCTTCTTGACGTTCTTTATGCAACGCTAACGTCTAAACCCTATATGTTGCCTAAACCGGAAGCTCGCGCACTTTTATTCTATCCTGAGGGCTATTCCTATTATACTTCTGTCTGGAATAATATAGTCTCTCAGAAGAACTTTTCTTCGGATATAATCAATGATGCTTTAAGGTCTTTAGCATCTTTCGTTGTCACTAATCTGTCAACTATTTTCAACGAGCAAAGAGAAAGAGGCGGATTTTATTCAATTTCCCCAAAGCAGTTAGCTGAGCTTGTTTTGTCTTCGTATTCTAAAAAAGGGTCTCCCATAACCTCAGAAACCTTAGTTAATTGGTTGGCCACTAAGGCTGAAAAAAATTCTGTTTCTCGTATGGCTTAATCAATAAGGCTTGAAGTGTCATTTATTGCTTTAATGGGATTATTGATTGAAGTTACTGGCAAGGTACGGCTGCACTAGAAAAGGGGTACTATGGAATTTGAAAAATGGTTGGACATTTACGGTCAGGAAAAAATTGGGATTATTGGAACAATATTTGAATTAATATAGATGTTAACATTGAAATAAACGGAACAAATTTCTTTATTATAGCGGAATAGGTTATTTTTGAAAGGAGGCTTATGAATTTTGTTGAGTCTAATCATCATACTAATATTTATACTTATACGTCTTTTTTACGATACGATGAGAATACTCTCTTAAAGGGATGAAACTATTGTTTACAGGGTAGGGCTACCGGGTTCCTTTTTGCTATGTATAGACGAGAAGTACAGTCTCTGTTTGTATATTTGTCTTGAATTTTGTAACTCTAAGTTGCTGCTTCTAGGTGACATCTATATACAGCTACAATGTAGATATCAATACAGTTCTCAAGTTTAAACATAGGGCTAGCTAATTTCTAGGTTCGAATTGTGTACATCTAACTAGAGTTGGAACAGAATATCACTTGGATGCTTATGCGGTTTATCTTTTCATCTCTCTTTACCATTTTCCTGAATATAGGAAAATTCATCTTGAAGACCTGGAAGAGTTCTACTCAGAAATTTGACTTTTCTTTCAATGAAATGGAACCATTCGTCGCATACTATTGGCAGTGTCTTATTTCTGTGACAACTACTGTTCTTATAGAGATAATCCTTCAAGGAGACGATTCCATCGATCAACTGCTTTCTTGAGATATTGCTTATATTTGGTGCTTTTGGAAAGACTTAATTACAAGTCAAGGATGATAAGTAGAGTCCGAATACAAAATTTAGCATACTATTGAATTACTAGATGAATGACTGAAAGGATTTCGAAGGTGTAAATGTACACACTCAACAAGGGTGAGCACTTTTACTTTTCTTTCTTCGTCCGTAATAGATTTCTTTACAGATTCTTCTTTTATTCCTTTAACATCGGTTCATCGAGAGAATCTACTTTTGTAAATAAACATTTCAGGAATGACTCACAGGTGACAAGTTGCTAGGTAACATGATTTATTCTACAAGCAGCTTTGGAAAAGAAAATTTTACAACATTGAAGGTCGTATCCAACGCCTTTTTGTTAGAAACCGACGCATTTTGTATCGAATGGATCAATATTTATTAGACAATTGCGCATCTTTAGCGTCAAAAGATGTCGAGATCAATTCGTTAACTTCTTTTCATACAGCTGAATCCATCAAAGATGTAATAAAAGACTTGGCTGTCAAACGGAATCTTCCCTTAGGCGGAAAGCTGATTACTGTAAAAGAAAATATGTGTACAAAATATTGGACTACTTCAGCCAGTTCTGAGATTTTGAGTGGTATGAGTTTGCCTGGAATGAGGACCTTGAAGGTAATAAAAGACTAACAATCAGATTATGTATCTCCTTTTGAAGCTACTTTAGTGGAGAATCTCGAAAAAAACGGTGGAGTAATTATTGGCAAGACAAATATGGATGAATTTGCAATGGGAACAAGTACCCATAACAATTTACATGGGAGAACAGCATTCCCACAGGTTAAAGATGAATTATACCAGGTTGGTGGAAGCTCTGGTGGATGTGCCGCATCCGTCGCTGCTGATTTATCTTTTGCATCCATCGGTACAGACACAGGAGGATCAGTACGCCTACCTGCTGCATATGTCGGATGCGTCGGTTTCAAACCTTCTTTTGGACGAATTTCTCGTTATGGCGTTATCCCATTTGCGCATAGCATGGATACTGTCGGAATTGTTACTAAGGATGTTGAAAGTACACAAACAGTGTACAATGTGCTGAATCAACCGGATTCCAAAGATGCTACGTGTTTGTCATTACAATGGCGTAAAACGATCGATGAGCATTGTAAAAAATTTAAGTCAACAGAAAAAGCTATAGTAATTGGAGTACCAACGAATTGGAATATTGCTGAAACCCATCCAGAGGTCTTATGCAAATGGAATGAATTTATTTCCTTGTTGAAGTCACAAGGTTGTGAGATTCGTGAAATTCAACTTCCTAATTCCCTATATGGTTTAAGCATTTACGCAGCTTTGGCTTATGCTGAGGGTGTTGCTAATTTGGCTCGATTTAGCAATCCCATTTTTGGATCTCAGTTACAACAAGGTAAATATCCTGACGGTTTAGATCCTCGAACCCATCTTATGGGACAAGAGGTCCAAAAACGCTTACTAATTGGTGCATATTCTTTATCTTTTGGGTACGTTCTCTGTGAAGATCACGATTCATGCTAACATTCTTCGTTTAGAAAGGACAACCGCATAAATCAAAAAGCTCAGCTTATGAGACGAGCTGTTCAAATGGAATTTAATAGATCCTTTAGAATTCCTTCGTTACAAGCATCAGATCCATCTGGTGATGTTGACTTCATTGTTACACCCTCCTTTTTAAAACCAAGTCAGCCGATTGGAGCAAGTACTCCTACTGACTTTTTGTCAGACAGCATGTTGGTACCATCAAGTTTAGCAGGTTTACCATCTATTAGTATTCCTTTTGGCAAGGTATGCGGTGGCTTACCAATGGGAATGCAATTAATTGCTCAATATGGTGATGATGAATCTTTGTTATCTTTCTCCAAACGTTTCACTTAATTTATACTCTTAACTAAAAAAAAAGGGTCATATAATCAAATAAAATATAGAATGTGGTTTTTCGGTATTTTTGCAGAATAATCTTGTTTAATCCTGCATTATAATACGGTTTTGGTTTAGACGGATAAGCTCAGGAGCAAAGGACTAGTATTTGAATAATATACAGTTTTGATATCACCCTCGTTTAAGTGTCCTCGTTTTCTTTCTATCTTGGAGTTAATATAGTGCCAGTACAGCAAATTCATGAATGGGAAAGCTAAAAATGTATGTTATGATTGTTGTACTTCAATAAGGTTAAAATGCTTCACATGTTTCTCTTAAAGAAAACAAAAAGACACGTTTTCATCTACAAAAATCTCTACGTAAAAGCCAAAGTTCTATGTGACGACGTTTCATCCTAGAGTAGGCAGGCGAGATGATAATCCTTGTACAATTGCTAGTCAGCTCTGTGAATTCACACTAGAATTACTCTTTAAGTACTTCTCTCATTAAGTATCACTAACAACATTGGAAGCACAGAAAGCACAAACAGTCATAACTTGCCATATTAATTTGTAACCCACATTGCAACATAGTGTTTGATCGTATCAGAATTTTCATAACTATTACCTTTATATGTTCTTCCTTGGTCTTGGTCTTGATTTCATGTCATAAGCAGAGCGACTGAAAAGCGATCATTTCATTGCTTATAATAAATATATGCTTTAAACGTACATTTTAACTGAAAAATTATAATTAAAGATTTGAAAACCCTGAGAAAGAATAGTCTTTATCGAAGTCCAATACCAAACCAACAGCATTAGCAAGCTTCTTTTTCAGAGCAATAGTTTCATTTGCGTTAAATGATATTCCATAGCCATTTAAGTACCTAATACATTCATCTTTAGACAAGCGATCGATGTCTTGAGTACAAGTAATCCTAGGTAATTCTGAATCTGGATTATTGCCCTCCAGAAATGGCACTTCCATGATTGGATAACCTGCTCGTCTCAACTCCTTGTTCTCCATGCGTACGGAACGGATATCGATCCTATTGACCTTGCCCGTTAAAGTATCGACGCTTGTCTGCATAGTAACCATGCTTGACTGCATAGTAGCCATGCTCCTTTGTAAGGTTTCCGTATTCCTTTGCAGTTGATTAACGCCCTTTAACAGTAGATTAAAATTTCTCGTCTGTTCCTCCTTTTCCCTTTGATACCATAGTGGAGGCTGTTCTTGACTTTCGACTGACATTTCCGACCTTGTCCATTCATCGACTATTTTTTGGAAACCTTTTTGTTTCTCGTTAATTTCAATGTCGTCTTCAAGTTTTCTTTTTCTGCTGGCGATATCATAATCCTTCAAGAATCTTTTTCCCTCCTTTGATGAGGGCTCAGTGGGGATTGGAACGTTAAAATTGTTGGAAAATATTTCATTGAGTTCATTGCTTGTGATAGACATGCTAATTATTTCAAGTTTCTTTCACGCTGGTAGAAGGTAGGTTGTTAGGTAATTGTCACGGGAAAATACTCCGTATAGTAATGAGAGTGTAAGTGGAACACAGTTGTAAATGCTTGAATCGTCAAGTTGAATACTCTTAATTAAGTTAAGTTACTAAATATCTGGAGTGATATATCTTTAGTAACGTCTCTGGTGATTAAACACGTCTATTATCCTCTGCCAGCAAAATCTTCGTAACTGAAGATTTTGTGTGAGAAGAACGGCGTTTATATAGTAATCTAAAACTGGGAAATAAACAAACAATAAACTTTAACTAAATCCTTGATGATTTTTTAATCTTTCAGTGTTTTCTCAATTTGTTTGTTTATTAACATTGATATTAAGTCATATACTCCATAGTATAATTATTGCCAAATAGTTTATAGTAATATTAAGGCTTGCTCTGGCACTTAGGTAATGAGTAGCAAGCACATAAACAAACACAGTACATGTGTTAGGCATAAAGTACAAATGTAATTGCCCGAAGCATAAAGAATGAGACTCTGTATTGCTGAATTGGGATTTCATTGAACGTTTATTTACTACATGCATACAATGGTCCACATGTCTAGTTAACGAATTGAAATGAAAAAATAACAAAGGTGAATCGTTCAACCAACTAAATCTTCCTAACCATAGAGATTTTTTTTGTAACATTCTTCTATACTGTTTATTAAGAGACTAATGGCACTCTTTCAATCTGCATTTCCATTTGTACTTATCGTCTTAATTCAGATAACTTCGTAAAACGATATACTCGTTATTGTTATGGATTAAATGTTTTCTGATACTTATAATATAATATCATGCTAAAACCATTTATCATACAAATATAAATACCGCAATTGCGTTTCACATCCGTATAGTTTATATCCAGTTGAGTATCTCCCAGTATTACGGATTCTCCGTCCCCCTCTCTCCTTTGTAATCCATTCGGAATGATAGGTTCTCTTAATTTAAAGGTAGGAAAAGTGATTCATCCGTTGTAACTTTAGAAACGATGTTAATGGTAAGCAGACATTGCGCTGGTCAGCTTTGGCTGCCGGTTTAGGCATAGGTTGGTTTGAGTATCGAAGCCATGTCAAGAATGAAAAGCAGCATGCAATTGAGCATAAATATCATCAACAACAAGTTTTAATCGAGGATGCTAAGGCAGCTTATGCCCGTAGCAAGGAGCCCTTGCAACCTCCAACAGGTATGAAGGAAGGAAGATAAGCCAGACGACGCGATCTATCAAAGAAATGGAAAATCTGTCTATTTTGTTGATTCATTTTATTGTGCTTTTCCATGGCTCATTGTTATTTACGTGAATTAATATACTAATCAGGATTGTTAGAGAGTCCGTCATTGACTTTGGATGCAGACAACTTGGAAGCCTATTTAGCTCGACTTGAAAAAGGCGCTTAAATGGACGTAAACTTTTGGAAGAAGGAAATAGTAACTCATACAAAAGTCCGTCAAGCAGACAGTAGTGCCATGACTGAATCAATTTCACTTTTGTAAATGTCATCATATCTCTTCAAAAGAGAAAGAAACTACAAAGTCAAAACATGTTTCACAAAAGATGCGGTTTTTAAAAAACAAACCCAATAACCATTTTCATGTTGAAACCTTTATTTATTATTAGTAACTGTATTAAGAGTCCACAAAAAATTATATATAATTCACATAATTACACCATTAAATTCCACTTTTAATCTTTCATGTCTGGACTAGCACTCGTCGTACTTTCCTTCCTTCGACGACGCTCCGAAATAACGCTCAACCCAGGAAAGAAAGCTCCATGGTCCGGTCCTTCATGTGCAGACTTTTTACTGGCGATCGTTGCTTCGTTTGTGTTTGGGGAACTCGAAAGTTGTTCAGAGGCAGTAAGCTTATCGTATTTTCTAATTAGATCCCCCAAGTCATGGTGAGATGTAACAGGAGTAGGTTGAACATGCTTATTAATAAGATTAATCTCTTGACTCAGCGTCAAAGCGCGATATGAGAGACGAATTATAGGAACATTTGTGTGATCAATGTCCTGCTTATCAGGACCTAACCATCGACTTTTAATTTGACGCTCAAATCCGGATTGCAAAACACTATTTCTTGCTAATTCGCACATGTCGACGTTAGAAAGCTTGTAAATTTGAGCTGCTACCGCATACTCCTCAATCAAGGGCTCTCTCGTAAAGGCGAATTGAAGTGGATCATCTGTCGAAAGACTAACGTTTAAACCGCGTTTGAAATAAGAGATAAAAGGGTTTTTATCATACGCCAAAAATAGAGCATTATTGGAAAGAGGAGACATAGCAATTGGAATCTGATCCAAATACCAAAGGTACTGCAAAAATGGAACTTTTCGTAACAAAATCCCATGAGCGATACCTTGGCTAAGCAAAAATGCACTTGCCAAATGGTCGGTATCTCCTGCTTCACCGCAGTGAGGACGTAAAACAAATGTATTGAAGCCCCTCATTTTTCTCCAAACGTTTAAACTTGTCATATTTGCGTACATATAATATAACCAGTAGCTGTAAGGAGGATTCAACCCGATATTCCAGTGAGCTGGGAATGGGAATTTGCGGTAAGTTCTACGTTCAGGTTTACTTTCATCGTCCACAGAATCGAACCCGACTACTCGCTGCAGGAAAACATGCAGCTTAGGATGACTAGATGGGTCTTTGGTAACTTCAAAAAGAGGCTCGAAAATGTTTCTGACAACCTCCTCAAAGTTGTGTACAATACCAGATTTTTTGTAAATATCGTATAAGCGAGGAACTTGGATTAACCATCTCACATTAGCGCTGTAGAGTTTATTATCGATGATCCAAGCCGCAAGCCTATCCCATTCATTCTTGTTGCGTCCATAAATGGAAATACGGTATTCTGCCATTTGGTATTTCTGAGTACAAAGATCAGTAAAAACTTCCTTTGTCAGTTCAGCAAGATAACGACCTTCAATATCATTATCGGTTTTTAAGAAAATAGTACGCAAACGCGATTCGCCAATTGGATTGTATTTTAAATTGAATTTGTCAAATCGATGAAAGGTATCTGCGTGAGCATGCATATCAAGAGTGTCAATACTCAAATCATAGGAAGTTAATTTTAGCGAGTTAAATACCTCCTGTAAGGTTAAGAACTTTCCATCACGCCAGATAACCTTTTCGTCGGGGGATTTGCGAAGTTTAGCCTTGATGAAACGCAACAAGTGCTTTTGATTGGCAAGGGCAGAGTGATGAACGTGTGTGTCCACCTTACGAACATTGTAAAAATCACGATGAGGCACCTTCTTAGAGTCCGCAAGTTCCTGGTACTCATTCAGGAGAATGTACATATTCCAACGCCCCTCTAAGTATTGTAATCTTCGAAACGAGAAAGATTTGCTGGGACCATCAGAGGATGCTGAAAGAAGGAAATCTAAATCCATGTAATAATCGCGAATGGTTGGCACATGAAAGGAAGGGGTACTGGCCAAATAGGCACTTTCATTTTCGTAAACCTGATAAATACCCTGGTGGTCGAGATGAAACATCATCTCGTTGGCTATTCCTGGGATCTCGCATTTTTCAAAACAAAATTCTTCTTCCTCTTCACCTTCTTTTGCAGAGGGATATATATTCCAAGACTCGTCGTCTCTTGGGTTATCTAACTCTCCTTGTAAACTAATGCGAATGTATTTGTGACGCATGTCCATGCATTTGTGAATGGACATGTATATTTCAGCCAGTTCGTCTGAAAATAAGGGATCATTTGTTTCCATGTTGCCGGGGTCTTGCTCAGGACCTCCGGTATTGGAAACAAAAGCATCGTTTCCTTGTTGGACATGGGGCATATGAATATTATTGACTTTTTCCTGCAGCTTGGGGTTTAGTAATTTTGAGCTATCAGGACCAGTCTTCGAATTTTTTATATCCTGGTTGACTTGAGCGGGATCCAGCTCGTTTGTCTGTCTACGAGAAGGTTGGGAACTTGAGAAACTTCCCCGGTTCCCTTGAGAGCTATTCATAGCCAAGTACTTGGCATCTTGCTAAATAAAAGCTTGTCAGATTACTGCTTTCTATACCATCTACATCCGGGAACTAAAAAAGCACCTTTTCTTTCTTTAAGATACACTTAATAGCTTTATTGGTAAATATTGCTCACAGCTCCCGGACGAAATATATCATACCTGTCTTAAAGAACGCTCAAAGGCATAATCAAAATACGGAGTATCTAGACTAGAAATTCCTGGGTTTAAATCACCCTCGTCTTCATCCTCTAGCGCTCTTGGTTTGGCTATATAATGCTTCAAGGCTTGTTGTTGAGCTGTGTCAACATTCTGGTTTTCGTCCTGGTTAAATTGTGGGATCATTGAATCTTTTCCTTGCTTAAAAAAAAGATAAACAGCTTTTATAAAAGGTAAATTCTACCACTAAAAGATAACTTTACCTTTTGGTAGAAACCAAGAAATTTGTTGCAAGCTGTATGTATCAATGCCTTCAATATTTAAAGAAATGGAAGGATATCTTTAAATATTATACCGACGTTGTGCATACTGCAAAGAGACTTTAGAAGTAAGAAAGAAGTAAATAAATAAGGAAAAGGTAAGAGGCGACATTTTTTTATTATGTGTGTAGTAACATTAATGGTGTGAGATTATTTATAAGAGTAAGTGAATTGACTGACAATGAAATAGTGGGTAGAGCACCTGAAATTCGCCATGTTCTATCACAAGCTTACTATATTCGAGTATCTATAGAGCATGATGAATGAATTGTAATGAAGAACAATTTACGAGAGGTGAATGTCTTTTCATAAAGGGTTTCAGATAAAACTTAATGTTACGCTATAGTTGTGATAGAATTGCTTTGTAACGACGGGAAACAGCACACAGCGAAATAGGTAGGGTCTAAGCTAATGCATCTGCGATATCAGGACAGACTTGAGCACATGAATGTACATTGAAGAGAAAATTAATAATTGATTCAATACTAAAAAAGTATATGAGCCCTAAGTCATCATCACTAAAAAGACATAAGAAGAAAGCTTTCAAAATTCATACCTTAATACAACCTAGGCATAGGCGTATTAAACTCGTTTTACTAATGCGCAGGACAAATGTTTGGTTTTATGAAAAAAGGAAAACATTACATCCAAAACACAAGTAGGAAGAAAATGAGAAATATGAATTAAGAAAAAGGTACGGCTTCCGACGTGACGATTAGGAGTGCTCCAAAAATCAAGTAAGCAATCAAAAATTTTGTTTAGTACTTTGCGCTCTGTGCAAACAGCCGGTGGATAGACGCCAGAAGCAGGGGAACTAGAATGATCGTAGTTCAAAAAGCTGAGATTACCAAGTTTTATACAAACAACACGAAGGCCACTTTCTCTTTTCAAGGTATGTAAAAAGGTTTCAATGGAAGAAGAAAGGATAGAAGGAATGGCATAGTTGGGAGGTTCATATGCGGAGAGAATTCCATGGGACAAGCCAATAATTCTGGACTTTTGATCTTTTAGCACTGGAATTAGACGAGAAACATTGGCAAAAGATTCGCCGAGTTGTTGAAAGGCATGGAACCAAGCATCTTTTCCAATATTTTCAATTGGCGTGTACAAAGAATCTCCAGTTGGAACAAGCACAAGACCACGAAGACGAAGAGCATATTCTTTGGGACCCCTTTGGTTCGAAAAAGAAGATAAAAATCTTTCTACTGCTTCGTTTTGAGTCACAATCAACGATTGAATGTAAGGACGCTGTTGCATAGAGACGGTAGCAGCCTCCGAAGCATCACGAACCAAAACTACGACGATGAAGCCCCGGCGATCCAAATCGTGTGCAATAATGGAAGCTAAGGAATTCCAGGCCGAAAGCACCATCACCTGGGTTTTCTGGTGGTTAGGAGCTCGAGGAGCTCGACGTTTCTTCACGTAGTCATAGCGCTTGTAATAGGAGAGACCAGCAAGAAATATAGCAGCAGAACCCAAACCAACGGAGACTCTATTACGGTTCATGAAGGAAACAAATTGACTGCCCAGAGGTTTGACAGGAGGAGCAGCAGGTGGGTTTGAAGAAGTACTTTTTTCATGGACAAAGTCTAGCACATGTAGACTAAAGTCTTTAACATTGCCAAACAAATCAGCCGCCCAACGTTCAGGATTCATTGTCAGAAAATAAGCAAAATAAGTCAAAAATTTGCTATCAAAATCAATGCAAAAGGCTTAAAAAGTTATAAAAACTTTGAAAACTATAATCGCTGTGGTGGATGCGGTAATACAGAACGTCAATTGACTTCAAATTCAAATATGCGGTAAATCGAAGAAAACAGATAAGAAGTGATGAATAAAAAAACAAGAGAGCTTACTTTAGATAATAAAGAGGACTAAACTAACAGATCGTCAAACGCTTACTCCAATTTGGTACTGTTCACGAGAGTTGGGAGTGGGAATTAGTAAAATGATATCAAAACCAGAAGGAACTGAATGAGTCAAGGTGGATATGTGATTAGCCTTATTACACTGATTTTTACAATTCGAAATGATCTTTATTTGGTTTTATTAATGATTCTCTTTTATGCTTCAGGTCAGCCATGAGAAGCTTTTCTGCTTAAAAGAAAGAAACTTGAGATGAGAAGAAGTATGAGTTTACAAAAATGAAGTCTAACATGAAAAAGTATGTCAGTTCTTACAATTTCACTCACTCACTAGAAGCATCGGAAGTTGACCGTGGCGACCGGTCTTTTCATATTGGCAGGTTCCACCAGAAACAAGCATAGCTGTAACAAAAGTACCTTTATTATATTTTTCAAGAACCGACGTCTATGTCCTGTCTTTTTTGTTCTACCCAGCTATCCAACACATTCCCTGATGCGACAAATCTACAGTGTCCTGAAGATACCAACGAGAGGCAAAGAAAAGCAAACTTTTTCTTTATAATAACCTCTTCGTACTTAAAAAAATCTTCTTGTTTACAGATGGAACCGTTTACCAGCTCAAAGCTCAAATACATCCATCAGACCAAATTTCATATTCAGCACCCTGGATTGAAACGGTTTTTTAAATGAGCTTTGGATGAGCTATGGAATAATACAACGAAGCAAGCTCTTCGGTTTCTTTGCTACTTGATCATCACTTCACTTGAATTTCCACCCAATTCCATAGTTGGTATTGGTCTCATCGCTCCTATGACTTGACTGTTCAGAAAACTCAACAAAACCATCATTCTCCTTTGCTGATTTCCATTATCTTTTCGTTTTTTGTTTACATTGAATTCTACCTATTGTTTACATAAAAAACCTAAATTGTGAGGGATAACATCAATACCGTAATTTATTTTCTGCATCCCAACGTCTTATGGGACGCTATAAAATTAGGTAATATGGTTCGTTTGCTGACACAGAATTTGTCTGGCCACGTTATCTGACAAAGAATGACTGACGTCATTGTCCTTGCTAGAGTAAATTTAAAGGCTTCGGATTTCTTCCCCACATGAACTACACCACAGCTAAAGGTTATCTGATTAGTGATCGTTACTTCGCTACACTTCACAAGTAAACAAAGGATACCTTGCTTTCTTTTTGACTTTCTTATATCATCATATTCGAAACCGCAGATTAACAATAACCATGAGTTCGATTCATACAGCTAGCAATAACAACATTGTCTACCTAGACATGTCTGAAATCATTCGCCCGATTCCTCCTGTTTTGGACTATGAAAAAGTCAACAGTATGAAAGATACAATGGATGGAAATGTGCCTCCTGCTACTTGCAATATTAATCCAGGAGACCTTACAAAAGGTGAATTGCCTCCTGTTGATGTATTGACTTTTAAGAAAAGTGGTCGAACTTATTACTTTGCATTTGGTGGATGCCATCGTCTACGCGCTCATGACGAGTCTGGAAAGCAAAAGGTTCGCTGTAAATTGGTAAACTGTTCTCCTAATACCTTGCGCTTGTACTTGGGTGCCTCTGCGAATAAGTATTTAGATAACTAAAGGAAGTGAAAGGGAAGTAATATTTGTTTTTGTTGACATTTATCAATCCTTTTTTTCGCTAAGATGGAGACCCAAATTATAAAACCCTAATTTCTTGCTGAAAATCCTCATTTTTTAAGTTGTTTTGACCTTTGTACCTTGTTTTATTTTGTCTTGTTACAAATTTTTGTTTATGCTTTAGAATTATTTATGGAAACATTCTTGTAATGTATAATAAAATCATCTTTATTAGATGAGACAAACAAGATCGCAAAGATACTTAGCTACTTACAATGTTAAAATAGCGGTCTGAAAGGAAATCGACAGGACGGTTGTATTTTAGTCATATTGATGATTTGTATACTTTTTTTTTTTTTTCTTCAAAAGCGAAAACATAGTCAAGGAAACCAACTTTGCCAAGTAGCTTTTCAAATTACTGAAACAACGGTTAACGAAAAATATATATGTATTTTCTCTGTTTAAAAGGGGAAAATTCATTAAGAAAAGAAAGAAATGTATGCTAAATCGTTCATTAAATCTCAAAAAAAAGCCTTAATTAAATCACGTTCAACGAAATTTAAAGATAGTGAGCCGAAACCTTTCATAAATAGATACATAGTTTTGTCATTCTTCTAGCGAGGCATCTTTTGCAAGTTACTTATACAATCGTACGCCATGCTGTCAATAAGTTCCTTGGGTAAAGACTTTCGTTTACTGAGTTCTATAGACCTTTCAATAATCATGGACAACTGAGAGGCCGACATTGCTGTCATTAGCTTCGAGTGAGTATTGGAATCTGGCGAGGAAAGGGAATTCCGTTGAGGGTTATGTGAAGGGAAAGAAGGGACGGGGTTTAAAAAGGGATGCATTAATAGCTCCGGAATAGTTAGCCTTTTTTTCTGGTCTCGTTGCAGACATCGTTTCATAACATCCATTAAGTCGGGTCCAACGACCACACCATGTGCATGCACATTAGGGGACGGTTCAAAGTTTGCGGAAGGAGGAACGGCAATTTCAGGAAATTGTATTTGATGCCGCTCATCAGGAATTGCAGCTATTGCTTGTATCATCTTCAAATGAGCAAAAGGTGCTCTTCCATAAACCATTTGGTATAGAATACAGCCTAAACTCCAAACATCACTCGGCCTTCCTAGCTTAACTAGCTTCACGCCTAAGTTTGTATTTGCATTCATATCAGTCAATGCTTCTGGTGCCATGTAATTGATAGTTCCCACATGCGAGTCTCGATGAATATTGGTAGTATCATTCCCAATCGCTTTTGCAATGCCAAAATCGATAAGCTTAAGACTTCCTTCTACCAAAAGAAAGTTAGCAGGTTTTAGATCTGAATGAACAATGTTTTGCTCATGGACGATTTGAACTGCTTGCAACATTTGCTCCCAATACATTCGTATAAAGTTGAGGTTAATTGGTTTAGTTGCATATTTATTTAGGAGTTTTGCCAAGTCAGTCTCCCCATATTCCATTACCATATTTAATTGCCCAATTGAATTGTTTGCTTCGGCAGCATATAATTTTACAATACGATCGTTCCCCGATAATTTTCTTAAAAGAGCAATCTCGTTTTTATAGCCCTGAATCGTCGAATAATCAGCTTGTAAAAAACTAACTTCTTTGAGAGCATACAATCGACCATTCTCAGGTGAATAAATTCGAAACACTGTACTGCTGCCACCTTTACCCACAATCCCTAATTTGATAAACGGTAGGTTAGCAACCGTTGCTACATCCTGAAGAAACTTGGGTATGCCATTGTTGTGAGAAGGATCCACCAAAGAGTTCATTTTCGGAGGTGGCCCATGTAATTGTTCTTGCTGATCAAAACGATGCTGCAAAGGTACAGAAGGTGCCTTCATTGCTGAACTTTTATCGGAAGCAAGTTCTTTCAAATGCGGCTTTACAAATAACGATTCTTCAAATTGGGCAGGATTAACCGTAGCACGCATAGGAACATCATGTGCATTAGGCAATGAACCTGCTTGGATATCAGATGGGAAATTGGACGCTTGAGTAGGAAGCACAAATGGAGATGTAGTTGAGTTTTCAGAAGATTTCATTTCAACATCGTTATCATTATCATCGTCGATGGCATGGTTCATAGGTTTCAATTCTGATGGAACCTTGACATCTGAGGATAACGTATATTCAGCTCGTTTTGGTGGACCCAGACCTATCCGGCCAATTCGACGCCAACGAGAGACCGACAGTGACCCAGGAGTCTTGTTATGTGTTTTTGACATAGACTCATTTTCTTGTGGCTCCATAGATTGCATGCGCATCGAGTTCTGAGCTGGCATAGGGGTAACTATGTGCTCATGAGAACGAATCGGTTGGAAAGCAGGAGACTTCACCTCTCTATTAGGAGCTGTTCCGTATGAAGTTAAGTTAAACAGTTCTGGCTCTTTTATACGAGCCTGAAAGGTTTTTTCTGCTGTGTTCGCATCACTGGACCTTCTACGCAAATTATCGCTGATGACTGTCCCATCAGAATGTGCACTTTTTGACGAGAATGTGTCATTTTTTAATGATAGGTCCTGATCCTCTGAATCCTCAAGGAACGAGAGTGACTCTTCGTCAAACGAGGAATCTGAAACTAAGTCCGCAATATTGGTCACAAGTGGATCACGGTTAGACATATACCCAATTAGCAGAAAGGAAGCATTCCAATATTCTCGAATTGCTACTGAATTATTGAATATTACTGTGATTATTAAGTCTTAACTAAATCGTTCTTGAAACGCATACAAATTGGAGAAAAACCAAAACGATACAGGTTCTGGTAACTGTTACTTGCTGTTCTTCAGCGTGACTTTAATGAAGCATACCGAACTACGTTAAATATACTTAAAACAAATATTATATTAATTTTACGATTATAGAAATTAATTGAGAAAACTGCTAAAGCAGTAATTTTAACATATTTCGTATAATTTTTTAAATTAAATAGTCTTGAAAACTGTTCAAGTACTTCTTCGATTTCGTGGCACTTGAAGCTCGAATTCACTTGTGAGAATGCAGCTAACAGAAGAAATCCGACGAGTCAAATCTAGCAGTAATTTGAGTAAACCAGGTGCAGAGTTGAGGAAAGTCTAGATTTTCGAATATAAATAAAGAGGACACTTCTCGGCAATACTACACGCGTATCCAAGTCCACTTAGACATAAATAGAAAGAACAAAAAGAATCAATAGTCATTACCATGAATGAAATACCAAATTTGTGATGGCTTAGGGCACCTTAATTTTTATTCAAAAGAAATAAAAAAATTACCGACTTGAATGTTCTTGAGCAAGGATTACTTTCACCGCAGAAGGCCAAGACCACCCACTCAGAAGAAGGTTTCGACGAATTCGACGGTGATGAATATGATTTTGTTCCTGAAATTGAAAAACAAGGGATCTCGGACTTAACTGGTGCCATTTTATGGCTCTGGTTTTATGATAGCAGGTATCCTCACGTTCAGGGTAAATATCTGTTAAAGTAGAAATGACACGATGTTGACGAGCAAATGCTTGCATTTGTAAATCAAAATCCAAAGACAAGCATGAAGGACAAATAAAGGCACCGCAAACCATACACCGTCTTAGGTCAATGCAATAACGACAAAGTGGTTTTGACCATTTTTGTGAGCAATATACACAAGGGGGAAGTACTTTAAGCATGTAAGAATCTGCAAGTTCACTTTCTTGATCGGCTATTTTGCATGCGTTCAAAGGACATCGGTGTACGTCAGTTTCTATGGGACGTCCATGTGTCGTTGTCATTTGATCCAAAGCGCTCTGAAATACAACTAATCGACTATGCCAATTGCTAGTTAATCGGTCGTCTTCTGTACCGTCGGGTAGTAAAGGTTTTTGTAGTTCTAAGCCATCGATACCCATAACATAAAACCTTTCAAGCGAGAAAACTTTATTTTTTGCTACAGCTTGCAAAAGCTCAAGAAGGCTTAATACTGAAACCCCTTGACACCAGCGTATACTAAGCGTCCGAAGAGTAGGTATGTTTGATAAAATAAAAGCAACTGTGGAACTTTTGATGCCGGTACCATCCAGCACGATAGTACTTAGTCCCTGGAATTTTTCAAGCATAGAGCATACAAATGGATCTTGGATATGCGGCCGTAAGATGGAGGGTCTTCCATATAACTGCTTTTCATAAGCCCATAGTTCATCATTTGCAGCAGAAATGGTTTTTTGGTAGGGAAGCTCCGTAGGGCTCGCATCTGTAAATCGACATTCCTCTAGACGACATTTTTGAAGCCAATGATAGAAGTGTCGATTGACATGCATAAGTCTGTACAGATCAAAAACGTCAAGGTAGTGAACAATGAGAGACCAAATATCACGATTAGTGAGAAATCTTTTGGAGATACTTTGGCCCGGCTCAACAGATCCCTCATGTTTCTGTATAGAAAGAGCTGTCAGGCTTTTCGTTGTATACTCCAACTCTTTGTCGTAAATAGAAGAAGATAATTCCATTTGAGAAGGTATATCGCAAGCAAATGGTTTAAATTGTGGTTACTTACAACTTAGAGCCAATTTCCTTTATAAGCCAAAAACGCAGACCGATGTAAGTGAATTATCTCTCACAATGCTGAATTTCAACTCAATTTCTCAAAATGTCCTTTTTTGGATCCTTGTTCTTCAATTTTTACGAACGCTCAGAATTGGGAGGTTTTTAAGAATACAGGTTCAGGTCTGAAAACTGCACTTAATTGGTGAATAAAGATCTATGAAGCTTCTTTTAAAGAATGAAAAAATAACTTTGTGTCAAACATGGAATGAACTAGTGTCTTATTGTGTAAGATTAATAGAAATATAGGAAGAGGATAGACAAAGGAAGGTAGGTAAACCATCTGGATCAAACTGTTCTCAAACTAATAAACATTTTCTTATTCTCGGAAATCTTCTTTCAAATTATCTCATGCTTCTCTGTTTTTCATGTTCAAAACTGTGACAAAGTCATTTAATTCGTAAGACCAATACCATTGTCTTGCTAGGCATTTAACGGTCATGTTTGTTATGTAAAACTCTTTTTTGATTACAGTACGGTTTTGAAATATATACATATTAATTCATTTAAACATGGAACTAACATTAAAGTTGTCATCCCTCAAAGAGACATTAGACTCATAGCATCATAAAAAAGCGAAATTGCTTATTTTCTGGAAGATCGTTTTACAGCAAAACTCATTTTTGACCGAAATAATGGTGACCGCTTCTTTTTAAGATACAAACTGAGCACTCTTTTGGTATACTTTCTCTGTTGTTGAAGTGATGCCGTTTTTCTATAATTTACAAAACGGTGAACCCCTTTACAACCTGCTTGATTTGGAATTTGAGACGTTTAAGATTGTTTACAACAGTCACTATACAACTTGGGGTATATATCCAACATTAGAGTTAACGCAAACGGAGGACAATTCATCGATATATTGCATAAATTGAAGCACAATGTATGATCCGTCATTTCTGAAAGATGTGTCACTAAGACGAAGCGGTTGCAGTATATTCTCATTGATTTGCTTTCGAGTAAATGAAAACAACAAAAAAGGGCAAAAAAAAACAAAAAGGGTAATAGAGGGTGATTAATTTTCATCAGAGAAAATCTGTAAAAAGCGAGTCGTAAACTTAATATTATTCAAGCTTTCTTTTGGTAAATTAGAACAGTGATAGCACCTTTCTTTTATTCAATCATTGTAAGACATTGGAATAAAATACGATTTGATATCAAAGCATTCAGTCGGCTATATATAAAAATGATTATAAAAATGTCGACATGTTTCGGTTCGCAGATAACAACAATCAAAAACTTTCTTCGTACGCACATACAATAAGGAATCTGGAAAGGGAAAGAAAAAATAATCTATTTTAGCATATAAACAATAATATGCATCATGATTACGAAACATTAACAGGGGAAGCTAACGGCTGGTTAAATTAGTATAGAGTAGGCCATAAACACAGGAAGGAAGAACGATTCACAATTTTAGGGTAGAAAACGGTAAGTAGGGATGAGAGTCACTTGAAATCTAGGAAAAGGAACAAAAAGAAGTTGGCAAAATCACCATTAAGACGAACTTGCGTCTGTTCATATAAAATCGAGTATAGCTATCTGTATGACACCGCGGTAAAAAAAGGAGAAAAGCAAACACGATTAAACTATAATGTTACAAAACAATTTGTTTTTTGTTTTCTGGTTGATAGGAAAAAAAAGTTATTGGCTTTTTTCTCACAAAAGCCATAGGTCCTTAAAAACGGAGCACAAACAAAAACGTTTGAGCACTCTCTGCCTACCGCATGCGAGAAGCTCAATAAGATTTAAAGCTTCATTTAATAAGGATGAAACGAGTTAATGCAAAGGGGAATTGTATTTTATACCTGCTTAATTGCTTCATCATATTGGGGAGGCTGGTCTTGGCTGGAACTTGGACGATGGTAAGGTGGTAAAGGATCCAAATGTTGAACGCGAGAAGCACTATCAACTTCCTGATACCTTTGTAATAGCCGATTCCAACATTCTACGAAATCAAAGATTCCGCCTTCGTTAAACTGGAACTTAACCTATCAAAAACAGTACTGTTAATAAATAGTACAACTTTATAACCTGTACCTACCTCTGCTTCAGAAGGAATTCCGCCATTTTTGACTGGCATTACTACGCCTGAATAGTAATTAGCACCAAAAAATGCTAATCAAAAGGCAGTTAGCATCACAAAAGGAAAGAAGATTGTGGTTTGATCATCATACGTTGATTCAGCTTGGTATCCTTTATATTGCTGATTGGTACTTGGAAATCGGCAAAGGTGTTATTCTCTTCGTCAGTGATGTATATTATCTGGGGAAAAGGATCAGCAAGGAGTCTTCAATGATATATTTCTTCATAAAGCGTACCCGTTGATTTGTAAGATACAGGCATCCTTTTGTGGAGGTCCAAGATTTGGCAGAAGGAGGATTGCATAAGAGAGAAAGCGCAATTCCATTGTAGTGAGAAAAGACGCATTCATTTTCAAGAAGCAATGGCTCTTTGAAAGACCCTTCTTTATATGTAACCCAGTTGATGCTCATGTTTTATGACGTGCTCTTGAGTTTGTGTTAGGTTCTTTGCAAGTCGTCTCATCTCCTGTTTGCCCTGAGACAAGCAAAGGTAACGCCCCAGGTAACAGACTCATATACAGTATGGAGTAGTGGAAAATTCGATGACGGACCCCGGGGGGAACAAACGAGCAAGCACAATAAGCATTGCATCTAGAGGGCTGACCAAATTAAAGATTGAATGCTATAAACATATAGAACGGTAGTCCGTAAAACATAGAAACTTGTTTTTTTTTTGCCTTACAATGAAAGCGTAGTGATTTACTATTAATTTGAAAAAAAAAAATAATACACTAAAGAAATCATGCACACTCCAACGTCTCATGTTGGATTGGCTCGAGCAGAAATACATTTCAATCAAGGTTTCCTTCAAGCCTCTCTTGTATATGGTTGGCTTTGGATTGATCACAAGACTCTTTGCAGTTAAAACGGCATCTTCTATTCAAATCTAGAGTATCATTTTCTTTGTAAACAACAACAACTGACGCAGAAAAATCAACACTTTCATGAAGTAACAATATTACAGCACTCCTTAGTATTATCCCTTTTCGGTAACAGCCTCGTCAGAACGAATACTTCAACACGTCCCGCCCTTGCTGGATGGCAATACTTGAGAAGTCATACTTGCTTCGGTTCCTATTTGGAATTTATTAAGAAATTTACAATTCTATTCTCAGTAAATATAATCATAAACAACTTCTTCAAAGGTACATTGCTAAACACTGGACTGTAAATTGTGAGCAGTCAAACATACGCTTCGGTTTATAGTCGGTAATATATGAAGTCGTGTTATATGTCGATAATAAAATAAGCATTAGGGTGTTTCGCTTAGATTTGGCCAATGTTTATTTGAAATAATTTTGTACTTGAAGTCTCGTTTACAAGCTCTCCAAAGTCGTCAAAGGAAGAATTAACATACTAATTTTTTTGATTTTTTTTTTTTCTTTTTTCCAAGGTAAAACGACCAGTTTAAATGAGTTTATTTTATGCAAAATAAATATATAAGGTAGGCAAATCAAGTATCGTAGTATACTAAATTCCCCTAACTGAAACAAATAATTCATTACCAATGTTAAACATTAGTTGACTTTAAAATGATGGTTTTGGATATTCGTGAATGAAATGCTCGGAAAACTATATTATTAGTATATTACACGTTAAGAATGGTAAATTGAGCATGTGCAAAATTCTTTTTTATTGAGAATATTGATTTTGACTCTAATTCTTATTCTACCGTTAAAATAAAGTAACCAACTATAAAATCAGTCATAAGTATCTTAAAAGATTAACAGACGCATATATATAGGCTTAACTAAAATAATCCAAGTTTTCTTATGTAAGATATTTTTAGGAATTAATTCAAACCTTATGTTTATACTGAGTACGAATGCAGTAGTAAAACTTCAGTATGTTTGAATATGATTTATCCATTCATTTCTTGAAAGATGATTTATCTTTATTTTTTTATAATATTAGACGAAAGTCACTTTGCAAAACGGCATATGAATTTTGCAATTGTAATCAATAAATACCATTGAGCATTCATTTATAGTAGTGTAACTTTGCAACAAATTCGGTAAGGAAGAGTCTATTTAATACAGTTTATACTTTTAGGCGAAGTTACAATCTCGTACGACAAACCCTTTTATAGTTTCGTCATCCACGGATAAGTACCGACATAGCAACACGTATATAAATTTAAATATGGGTTGATTCTTTCTCCTTCCCCCATTCCTCCTTTTTCAATTTTGGTGAGACAACGTTGAATAATCAAATTTATTCCTTTCACATAAACATATATAGCTGTTTATCGGTTCTTCTTTAGTTTTTTGGAAAAATGAAGTTTTTCAGTGTCGCATTTTTTGCCATTATGGCCTTGATTGGTATTGCTTTTGCCTCCCCCTTGAGAATGCAAGCTTACGATGACATCAACTGTAAGGGTAGTAAAAGTTATGCGATTTCTTTGAACAACTGCCAAAAGTTCCGTGATATTGCTTCCATCAAATCATATGTCGATCGTGGCGTTTGCACTGCCTCCATCTACGCTACTGATAATTGCTCTGGTGATCCTATCTTGAGACAAGAGATCCAATCTGGCTGCAACAACTTGGATGTCTCCGTTTCCGGCTCTTGGGTATTCACCTGCTAAGTCCATCATTAGAATTACCATGGGTAGCAAAGAAAAAATCCTTTGATGGGAATCGCTGTGCCGTCTAGCTTCAGCTCTTCCTGGCTTTAGTATAAATATACTGATATGCTTTTAACAATATCTGTCATTTTTGTGTAGTAGTAGTAAGACCGGAACGTAGCTTTTGCATTGAAAGGTTTTGACTTTGAGGGCAAATCAAGTTGATACTAGTTTATTTGAATGTCTAGCTGAAAGACATCATAGAAGTTTGAACCTACTGTAGACTTTAAAAAGAAAAGAAAAGATCGCTTTGGTTTTTCTCACAATTTACCTGTCTGAATGCATGTTTACCATTGAACCATTCCATATTACACATAAATAAACTTGAGTTAACACAAAGTACTATTATGATGCTGCTTTGGTGGTTTAGTGGTATAATGCTTCGTTGCCATCGAAGCGACCCGGGTTCGATTCCCGGCCGAAGCAAATTTTTGAATTATTTTTTAAATCGAATCTTCATTTTTTTCTATCAGTAATAGACCTTCTAAATGAAAGGAAAAAATTGTATGCACGTCGCATTCAAGTGTTATGTACAGATTATAAAACAGGGAAGAAAAAAAACTTGGCAAATGGCAGCTTCTCAGAAAATAAATTTTTCGTATTCGGGTTATAGCCGTAGCTTACTTTTGTGTAATACCAAGATTCGTAATGGTTCCTACTAATTACAGAAGGAAACCCTAACATTGCCATCGCCGCATGTGTTCTTTAGAAGGAATAAAACAAAAAAAAAAAAAAAAAAAAAAAAACAATGTTGACTATCTTTCTACTTAACCTTGATTCCATTTATTCAATATGTTTTTCATAATTTACAAACAAAAATAGAGTATAATCTTTAACGAATTGGAATCATATGTCATCTCTAACAGGATAGACGCTTTTAAGAATGCTATCATTTCTTTGTGACTCTCAACCTGTACTCTGAAGAATTAGATTTAGAATAATATATACGTAAGCATTACTATGCTATTAACCTTCGACACTATGCCTGAGTGGTTAAAGGGATAGACTAGAAATCTATTGCGGTCTCCGCGCGCAGGTTCAAATCCTGCTGGTGTCGTTTTTTTCTTCTGCTCTTTTTTATTAAGAGCGGTTCAACAATTAAAACAAGCATTTCTAATTGAAATCATATTTAATATTACGGTCGTAACTCTTTCACTTCTTATCAAATGAAAAGGAACTATGTAACTTTAAGAATTTTTTTTTCATTTACAGCTAAAACTGTATGTTTACAAAATTAGATGTTTATTGATTAGAAGCTATAACAAAAATATGGAGTCTGAAAATTATGGATTACGCATCCAGATTTGGTAATTAAACGACTGCCAGTTAAAGTGGCAAATGCTTGTTTCGAGTTTGTAAAAAGAAAAACGAACAAAAAAAAATTTCATACCTCTCTTCGGATACCCGGTTTCCGGTCCGACCATGAATAGTCAATAAAATTGTGAAATTCTACAAAGGCAGGAAAAAAATTAGGCATAGAAAGCAGTGAGTGCTAAAAACTTAGATATTGAATTAGGGTGTGCTTTATTGTATTTTGTGTTGTCATTTGAGAGTATATGGACCAGATTATCAAAGGCTCAGAAGCTTTTGAACTCTTTCGTTATGTTCGTGGCTTTGCTACTGGAAATAAAGAAAAGTCATCGGCGTCATTGCCAGATGAATTCCACGTTGTCGACGAAAAGAGAGAGTGCTTTGCAAATTTAACGAAAATTAAGTTAGAAGAATCCGATGAACCAAACGAGTCAACGAACTTAATTACATGGGAAGATTTTGATATATCAGATCATCCAAAAAACTGGTCGAGACCACTAAAAGTTTATGTTACAATTTGTGTTTGTTTGCTAACAATTGCTACGTATATGGGCGCCTCAATAATTACCCCAGGTCTGGATGAAATCAAGAAAAGCATGCATGTGGGGAATGTTACTGCCATGCTTGGCCTTTCTCTGTTCATCGTTGGATACTCCGTTGGTCCGCTCTTCTTCGCGCCATTGACTGAAGTCCCGCAGATTGGAAGGCAAAAAGTATATTTGGTAACGTTGGTTATCTACATCTGCTTACAAATACCTACAGCACTTTGCTCAGGGATTGGCGCTTTGCTTCCTTTACGTTTTTTAGCTGGGTTTTTTGGTTCTCCAGCACTTGCTACCGGAGGTGCAACTATAACTGATATGTGGGACAGTAAATACGCACAGTACTTCGTCACTGCATGGTCACTCTGCGCTTTTAGTATGTAACATATGTTGTTTGTTTTTTTTTCTACTAACCACTCCTCTTACGTAGGTGGTCCCGCGTTAGGTCCTCTATTCGGTAGCATTATGGTGGTTGCCAAATCTTGGCGATGGCAATTTTGGTTTCTTATGATGCTTTCTGCAGCCGTGTTCATTCTTTTCTTTCTCTTTGTCCCTGAAACTTCAGCTTCTAATATTTTGCATCGCAAAGCTAACCGATTACGAAAATTGACGAACAATTCTCATCTCCAAACACCAGATGAGTTGCAATTTTCAAAATTGAATCCCTCGAAGCTACTTATGGAGATTTTTCTTCGACCGATCATTTTAAGTATAAATGAGCCAATTGTCCTATCTTTAAACCTATACCTTGGCTTGGTTTACTCTCTCATGTATCTGTGGTTTGAAGCATTTCCTATCGTCTATACAGAACTTTACCATTTCACTTTAATAGAGAGCGGATTAACTTACCTAGGAATTCTCATAGGAACACTCTTACCAACTCCGTTTTATTTTTATTATTTACACAAAGTGCTGATTCCAAAGCTGACGAATAACTCTGGACGCATTGTCCCGGAAGAAGTCTTACGAGTATCTTTCCCAGCCGCATTCTTTTTTCCTGTGTGTCTTTTTTGGTTTGGATGGACGGCTCAGCGTCCAATCAACTGCTTTTCTTCTCTCGTAAGCACTCTGTTTTATGCTGCTGGCTCTTTCCTTATTTTTCAAACTTGCTACCAATACCTTGCTTCTTCATACCCCAACTATATTGCTTCCGTCTATGCGGGAAACAACCTATGTCGCTCTTTGATGGCTTCTAGCTTTCCTCTGTTTGCGCGCGCTATGTTTAAAAATACTGGTCCTTCTTATGCTCCTGTTGGTTGGGGTTGCACCATTTTGGGTATCATATCTTGTATAATGTTCCCTATTCCTTTTGTGTTGTATAAATATGGACTAAGACTTCGGTTACGATCAAGTTATGCTACCAACTAAAGGGTGGCATAAGTTTATTTAAACTTAATTTTGTTACAATTGATGAACGGCGTGATACTATCATTATAGAAGTGGGTGGGTTTTTACAAGTCTAATTTTATTCAATGCCTTAATATATAAACCATCTAAACGTCTAAACATTTTCGCTGTCTTTTTGAGCATATTTGTCACTATATATGATTTAGCATTTCTGCGTATAGCATTACTTCGAAGATTACAATGTTTCGATTGAGCTGAGTTGAGAAATAGAACTAACTAAACACGGTTTCAATTCTAAAAATTCGGTCAGTCATTACACTCAATTTAAGTTTACAACTTGTGCTTCAGGAATACAATCAAATATAACGATTAGTGAAAACAGAGCTTCAATATGCTAAAGGTTTATTCCACTGGTAATGTATCTTGGAGAAACTATTGTTGTGTAATACAGATGCTAAACCCTTAAAAAAATATTTTTGTTCATTACTTTATTTGTTTATCTTTTTTTAATAGAGTAATTATCACAAATATCCTAAGTAGTTTAAGAAGCTTCTTATGTCTACTTACTTGCTGAACAAGATTTACATGTATCTTTGAATATGACAAGAATGCTTCTTGTTAACAATATATGCATGAACTAATAAGTGTTTCAATTTTAACGACTTAACTTGTTTATCTGTCTTTTTATGTTAATACTTAAAATACGAAAATGGCTCGTTCCCTTGAAACTTTAGTTGAGTAATATTCAGTAGAGTGTAAGAAAAATATACAATTGCTATCTCTAGTAACCGAGAAATGCTTAATGCGCTAAAAAAAAAATCTGAATATATTGAAGCTCCATATTCAGTATTGTTTATTCGTAAGAACAGTGCAATTATTATTCATATTCATTAACTTAAAAGGAGAATCCTAGTCCAAAGTAATATACCTAGTTTATTAAACGTTTGTATTATTCTGCAAAGGCATTCACGTTCATTCAATTTTTTAATCCAATTCCAGTTTCGATCCATTATCTCCAAAACGAAAACACAAATTAACCATGTCGAAGGTCTGACATGCGAACTTTAAATTTTCTGTAGAGTTAATAATTAGCGAGATCTATTTAACAAACGAGCGAACTCTAACCTTTTCATATAACACTTTTCTGTTCTTCTTCCAAATTATCCTTTGTAGGCATATTTACTGTGCGAACGTATGGTCTTTCCATACCTAAAAAACACAAAAGGAATGGGAATCATAGCAGCTGATATAAAGCCAAGCAGTGTCGTAGCCCAATGATCACCCAAATTATGGTACATGGGTCGTGCGACTAAAGTCATTCCTCCACTAGCCGAGTAGCGTACAAGCGTCGCAGCGGCAAGCGCACTCGGTGCCAGAGAGCGATAAGTATCGATAAAGTAGGTAAACATGACTGAAAATATAAGTAGCAGTGATGCCCCAAAAAAGATACTAGAAATTAAAGGAACTATCCAGTGTATTTTATGGGGGTAACACGTCCAGGCAAACCAAAACAAGCCAATGGGTAAAAGAAAGCACCCAATAAAAAGTGGATATAATCGATACTCCGGGGGCACATTTCCATTCATCTTTTTGTAGTTTTTGGAATAATAATAATATATAATGGGAGTGGAGGAAGTGGCCAAAAGAATACCAATACCGATACCAATAAAAGAAAGACCCTGTTCACCCTGATTGAAACCATACTGGGAATACACAATGGGATAGCTCTCAAAGTTGATGTAAACAATAGCGAAAAGTATAGTTACATAAATGGTGAAACAAACAACGATCGGTTCCGATATTAGCAATGAAATAGAATTTGTGAACGCTCGTACAATTGCTCTTTTGGGATCACGTTGCTTTTCATTCTCTGTATACCATAAAGGGTTTCCTGTCACTTTACGAAGGTAACGAGCTTTGTAGTAAAGAATTGTGTCGGCATGCGTTTCAGGAAGAGTAAAAATAACGAGCAAAGCTACAGAACCTGAAAATATCATGGTTATCCAAAATGTCCATCTCCATCCGAGGTAGCTTTGCGAAATAAAGTCACCTATAATAGGACCTATGACTGGTCCAAGGAAGGGAAAAGCACAAAGAATGGGAACAGTAAAAGTATACTCAACTGGACTATATATATCGCTAACGGTTCCTCCGCAGTTGGCTAGGGGAGTGCTACCAAAAAAACCTTGAAAATATCGAATTATAGCTAATGTCCAGACATTTTGAGCAACACCACCACCTATTTGAAGTAAAGTAAATACTATAAGAGTAATAAGGTAAACAATAAATCTTCCATAAATGCCGCTTAAAGGTGCAAAGGGTAAAGAACCCATGGAGAAGCCTACCAAATAAGTACACGTGCCTAGAGATGCGACAGGGATGGATGCATGAAAAACTTTCACCACCTCAGAAATTCCCGTGGAGTAGACGCTAGAAGAAAATGTAACAGGCATAGTTATAATACAAATCTGAATAATTATCCACCATTTATTCATGTTGGACCAATTTTTTGGATTTAGTGCATCCTGAGGGCCATCCCAAGTAACAAGGTAATCTTTGTTTTCTTTTTCATGCATCTTCTCTTCAATTACATTATCGCTTTTATTTATTTGCATGACATCCAAGAACCATTGCTCTTTGTCAAGTTCATCTGAAGAAGTCTTTGATATAGAAGGATCAAAGCTTCGGTGATCAATTGACAAGTTTTCTACATTTTGCCGATGGAGTTTCGCATAATGCTCTTCAAACTTTTTTCCTGTAGCTAGGGAAATTAAGTCCATCTTCGGCACAAGTAACAGACCTATATACCTAAAAGTTTATTTATGTATGCGTAAATAAATATCTGAGATAACGTCAGCCAAAGTCCGGCCTGGCTAGTATAACCGGAGCTGTCTAAGGATTCAAAATCAAGAAAATATTTAAAGAAACAATATCAAAATCATGTTTGATTTTTTCCACTATATATAGAAATACAAGAGCCAATTCTAGCTTGCGGTCAGCGATTCCGCAATAACCGTTGCCGCGCGATCCGCAATAACCGTAGGTTTTGCGTACTCCGCTTGCGCCATATCATGTTCTCCCTTTATATTGCATTACCGAAACAGCATATAGGTAACAATCGTCTCAACTTTGAGTATAAAGCTTACAATAACACCATAAACAATATCGCAAATAAGATTTGTTTACATGACAATTCTTAAAATTTACCGACCCTCAGATTCTTGAAAGATTTTCACTTGTAAAAGAATGGTCGTTTCGTAAACACAAGTGTTAAGGCTGTAGTCGCTTTCGTGTGAGTGTGGAATAATGGTTAGTTAATAATTAATCATTGAAAGATACCCGTTGATTTCTCCCGGAATGAACTAGGGCATGAATAATTATATCTTGCCAGTTGGTATTCATAGTTTTTATATAAATATCATGCCAATTCATTTACTCCAATCATTTTTAAGTACCATAAAAGTAAAAAATCCTTTTAGTACTTTTAGTATGCGTGACAAGGTGAACGACCTCTTCTATTACTACAAAATGAATACTTGGTGGATTTGTAAAAAGCTTACATACTTAGTTAGAATTATTTATTCGAGCAAATAAACGCGTTTATTTTTATTTTTCAGCTTGTCAGCAGAGGAAAACCGTTACATTCCTTCCTTCTTAATCGTGCAACGAAAGGGGTCTTAATTTAATAAAAGTAGAATAATTCTTAAAGTCGTAATTTCAAGATTTCGAAAATATAGTGGACTCCTCTTTATAATTATGTGTAATAAGTGCGTATAAAGGTAGCTCACTATGCTAATATGCACAGACTTCGGCTTTTGCAATACTCAAATTTAAAGCAAGTAGTAATTATCTGCCGTGCAAATGTCGCTAATTTTCAATTAATAAAAGACGAAGTTCTTGGGATTAATGGAAAGCGTGGAGCCGAAACGTATTAGAACAAAAAAAGCCTGCCTTGTCTGTCATAAGAAAAAACGAAAATGCAGTGGCACTTTTCCTTGTTCGTATTGTCAAAAATATTGCTATGAATGTCAATATGCCCAGGATTCCGTTCAAAGCAATGATTTACACAGAAAAGACAGTTGGTCAGAGACGGAAAGTAGTAATAGACAAGTTTTAGAGTCAAACAAATTTGAAAAAGCCAAATTTTCTCCATCTGAATCTGATAACTCGAATGAGGTATGGACTTCTCATAATTACGAATCCGACGACCATATAATTCAAGAAAAGAAAAAACGAAAGATAACCAAAAAAACAAATGCCCTTTGTTTTCCTGCTATCGTGAGTGAGAAGCTTGAAATTTCTCCGTCAACAAGATATAAACCATTGGCTTGGAATGTCGGAGCTCGTTTCTGTCAAAAGCGGAATGAAGATCCAAAAATACACACATATTTATCTAAAGAACAATGCCACTATTATGTCTCTATATATTTTCAGAATGTGAACCCCATTTTTGAATTGTTGGAACAAATTGCTTTTGAGGAAAAACTAAATACGCTTTGGGCTGCAGAAATGACCGCTGAGTTTGAGGTTTTACTTAGCACTGTCGTAGTACTTGGCTCTTACTTTTCGCATCAAAATTCCTTGTCAACTGAGCTTCAACTAATGCAACACGCCGAAAGCATGCTGGATAATAGCGCATTCTCAATTAACAGTATTCCATCAATCAGCCAAATTATTACCTGGATTTTAAGAAGCGTCTACTTACGAACCGCTGCTCATCCGCATAACGCTTGGTTAGCGTCTTGTGTTTATATGCAATGCATTGAAATTTTTTGCCTTCATCATGATACCAATGAGGAAGAGGCAGTTTTATCTGAGCCTGAAGAGCAAAAATACACTTATTTTTCTTCAAAGAACAAAATTTTTTCAATTGGATGGGCTTTTAACAGAATATTAGCCTCAGAATACGGGACAACTCCTATAAAACTATCTCAGTTGAATATTAAAAGAGTGGATTTTCCAGAAAAATCAAAGTCTCATCAACTTGTACGTTTAGCAAGTATTTTACCCGAAAGTGACGAGTTGACAAAGGAACCCCAAATGGCATATCTCGCAGCAATCCAGAGGATATCTCATCTTTCGAAATTACAACCCGTCCAACTTACCCTTATGAGAGCAACCGTTTGTTTCCATTTGTACCGAAGCCTTTTTTTAACAAACTCTCATCCTGATGAAACGATCGTCGGTATCATAGTTAAAATGACTGATGAAGCATTGGATAAATGTCTGACTTTATGCCAAAAAAGACTAGCATGGTGGAGTATTTTGGACATACCATTTCATGGTATTTGTGTCCTCTTGTCGATTGATACCAAAGAAAGCTTGCAGCTAATTCCAAAGGCATTTGAAGCTCTGAACACTGTTATAGAAATTTTCAATACTCCTGCTTCGAGAGATGCTTTTCAGGTTGCTTCAGCGTTGTGCGATGCATTAAGGAATAGGAAAATAAACGAAGCAAAATTATTAGATTATAGAGAACCATTGAAAAAACAAAAAAAGGATTTATTCGACGATTTTAACTTGCATGGATCTTCTGAATTGGTTATGGGAGACCCATTTTTCGATTTATTTAATTTTGATACTGATCTTTATTGTTAATATGTGGTGCATTCTGTTGACCGAATGTTTACGAATTGAGTCCTTCGCTACAATGTTCGCCATTCATACAAAAGATTTGGCCCAAGTTATGATATTATTAGAAATCGCCAATGATCTTTATGGTAATACCAAGGATCAAAGATTATACGGGAAAGAACATTTATAACCGACACAATTATTTTCGTGTTCTTACTTAAACTTAGATAAAACAAACGGAAAACCCTTTTTCACATTCCTCCTGTAGCGAATTAGGAAGATTATACTTTTTTTTTAGTAAAAAAAAAAAACAAAAAGAGGAACCCTAATCTCGTAAAACTAAGTTATCCCACTCTTAGCAATTTAAGTATTCATAAGGAGATCATACAGGAGAAGACCCCGTGAATCTTTTCCGTAAACTCAACATCATTGTGCTCTTCAAGATAATTTGCTATATATTGTCTACTACGAGAAACACTCTTCAGATGAAGATAGGTTTTCACAGTCTTTCATTGAAAGAACGCTTGAGTGTCTTTACTGAAAAATATGAATTCGTTCCATGGAGTCCGCGAGAATTATGAGGCGCCTTACTTTATAAGAACACTAGCCGATATCATGAAGATGTAGCATGTAAGGTTTATGATTCCAAGTAAGACCTTTCTTTTCATAATCAACGAGGAAGATAACCACTGCTAGTTTTTAAACCCAAAGACATAGCCATATTAAGAGAGCAATGGAGTTAACTACTAAGGGAATGAAATAATCAAAAGTCTCATCCCAAATTTTAAAAGTGGAAATAGTAGCAGAATGAGACCCAAAAAATGAATAAAACGGTGATAAAAAACGCCCGAAATCATATATACTGCTGTTCTTAGATTACAATAAGCAGGGACAATAAGAGTCAAAATTTCAACTGGTCGAAACAGTATTTCGTCACCAACGGCGACGTAAATGAAGAAACAAGTAAATTACTGGACACCGCCAATAATCAGATGTATTAAACTTCCAAGACACGGTGACCATAATCGTAAACCGTTTACCGTTAGCAAAAGGCGGTTGGCATTCCTTACTAACCAAAACTCACTGGTTGAGATATTAGACTTCACAAATTGATATTCCCTTGCTTAAATTTTTATTTAAAAGAATATATTGATAACAGAGCAGACTGTCATAAGGAAACTGGCTGCTTGAATGAAGACTTGAGAATTTGGATTGTGAGAAAGAAAATACCATAAAACATATAACCTTATTTTTTTATAAAGTTTCCTTGCATATTCTGACTTTATTGCTTACCTTTAACCTTTTTGATTAAATTTTAAAGAATCCCTTAGTAAGTTGCAACAATCCTTCTGTTGTTATCATAGGCACTATTAGAAGTGATTTATCAATTTATTCGGTTGTATTACAAAACGGGACCGTTCAATTCCACCAGACAAGCTCCCATAGCGGGCTTAGATACGACGATGGCGGCGTCCAAACCTTCCTGACTCAAGTTGGGAAAATGTTTGTTATAGTATTGCTTTTTTAAAGCACGAATCACTTCGGATAGTCTTTTAACAGTGGTTAAGTGTACTGCTGAGCCTCCCCAACCAGCACCGGTTGTTCGAGCACCATATGCGCCATTGGCAGTAGAAATCGCACATACTTCTCGCAATTCTGGACTTGAAGAATTATTATTTATGTCAGCAGATCTTTGTGAATCATTCAAAAGTTTTCCAAACGCCCTTAAGAAGTTTTCTGAGTTATCCGAGGGCTTATGTTCGTGAAAGAGCTTGAGAGTCTGTAATACACGTAAAAATTCCGAGAATACATGAATGGCTCTTTGATATATTTTCATTAAATCATAACGAACAGGCATTGCGGTTAGAAACGTTTCGGTAAAATGTTCCACCGACATCTCCAACTTCTTGGCCATCTGTTCAGTAGTAAAGCCCACTTTTTCTTCTTCTGAAAAAAAAGTTTCTGTAATCTTAAGCATTTCTTGTGTGCGCTCAAGGCCAACGGCGATGTCGTTACCATCCCAAGGAGGCTGTTTTAAATATTGTTCATAGTACGTGTCCATGAAGCTTCGTAATGTCCCTGCTGTTTTAAGGTTAGAGTCTTTAGGAAGTGTTAAATTGTACTTCTTGGCTAGTATTTCAGCAGCTACGGTCATTTCGACTACTCGCAAGTTGTAATTGGTGGCAGCGGTCTTGTGTTTGTTAGCCTGCACAAGCGTATTAGTTACAAGAAAGACCATTTCCTCTGGTTTGGTCGAAGGGATCTGGAAGGGAATACCGATCAGCTTTGGACGGAACTGGATTAGCAAAGCCTTTTCTCTCTCTCCATAGATAGACGCACACTGATCCATGCCTCCGGTATTTACCCCCACATAATGCTCTGAAACAACGCTAATCCTAGTCAAGTCTTCCTTGGTAACTGTGTTGATTCCGTTGGCCTTCAAAACGGCCATGATAGATGCCACACAAAAAGCAGCAGAAGAAGACAAACCTCCGCCTGTAGGGACGTTTCCGTCAAAGGTTAGTCTCATGCCCTTGAGAGGTTTGGAGCCACCTTGCACCAGATTTGGATATTTTTCTAAAATAAACTTATGAGCCACTATTAAGGAACAACGGAAATAATTTCCCCAACTGTGCTGGTCCTTGTTAATGGAAATGACAGAACCGTCTGACGGTAAATCAAACTGTTCTTTCTGAAATTCTTCATCCGTGTTCGTCAGAACCATCTTACCATCATCCGTTACCGCAACCGCAGCCACCACATCTACCTCCATAGCCATAGGGAGTACCGAAAAATAATTGTAGTCGATGTGCTCTCCGATAATGTTGACTCGACCAGGCGAACGACTCAAAAAACTGGGGCCCCTTTTATATTCCTCCTTGAATTTTGAGAGCAAGCTTTCATAACGAGCTTTGTTTCCTTCAGGATCAGTATAAAACGATAAATTATGATATATAGGTATTGTAGCCATTTGGTGTTCTCTTTGTCGACCTTTCTTCGCTAGTTTTTCTTATTCTTCTCTCTTCTTAGATTCGCAGAAATCAGACCTAAGTATAGCTTTTCTTTGCCTCTAAGCATAAATATATGTATAAATTAAGGAATGTTCATTGCTTGTAATTGGAAAACCTAAGCCGGATGATGTTGTGTCATCACTGAAATGATCGGCAAGAAACATTGACAATCTCATCCTCAAATTGTTACCCATTCAGCCGAAAACCTAAGCCTAGCATACAGCCGATTGATTGGGGGGAAAAGGGGGGAAGCAAAGCTTAAATTGGAGAAACTGGAGAGAGGCCGTCGCGAAAACCTTCTTCGAGTACTGATATCGGGGATCACATCGTAACCCTCCTGTCACACATCATCGTACCATCAGACGAACCAAGTATAAATATTGGGCGCATGGACGTAGAAAACCCTTAAAAATCAAAGCAAGTTAGGAAGTCCCTCAAGCTTGAACATAATAACCTTTGCAATTGAGAAATCATTTGCGAGTAAAAAGCTAGATTCTTATCTGGGAAGAACTCAATTGTTATCTTTTTACTCAAAACCATATCATTCGTCTTCTCGAAAACTCCTTAATTTTTTTATTTTTTTGTAATTCATATCCATGGGATCTAATTCTTACATTATTGTTACTGGTGGTGCCGGATACATTGGCTCCCATACAGTCGTAGAACTGATCCACCATGGCTATAATGTTATCATCATAGACAATTTATGTAACTCTAGCTACGAAGCAGTGGCCCGCATTGAGTTTCTCGTTCGAAAATCCATTTTGTTTTATGATATTGACCTGCGCGACGAAAAGCAATTGAGTCATGTCTTCTCATCTCACAACATCCAAGGCGTTATCCATTTTGCTGCTCTTAAAGCCGTCGGAGAATCAACCAAAATTCCTCTTGATTATTATGACAACAACATCAATGGATCCATTACCTTACTTCGAGTCATGGGCAAACACAATGTTAAAACGATTGTCTTTAGCTCTTCTGCCACAGTCTATGGAGATGCAACACGATTTGAAAACATGATCCCTATTCCCGAAACCTGCCCGAATGATCCCACAAATCCCTACGGTAAAACAAAATACACCATCGAGAATCTCATTAAAGACCTTCATACCAGCGATCGGACATGGCGTGGTGCCATTCTACGCTATTTTAATCCCATTGGCGCCCATCCCTCTGGTTTGATCGGTGAAGATCCATTGGACATCCCTAATAATTTATTACCATATCTCGCGCAAGTAGCAATTGGTAGACGTGAAAAGCTTTATGTTTTCGGAAATGATTATGAAAGTCATGATGGTACGCCTATTCGTGATTATATCCATGTTGTTGATTTGGCCAAAGGTCATATTGCGGCTTTAGACTATATGAATAACTTGAAGCACGATATTGGCTTGTATCGTGAATGGAATCTTGGAACTGGTAAAGGATCCACTGTCTTTGATATTTATAAAGCGTTCTGCAAAACAGTAGGTACTGAACTACAATACGAAGTCGTCGGCAGACGAGATGGTGATGTCCTTAATTTAACAGCTAACCCAACACGTGCCAAGCAAGAATTGAAATGGAATGCAGCCCTGAATGTTGAAGATGCATGTAGAGATTTTTGGAAGTGGACAACCGAAAACCCTTTTGGCTTTCGAGTTGATAATTATCAGTGGAAATTATTTAATGAATCCGATACACCCAATTATAAGAACCGATTGCATACTGTGAAATTTCCTGACTTGCAGGTGTCCTTTGCTAATTACGGCGCATTAATACAAGATGTCCGATACAAAGATCGAGGCTTGGTCGTTGGTTTCCAAGAATTTAAGCCTTATACATCCGATGACAATCCTCTTTTCGGCTCGACAGTTGGTCGGTATGCTAATCGCATTGCAAATGGATCTATTCAAATAGAAGGGACAACATACAACCTTGACAAAAATCAAAACGGGTCTACCTTGCACGGTGGAAGGAATGCATTTAACAGGCAATACTTTTTGGGTCCAATCTCAAAACAATATAAAGATTCTAATACCTTGGAGTTTATTCTACTGGATAAAGATGGTAACAATGGATTTCCCGCTGATGTAGAGACCGTAGTCAAGTATACGGTAGACAATAACTCGATTGAAATAGAGTATCAATCTTCCATTTGTGAAGACTCGTTAAAAGATGCAACAGCTATAAGTTTAACTAATCACTCTTATTGGAATCTTTCTGATGGTGAAACCATTGATGGTACTATATTGAAATTGGCTTCTGATAAATACCTTAAGGTAGATCCAAAAACTCTTTTACCAAGCGGTGAGATCACTCAATCAACCCAGCCATTGACCAAGTCAATTGAACTTGTACCGGATGTTTCTTTTGATAATTGTTTTATAGTCGGTGAAAGCGATTTTGCTCTTGATACAAGAAGCAGAGAGCTCAAGGCAATTGCTGAAGCAAGTCACCCTTCCACATCAATTAAAATCTCCGTGGCATCTACAGAACCGGCTTTTCAACTATACACAGGGGACAACGTAGATATTGATCCTTTTAGAGCTAGAGCCGGTTTCTGCGTTGAAGCAGGTCGCTATTTAAGTGCAATCAATTATTTGCCCTGGTCCAAACAAGTTCTTCTTCACAAGGGAGAGTTTTATGGCTCTAAATTAATGTTTTCTTTCACATGTTAAATATGGAAATGAAGATTAATGAATTTTTAAATATGCATAATTTTAGTACGTTCAGTTGATATGTCGCAAAAACGGGAATGAAATGTTAAGGAGATAACTCATAAATAACCTTTGTTTGTTCTAGACAAACAAGAATACGTAGTAAAAAGTGACCGATATTTTAGGAATTCGGTTTATGAAAGCATGATGAACGTTAGCAATGTATAAAAAAGGACATAAGGACACAGATTAGAAGGCTTCGTCAACCAGTTCTTTAATTCCTTGATCAAGAGAAATTTGAGGTTTCCAACCAAATTGCTTCAGTCTTTCATAATTTAAAGAATATCTTGTGTCATTATAATTTCTGTCTTTAAAAAATGAAATAAACTTCGAATAGTCAAAGTTGTTCGAAGGAAATTTTTTCTGGAGGAAGTAATCGCATATACGCTTCACGAGAGAATAATTGTCAATTTCGTCTTCAGAGCCAACATTAAAAAGTTGATGATTAGTATGACGATTATAAGAGGCAGCATTCATTCGTTCTTTCGACCAAATTAAATCAAGAGCGGTTAAAAAGTCATACACATGCAAATATTTTCTCTTTTGTGAGCCATCACCGTGAATGGTAATTTTGTCAAACATGACTTCGTGACTTTTCTGTTGAAGAAACCGGTGTAGTTTAGAAATTGTCATAGGAATTAATTTTTCTCCATCTTGTCGTGATCCATAAATATTATTGGCTCGAATAATTGTCACAGGAAGATTATACGACAACTCATAGGATCCGATGATTAAGTCAACAGCGGCTTTGGAGGCAGCGTACGGATTACTCGGGTTCAATTTGCAAAGCTCATCAACATTTTCATGATCTTCCTGTTCGCCGTAGACTTCATCAGTAGATATGTGCATAAATGTGAGCACACTACGAAGGTGGGGATAGCGATCGAGCAAAAGTCGAGAGCACTCTAGCAGATGTTGAGTGCAGAGAATGTTGTTTTTAGTAAAGAAGATAGGATCTGAGAAGGAGCGATCGACACATGTTTCTGCAGCGAAATTGATGATCTGTGTGATCCGCGTGTTTGGAAACTCATCGATGATAAATTTTTGGAGGGCAGCATATTCTGAAACCAAATTTATCTTAATAAAGTTGAAATTTGGCCTTCCCAAAACATTCTGGAGAAATTTCGTGCTGTTCTCGCTTGCGTAGTTTAATGTATCCATACATGTAAAATGAAATTGAGGATATTTAAACACAAGGAAGTCTAGGCAATGGGATCCAATGAATCCTGCCCCGCCTGTTACCAAAACATGCTGCTCGTAACCATCGCAAACGGTCATATTAGATACCTTTAATGGCTTTAACAAAAAATTCGCACAGTCGGAGCTTTAGCCCTGCAATAAATGAACACGTGTTGATTACAAAATTAATAGCTTATGAACCAAGAAAGAAAAAAAAATAATTAAATTCGTCCTTTCTGTACTTTGTTTACGAAATATACTCCACCGTATACCCTTATCCCTAAACGTTCACCCGTGCTTTTGTCGACTTAATTCTCTTGTGCACAGCTAATAATGTAATTAGTAAAGCTCAAAACAAATATCGATATATCTCCGTAAAACGTCAGAAAATACTCAGGACTAACGCCCGACTGGAAGAAGGAGGTGAAAGGATAAGACAATGCATGGCGGTACTAAGGTGTGAAAGGACATAGATATCGAAGCCAAGATGTATTATTCCTTAGAAAACGAATCAATGACTTAAAGCCCCTGATCTAATAAGGGCTTCACTCCGCAAACTCTCCGACTACTTTTAGGTTAAATTTGCTGTTTCGCTTATAATGAGGCTTGTGTATGCGGAGTGAACGGTGGGGTAAAGAATTATGTAACCTACATCATGAAACCACCATGAAGAAATGTCTGATCCTCAAGGTACCTTCTTCCTGCTGAATTATATAATACTACAATCTCAAGGATGAGTATGAAGTTCGACTTTACAGATCATTCTCATCGCCGATATAATCCTTTAAATGATACATGGGTACTGTGTTCTCCTCATCGTGCAAAACGACCTTGGCAAGGTGAACAAGAAGAAATTAAGAAGAACGAGTTACTGGAGTATGATCCAAAGTGCTATTTGTGTCCTGGAAATGAAAGGGCAATGGGAATAAAGAATCCAAATTATATGACAACCTATGTCTTTCGCAACGACTATCCAGCTGTCAAAATTGACCAGCCTGATTATGTGGAAGAACTAGATACTAAAGAGAAAAGAGACTCCTTAAAGTCTCGTTTGCTTAAAACTCAAAGCGTAAAAGGCAATTGCTTTGTCATTTGCTTTAGCCCCAATCATAGTTTAACGCTTCCTCGCATGGAAGTAGATGCGATTATGCATGTCGTGGAAACTTGGAAACAGCTCTATTTTAACTTGAAGAATGAGTCTTCTGAAGGTGTCTACTATAAATATATTGAATTTTTTGAAAACAAAGGTTCCGCCATGGGCTGCTCGAATCCTCATCCTCATGGTCAGGCCTGGTGCTTAGATACCATTCCCACAATTGTTGGTGAAGAAATTAAGAATATGACTAAATATTTCAATTCAAACGGTACTCACTTGTTGGGAGACTACATCGAGCTCGAGGTCGAAGAAAAGCAAAGGATTGTCCTTGAGAATGATTCCTTCATAGTACTTGTTCCTTATTGGGCTTTATGGCCTTTTGAAACTCTTTTGATCGCGAAAGAGCACTTGTGTTCGTTAATTGACTTCCAAGAAAAGCATGTTCAAGATTTGGCTTCAATCTTAAAAAAAATAACCACAAAGTACGATAATTTATTTTGTACAAGCTTCCCCTATTCAATGGGAGTTCACCAAGCACCTCTCCATGGTACCGAAGATGAATGCAACAATTCTTGGTTCCATATCCACTTTTACCCTCCATTGCTGAGGTCAGCCTCAGTAAAGAAATTTTGCGTCGGTTTCGAAATGCTAGGCGAAGCCCAAAGAGATTTGACTAGTGAACAAGCCGCTGTGCGACTGCAAGGACTTGATGGTGAAAAACATTACCTTGATACTCTTGCTTAATTCATTATGCTAGAGCTGGTGATTCTGTATTTTATATGTACTGGCAAGTCTACGTTTCAATTCTAATTTTTTAGCTGTTTCAGCATATACCTGTTGATTTGTGTATGTAAATGAAGAATATATATTATCCTCTTGTAAAGTTCAACTTTTGGTTTATCCTGGATTTTTTGGAATTATCCACATGCAAGAAAATAGATATGGCACAGTTTATATTAACTTTTCAATAAAAAAAATAAAGTATGTATGAACTTTGTCTGATGGAAGTAATTAAATCGTATAGTATTTGTCGGTTAAAAATCCACTATGTATTAGAACCGATAAAGCACTTTTCAATAATCGTTCCAAAGGGTAGCTAACTTCGCTTAATAAAATCTTATTTCAACCTTATCGTTTATTCATTATTAATGTACGACTTACTAATCGTTTCCGCTGACAAATAATATTAGTAAGCTAGCAATCAAAAAGATTTTTGTTCCGCTCCGCTCTTCGTTACCGAAAATATATAAATATAAGCAACACTATCCCAAAGAAAGTAAGCGCTCATTTTCTTACTTGCAAGCTCGACAAGATAGGTCAAACGCTTTCACACATTTTTTATAAAAGATGACTGTCGGATTGGAACAATCGAATTTATTTAAACCGATTACTATTGGTAAAAATACACTGGATCAAAGGGTAGCTTTCGCTCCTACAACAAGATTCCGTGCTGCAGATGATCATACTCCAAGCGACTTGATGCTACAATACTATTCTGATAGAGCACAAGCTCCTGGTTCGTTGCTCATTACGGAAGCCACTTTCATTTCTCCTCGCGCTGGCTTATACCCTAATATTCCTGGCATTTGGAATGAGAAACATGTTCAAGGATGGAAAAAGATTACTGATGCAGTACATGCTAAAGGAAGCTATATGGCGTGTCAATTTTGGTTCTTAGGAAGAGTTGGATCCCCAGAGCTTTTGAAAAAGCATGGCTTGGATTTGATATCTCCCTCTGCTTTATATGAAAGCGAAGAGTCTAAGAAGGCTGCAGAAGCTGCAGGCAATCCTGTGAGAGCATTGACTGAAAAGGAAATCAAGGGCATTATTTATGAAGATTACAAGAATGCAGCAATCAATGCTATGGAAGCTGGATTTGATTATGTGGAAATTCATAGTGCACATGGATACATGCTTGATCAATTCTTACAGCCCGCTACGAATCAAAGAACAGATAACTATGGTGGTTCTATTGAGAAGCGTGCAAGAATCGTGCTTGAGATTATCGACCTTTTAAGCGATACAATTGGTGCTGAAAAGCTTGCAATCAGATTGTCTCCTTGGGCCAAATTCCAAGGAATGAAAGCTGAACAAGATACTGTGCATCCTATTACCACATTTAGTTATGTGGTGAATGAGCTTCAAAAACGTGCAAACAATGGTAAACAGCTTGCTTATCTTTCCCTTGTGGAACCTAGGGTCCAAGGAAACTTGGATGTCAACACATCTGACATTGTTGGTTCCAACGACTTTATAAAAAAATTATGGAAAGGAGCCATTTTGCAGAGTGGTAATTATACTTATGACAGTCCTGAGTTTAAGTTATTGAAGGCTGATGTCAATGGTGACAACCGTACTATGATTGGATTCTCGAGATATTTTACATCAAATCCAGATTTAATTGATAGATTAAAGAAGGGTCTTGAGCTTACTCCTTACGTTCGTTCTTTGTTCTATGCTACTAACAACTATGGTTATAACACTTTCGCAAATTATGGCAAGGAATTGCAATTTGATCCCAAAAAAGAAGAAAAGAGACGTCCTGTTTCTTTGATCTGAAATTCGATTTATGACGAATGTTGAAAGGCTAATAAATATCGGTTTGAATAGTATGGTAGTCAATGTTGCCTTTCGATTCTTAATGCTTTACATGGATAGAAAAGAGAGTTATGCTAAGCTACCGCGCAAACTGTGGTAACAATTATATTTTCTTTCGTAGTGAAGTCAACTGATTAGCAAATGATAATAAAGTTGTTCTTCCGGTAATACGATGAATGCCATGGATTTTGCTTTATTTTTGAGGCTTCTTTTTCGCTTCTCAACACACATTACTTTACTTTGTAACTAGGAAAGTATCCAAATAGTTTGTGATATCAAAATGAAACCTTTATTTTATGCTTTTGGAAGAGACGATAAAGAGTAAAGGTTAGTTGAGAATTAAGTATTGTTATAGTAAATACATATCATCTTCCTTGGGATCGTTTCGAATCACATTGTCATCCAGAATAATATTTGACGATGATCTAATTCACAGAGTGGTAAATATCGCCTAATTTATTTGTAAACAAGACATTGCATCTTTGAATTCCCTCTTAGGTCTATTTTACCGGAGTTTATTTAACCCCCTCCAAGGAACTAGGCATACAAAACCTTTATCGGGAGGGAGCTTTACGCTTACAAAAGTCCTTAACATATTTAAAATAAACAGGCGATATCAATGTTTACGCTACTTTACAGCCGCAAATTTTTACTGAGTTAGGATGATATATAAAGAAGTTGATAAATAGAAATACTTGAAAAATAAGCTGTAATATATGGGAACTTCCTTTAGCAAACTAACGACTTTCAGGTGCAACACAAAAGTACGAATAACTTCCACTATGGTTTAAGATTATCATAGCTATTTAATTATACTATAATAAAAAAGGGTATACAAAGAAAGATACAACCTAGTTTCACTGGATGAACGCTATCTGTAGCCTCGAGTGGAAAGCACAAAAATTGCGAAACTCCAGCCATTAAGGGCGCTAGCTTTAGCTCTATATAAAAGTATCTCAAAGATTACTGAAAATTACATCATGGATTATAAAAGGTTTTAGTATATATTGGAATCAATAGGATTCCCTGTCCTTTTCTATTTAAATTTCCCTTGCTCAGTATACCCAGCTCGCTCCTTTGCTCCTTTGTAATGTCAGAAGAACTTTTCCAAGAACTACAACTTCCAGATGGTAATACAGTTAGACAACCAATTGGATTATACATTGATGGTCAGTGGATAAAATCCAAAGAAGTACTTGAAACAGTTAATCCTGCTACCGAAGAAATTATTACAAAAGTCTATTTAGCCGGGACCGAGGAAGTGGATCTCGCAGTAAAATCAGCAAGAAATGCTTTTAAAGAATGGAAGATGGTGCACGGTTCCGAACGGGGTTCACTGTTGATGAAATTAGCAGATGCCACCGAAAAACACATTGATACACTATCTGCCATTGAAGCAATAGATTCAGGCAAGCCAAAGGATTCGAATGCTCGTGGCGACGTGGAAGGAACGATTGCTTTACTTCGATATTGTGCTGGATGGGCTGATAAAATCTATGGATCTGTCATCCCAACAGGCCCCGAAAAACTTGCATACGCTAAACGAGTCCCAGTTGGTGTTTGTGGTCAAATTGTTCCATGGAATTATCCCTTAAATATGGCAGGCTGGAAGATTGCTCCGGCTTTAGCTGCTGGTAACTGTATCATCATTAAGTCCGCCGAAACTACCCCTTTATCTTTATTGTACTTTGCTCAATTAGTTGATGAAGTTGGATTTCCTAAGGGTGTAGTGAATATTATTAGTGGATTGGGTACGGTCGCTGGATCTCACATTGCTTCTCACTCAGGAATCGACAAAATTGCATTTACTGGATCTACAAAGGTTGGCAGTACAATTCAAAAACTGGCTTCTTCTAATTTAAAGACTATAACACTTGAATGTGGTGGAAAGTCTCCTTTTATTGTTTTCGAGGATGCTGATATTGATCAGGCTGTAAAATGGGCTGCGGTAGGCGTCATGTTCAACAGCGGCCAAATTTGCACAGCAAACTCTAGAATATATGTGCAAGAACAAGTATACGAAAAGTTTTTAGAGAAATTCAAAGAGCACGTTTTGGCAGATTATAAGCTCGGATCTCCATTTGAGAAATCGACGGTTGTCGGACCTGTTGTAAGTAAAGCTCAATATAATAGAGTCCTTGATTATATCGATGTTGGTAAAAAGGAAGGAGCTAGAATGGTGATGGGAAATGAACAGGTCACCTCGAAAAAAGGATACTATATTCATCCAACCATTTTCGCCGACTGTCATCAAGACATGACTATTGTGAAAGAAGAAATTTTTGGACCCGTTGTTGCTGTATCCAAATTCACGACTGAAGATGAAGTTTTAGAAAAAGCAAACGATAGCATATACGGATTGGCAGCCATGTGCTTTACCAAAGATCTCGAGAGAGCTCATCACGTTAGTGAGGAATTAGATACTGGTATGGTATTTATCAATTCCACAGAAAATAGTGATATCCAGGCTCCTTTTGGAGGTGTTAAAATGAGCGGAATTGGCAGTGAGTTAGGAGCTCCAGGCATTGAAACGTATACACATCTAAAAACTGTTCATGTAAACCTGGGTAACAAGCTTTAGTTTTAAATAATCGTGAAACTATAGTGCTTGACAAGCTTACTTAGATGTAACTCCTGGGAGATTGCTAAATTATGAAATATACAAATATGCTAAGAAACACATGTCTATAACGTTCATTTCTGAATGTTTAGGGACGTGACTAAAAAATATCACTTGAATTTTACTGGAAAATAGGTTTTTAGTCGGTTTTTTGAAATAATTCAAGGATTCGATTTCCGTCAAAACTTTCCATAAGAAAATGAACGTGAGGATCGTATCAAGAAGTTTTGTGAAATTATATCCTCATCTAAATTTCTGAAAACGTCTATCATATTATAGCCTCATCCGACACGGATCCTACATTTCTGTAAGGCCTCAAAAACTGATAACAAGACGAGAATGGCATTGTCAGTTACAAAGAGGTAGAATTAGAGCAAGCTAAGATTCTATGGATGAGACTTTCTAGAAGGACAGAAAGCCGAGCGCAATACATATCAGTGATTGATTGACAATTCTATAATTTACCAGATGAGCATTTATTTCAATTAACGAAAAAACAATTGCCCACTTAGTGCAAAGCACTTTGTATATATTGGTTTTACTTCCCTTTGGCAAACAAACAAGCACATATGATATGAAGTTCTTACCTTATAATACATTTGATGCTAACAGAATCTAGGAAACAAGTTTATGACTATTACCTATATTAACTGTTACAAAGCTTATACACTATGATATATTGAAGTTCTAATTCTGATTCTCAATAGAATAATCTTCCTGATTCGCTCGTTCACGAAGAATTATGTGGGTAATACGCCGATTAGCAAAATCAGATAATATTCTTTGTCAAAATGAGCAATATACATTCTTTGCAATACATTGCAGAAAGGAATAGTGATCCCTATATTGTGTACTGAGTCTATAGACAGGTTTTATGGGCATGATTCGAGGACTTTAGGAAAACTTTCTGAAATCAAATGAATCTCCAAAGTGGCGCCTACAATAGAATTACGTTGGTATTTCGCAATTCAATAATTTCACCAAAAGTGAAATACTATTCAAGTCAGAATGACAGAAGTTTAGGAATTTTCTTATTCAAGTATGATTTCACCGCTCTATAATTCTGCAATGGAAAATTATATAAGACAGGGAAAACACAGTTTGTGCTACCAAATTTTATTGAAAACTTAAGTCGGTTTTTATTTTTTTTGACTTTGATTATTTGATTCAAGATGCCTAACCCTGGAAACGTCGCTGGAGGCTACAAAGCTGCTATGCACAACCCCAATGTCTCTGAGGAGGCCAAGCAACACTCTAAGGATGTTCTTGAACACGAAGACTTCTCTAGAAGCCCTACTCATCCCAAGAACCCTGGAAACGTAGCTGGAGGTTACAAAGCTGCTTTGCACAACCCCAATGTTTCTGAAGAAACGAAGGAACACTCCAAGGAAGTCCTTGAGGAATTGGAATAAAAAACCAATTGCATGTTAGCCAGGTGTTAATTTTCTGGCTAAAAGTAAAGCATAATGATTTTCATGGATAACCAAATATTTTGATACGATAATATCATGTACTATATATTTTGAGCGAGCATTTATGTTTTTTGAAATGAATATTATTTATGTTCCAACCAAAGTATGAACTGAATTTAATGGTCTTTTTATAGTAAATATACAAAAACATCGTAATTTTCGTAACCATTAGCATATTCTACCAAATGAAATTTGTTTCTACCATACAGTAAACAGATAGGCAGTCGTATTGCTACTGAAGTGTAAGATATTTTCATAGCTTTCGACTTATGTCAAAAGCATTAGAAAGAAGACTGGCTTAGAAGGTCAAAAGCCTCTTCTCATAGTACCACAAACTGTTCCTTTTTAACTGAAGAATTACTATCGTAAACATGAACTCGTGTTGAGTGATTAGGGATTACGACATTTAGGTCAAGTTTTAGTTTTATTTGCTCAAATTCATTCATACCAAATAGTCCGTCCCTAGAAAAACCGGTTGCAGCGGAACGATTTCTCGAAAGCAATGTATGACGGGATTTATCATTTCGTTTCCTATAGTTGCCCAATCTTGTAATCTTCTATAGTATTAATTTAGGAAATCAAGTATTTAGTCATATTTATTGTCGCGAGCTTTGCCATCCATAAAATCGATCTTTGCCTCCGAAATCCAGTTGAGGTAAAGCATTATAATAGACGTAATAAATTACGAAAAGCAAAGTCATTATTAAGCGTTTCAGAATATGTTGAACAAAGAATCATATATAAATGAAATTTGCATCGCTATTTAGTACAATCAACTTTTTTTTCAACCAATATGCCAGATTTAGCACATCAAATTGCCGGCCATAAGGCTGCCTTGCATAATCCTAGTGTTTCCGAAGAGGCCAAAGCAAGAGCTCAAGAATGGTTAGATAGTCACGGTGACGAAGCTCATTATACTACTGGAACCACGCGTGGTTACAAAGCTGACCGAGATGATGAAGCCGAATTGAGAAAGGAAGGATTTCAGAGTTCAAACCTGTTTGAAAATGATGAAGCCCAAGCCAAAAACCTTGGAAACGTACGTGGTGGATACAAAGCTGCCATGAAAAATAAAAGAAACACTAAAAGCGGGAGAGAAGCCGCTCGAAAATCATTAGACGAAATTGATGACGAGGCTAATGCTTGAAGTAATGCAATTATAATTGAAATCACATATGATCTGATCTGACAGAATGAACCAAAAATTATATATCATGATTCTGATTGACTTTTAGCGAAGCTTACCTTTAATTTATTTATTCTTTTCTGAAATACTACAATAACATGTTGTATATTGCGAAATGGCTTTAGTATCACTTGAATTTAATGAAAGTAGGTTAAGCCATTTATTCAAAAATGTATTTCTAAAGTTCATTAATGAGCGGCCGAAAAAAATAATCAAGTTTAAATAATTCGAAAAACTAAGTAATTTCCTTCGAATTTTAAAAATAGAGAAAAGACAAAAGAAAACGGTGGTGAGCAAAACCATACGATAGCGACTTCTGATTAAAAAGTTGGAAACAAAAGAGGAGGGGGTTATATCATTAAATAATTATCATTAGTTTGCAAGTAAAAAAAAGAAAAACATGACAACAATAGTAGATTTTGGTGCATGACCTTGAGAAAAGGAGGGAGTTGGGTTTAAGCAATCCACATCCAAACTTTTTCAATGAAGTTTCTTGGTTTTCCGAGTATGTATCTACTTTCAACTTCCTCAGCTTCAGCCAAACCACTGGTAACATCCAACTCATCAATTCTTTTGAACCATTTCCAGTTTTTCGTCCAAAGTTTATGTCCCAGATACAATGCTAAGAAAATAGGTAAGGTAACGTAAGCCGCAATAAAATTTGCTGCAGTAAACGAATGGCCAACAAAGACACTGAAACCATTGGTTATGGTGATTAAGGAAACAAGGAAAAGAGTAATGTAGGTGGCATATGGTTGAAGTGAAGTTCTAAAAGGCATCAGATTTAATAAATTTTCTTTAACCATAGCCTTTCTGAATCGCAGATAAGTGATAAGGATGCATATCCAAGCAAGGAAGCCAGAAATAGTAGAGAGATTTGTGAACCATGTAAAGACCATAGCTGAAGAGGAGGATGAATTCAAAAAGGCAAGAGAGGCAATTGCAATGGTAAATAAAACAGAAACATATGGAACACCCCATCTATTGCACCGTTTGAATATTTTTGGGGCTTGTCCCTCGACAGCAAGTGAATATAATGAACGAGAACCGGCAAACAAAAATGAATTACCAGAAGAGATAGAGGAAGTAAGAATAACCGCATTAATAATGTGGTTTAACACATGAATTCCGGCGTTTTCAATTCCAATAACAAATGGTGAAGCGGCGGCATTGCTAGAGCCTTTAGAGACGGCGCTCAACAAACGATGATCCTGACTGGAGACAATAACACCGATGGATAAGGTACCCAAAATATAAAAGAAAGCCAAGCGATAGATGAATCTACTTGTCGCTTTAGGGATGTTTCGACGAGGAGCTTCTGTCTCGCCAGAAGCTATAGTGATTAATTCGGGAGAGAGAATAAAAGAGAAACCGCTTTTGATGACAGCGCTCCAAAAACCGCAAAAGCGACCTGAGCTTCCTTTTACTAAGTACTCACGAAAAGCCAACCCGTTTTTCCAGTAACGAAAACCTAGGCGATCATGATTCGGGGTACCACCAAAAAAGATAACAATGCTAAGGATAACTAAACCAATAATGGTAATGACTTTGACAATTGCAAACCAAAATTCGGTCTCACCGTACCATTTTACTAGGAACGAGTTAAGTAGCATTAACACAAAGAGGACGATCGCAATCCAAGCGGCTACAGGAACCGATTCTGTCCAATATTCTATGATGATTGCAGCTGCTGTGATTTCTGATGCCACTAAGAACACGTAAGCGTACCAGTAATTCCAGCCAGCAGCAAATGCTAATGATTTATCCACCCAGCGAGCAACATATAAAGGTGGAGAGGCTCCAGCAATAGGAAGATAAGTGTTCATTTCTCCCAAAACATTCATCACAGACCAAATTACAAAAGACATAATGACATAGGAAAGAAACAAAGATGCCGGTCCTGACTGAGACAATGCTTGGCCTGATCCAACGAATAGACCTGTACCGATGCAGCCTCCTAGAGCAATTAATTGTACATGTCTAGATTTTAAAGCTCTTTTCGTTTCTCCAAATTGAACATTCGAGATGGGAAGCACTTCAGCCTGAATGGGCTCTTCAGAGTCTGACTTCACAGTTGCTTTTTCTGACTCTTTTTCAGTCATCTTGAAAGGATTGTTCAGAAAAGGAACGATTTTCATTGAATAGAGCTCTTCATATTCCTTTTATTTTATTAAATTACATTGTTCTGTTTATCTATTCTATAACGTATAGATATCAGTGATCTTGTCACCTTCCCTAAACCACTAGTGAGCGTTTATTTGGCAAGCCGCAAATCATAATTTATGTGTCTTTTACGTCTTGGTATATACATGATATAGATAGCGTTGGATCATACTATGTTTATCAGTTTATCGGAAAATTTTATATGACTGAGAATAGATGAATAGATGAGATTACGAGAATTGCTTTTAAGAATATACCGAATCTAAAATTACGATTCAGGTTTAAATTCATTCAAACGCTGGTCAATTCAGCCTATACTAATAGTTACTCTCTTCAAGTTTCAAAGAAAGATGTTAGCGAATACTAAGATTCATGAATAGAATAGAATAAAATAGAATGAAATACAATACAAAACAAAAGAATAGGATAAAACAGTTTAGGGTTCTATTAAATTTCATTATGCGATTCGTTTATTTCATTGCCATGAATAACCGAAACTTATTTCCCTGTCTTAAAAGACGTTCTTACAAACCAAATCAAAATCGTATGAAATGTCTTTTTCCAATGCTAAAGAAGCAAACTAATGCCGTCGCTGGATATGATTTTCTTGTTGTCGTTTTACTATTATGAATGAAAAGCAAGTGACGAAGGGAAAGGAAGGGACATGAATGAAGAAGCATTGAGTCCAGAAGGCGGCTTCTTTATCTTCTTTAATTACTTCTCTCTTTTTCTTTGTTTATCCCATTATTATCTACTACTTAGGTTACCTATTCCGATTGCTCAAGAACTCGGTATCTTAGATATTGATCCAAGGTGTAAGTTAAGGACGGATGTAACGATCCTGACGCCATCTTTTCACCAATAGTTAAACTTGAATAATGACTCACTCCGGCAAACTAATTTTCGGCCAACCTACTTATCGGACTTTAAACTATCTATGGACTAATCAAATATTTATGGTCTAGTCAGTTATGAGCAAACGGAAAATGCTAAACCCATCTCAAAATATAAAATGTATGACGAGCATAATAACCTGGGTTAATTTGGGTAACTCTTAAGATTTTAAAGGTACGAAAGTAAATTAGAGAAATAAAAGAGTCCTTCCTTGTTGTAGACAATGTGGTTGTTTTGATATCAATATTACGGAACTTGGACTTGGGGACTCATTAACTGAGTACATGATTCACTCTTTCTAGGTTTTCCTTGTGGGATGAAAGCTACAAATAGATAGGATGATTCTTCTTTAAACATCGCCGCTTTGTGGAATCCGTACTACAAATGAATAATGATAAATTAAAATAAAGCAAAGTAAGTAAAGTAAATGGTAACAGCTGTGAAAAAATACAATTTCAATAAATTACTTAGTGCATTGAAAAGTGGTTCATAGCACTGGCAATACAGTAAATTAAGTCGGTTTCCTAAACTCATAATTGTAACTAGTTGTTTATAGTTTGATCTAGCACATTGGAATTAACACTCAAAATCCCTATTCTATAATTCTAATCCTTCTTGGATTTTATCTTCTTTTACAATTACAGCAGCAACGCTTCCTTTCTTTCTTTGGACTTGACTGAATCATTCATTCACCAGTAATATGCTATTATCTATCATGTATATGCTTTTACGCTTCTAATCGATTTCTCCTAGCCTTCGATACATATATTTATATAATTATAAAGAGATATTCACTTACTCATTATTTTGAAGGGTGAACCCCAAATTGTAAATTAAACTTCCTGTTTTCGAAATTTGTTTGTTCCCAATGTCACTTAAAAGCAAGCATTCACCATTCTATTTGTTAACCTTTTTATGTATTAAATTTTAGTGTTTTCGACCTATATTCTTTAACCTTACTTTGGACTTTTCCATTCATTTGAACTTTACCATCGAAGTTTTACCTTTAACAGTAAGCTTAAAGTAAACATTGTATTGCTTTCCGCCGAAATGACATAGATATGATTCGCTTTTACCACTCGTTTTAGGTTGGCATACCTCTTACTATTGGCGATGTGAGTTCGCTGAACGTGACTCAATTATGACCGAGATTAAACGAAATCAAGTTTACCAGGAATATATTAATGAACAGTTGGAATCCTGCAGATTGCTTAAAAACTTCGTTTGATTTTAACATCCCAAGCTCTTCGTAGGCTTTTGTGCTTTTATTCTGGCATCCCTCGTTTTGTCTTGAAAGATTCTTATTTTACGCTTCTTTTAAAACTTTCTTTTAACATCCACACTTTGTTTAGTGACAGTTGACAATCATTCTAATTTAGTGAGAATCTCACTCTGAAATTTCGCTCGTTTATGTATTTAAATTTGTTCTACTTTCCTTCTTTAATTCATCTATTTTAATTTAATGCTTCCTCGACCTTTTTCCTTTATTGTGTCTTTCTTTACTTTCTTGCTATGTTTTAGCAAAGCTTCTTTTGTTTTCGGACTCGATGCTTCCAAAACTGGAACCATAATTACCTCGAGCACTTTGCCTACTAGCTCAACAACCTATAGGGCTTTGCCGACACCTTCTGTTGCTACTCTTGGAATTCCACAACAGCCTTCAGTTAATGAGCCTTATCGTGGTAGTACCTGTCCTGGTTATCGTGCTTTAAATGTCTCAGAATCAGCAAATGGGTTAATTGCTGCTCTCGAACTTCGTGGATCTCCTTGCTATTCTTATGGCAAAGATTACTCCCACTTACTATTAAATGTCTCTTATGACACAGTAGACCGTATCCACGTTTCTATTTCTGATATTGAAGGTAAACAATTCCGCTTTACTAACCATTCCGACGTTTGGGATGCTCCTCTCTACCATGATTTGACGTATCCTTCAAACCGCTCTTACACCTTCTTTTATAATTCAGATCCCTTTGAGTTCTGGGTAGTCAGAAATACAGATAACGAACTTTTATTTGACACTCGTGGTCATCATCTCATTTTCCAAGACCAATATGTAGAGCTGACCACAAATATGGTTGATGATTACAACCTATATGGGCTCGCAGAGACAGTCCATGGCCTTCGACTTGGTAATAATATAACTAGGACCTTTTGGGCGAATGGTGATAATGCTCCTCTTGATGGGAATAGTTATGGTACTCATCCATTTTATTTGGAGCAAAGATACCGCCCTGCAGCTAATGATTCTCCAGTTAATCAAACCGGATACCATTCTTCTTCTCACGGCGTGCTCATGCTTACCGCAAATGGCATGGAAGTCTTACTACGTCCAAATTATTTACAATACCGTATGATTGGGGGAGTGATCGATCTGTATATTTACGTTGGAGGTTCAGATGATCCTAAAAAAACCGTTTCTCAATTTGTAAAGTCTATCGGAACACCGTCCATGCAGCAGTATTGGACCCTTGGATTCCATATCAGCAGGTGGGGATATTCTAACGTCTCTGACATTTTAGATGTGCGTAAAAGCTTTTCCGATTTTGAAATACCTGTCGATACATTTTGGAATGATCTCGATTACATGTATATGTACAGGGATTTTACAGTTGATCCGATTTCTTATTCCAAAGATAATATGTTGGAGTTTTTTAAAGAAATCGAGTCCACTCACCAACACTATGTTCCTCTCATTGATGCCGCAGTGTATGCTGCTAATCCTAATAATAGAAGTGATGATTCCTATTACCCATATTATAACGGAATTGAGAATGACGTCTTTATAAAAAACCCCGACGGGTCAATTTATGTAGGAAATGTTTGGCCCGGATATACGGTATTCCCCGATTTTACTAATCCAGCAAGTAGCGAATACTGGAAAGATTGCCTAGTTAATCTCACTCACGATTTTGGAGCTAATTCTAGTGGGTTTCCTACGTTTACTGGCTTATGGATTGATATGAATGAGCCGACTTCTTTTTGTGTTGGATCATGTGGTTCAGCTCACTTGGATGAAAATCCTGTGCACGTCGCCTTCGTTTTAGAGGGTGAAACCAATAACGTTGTCTATTCATATCCAGAAGGCTTTAATATTACAAATGCTACTGAATATTCATCCGTATATATGTCTTCTCTTTCTCAATTTCATGCTACTGCTACCTCAACTTTAGAAAAAGTTAAAGCAACACCTACACCTTTGAGTGTTAAGCCGGATTATAATGTTAATAATCCACCTTATGCGCTAGATATTGAACAGGGTAATGGCGACCTAGCTGACGAAGGAGTTAGTGCAAATGCAACTTATTATAACGGTACTTTAAGATATAATCTTTTCAATATATATGGATATGGAATGGCAAAAGCAACCTACAACGCGTTGACTTCTATATACGAGAATAAACGGCCTTTTGTTTTAAGTCGATCGACATTTTTGTCGTCCGGAAAATATGCCGCTCATTGGTTAGGCGACAATTATTCTCAGTGGTCAAACATGTTCTTTTCTATTCCGGGTATGCTCACATTCAACTTGGTTGGCCTTCCAATGGTTGGAGCTGACGCCTGCGGTTTTATGGGCAATACAGATGAGGAATTATGTTCTCGATGGATGGCTATGGCAGCATTTTCTCCATTCTATAGAAATCACAATAGCCTCGGTTCTATTTCTCAAGAACCATATAGATGGGGATCTGTTGCTGAATCTTCCAGGAGGGCGATGAGCATTCGTTATTCTCTTCTACCTTACTGGTACACTTTGATGAAAGATGCTCATACTGAGGGGTTCCCAATGATTCGGCCACTCTTTTTTGAATTTCCCAATGAACAAAATTTAGCCGGGGTTGATAGACAATTTATGGTAGGTGATGCACTTTTGATTACACCAGTACTTGAGCCAAACGTTAGTCACGTCCAAGGTGTTTTCCCTGGAAATACTAGTACTAAGTGGTATGATTGGTACAATCATACAGTCATTGATCGACAGTATGGCGAAAATGTTACACTATATGCTCCCTTAGAGCATATTAATGTCGCGATTCGAGGTGGAAAGATTGTTCCCCTCCAAAAGCCCGCACTTAACACATTTGAAACACGTCAAAACCCGTTTAATCTTTTGGTGGCCCTCGATGATAATGAATACTCGGAAGGAACGATGTACGTTGATGATGGCGAGTCTATCACGCAAAACAGTACTTTGACAATCAAATTACTTTGTAAATCAAATCAATTGTCTATTAATTCGGTAGGAGATTATCATCTTCAGCCTCCCTTGGCTAACGTTACGGTACTGGGTTTATCCCAGGCACCTAGTAGAGTACTGATGCAGAACACTGAAATTCACACTTTTACCTATCTAAATGCTACTAAGGAGCTTATTATCAGCAACCTAGAAAATAATACCATGAATGGTGCTTTTTCGTCGAACTGGACAATTTCATGGTGATTTGTGTGACTATAAATAATTCCGGAGATTACTCAGTTTCAAGCTGTCGTCATTGCAACAGCCCAAAACTTTTCCATTGTCAGAAATAAACTTATATACTTTGGGTATTTTTAGGAGTTAGTTTACGAATGTTGGCATTAGCTTATGATAGTAATAAATGCACTGGTATATATAAAAACTACGTGCATAATATGTAAGTATTAGGCCGTGTGGTTTAGATGGTTATAATTTCTGCTTAACATCTAAGAGTTCGCAGACGGTCCCAAGTTCGAGTCTTGGCACGGTCATATTTTTTGCTACTCACTGAGTACTTGCGTATTTAATGCACGAACGAACTAAAGATCCTCAGTTGATTGAACTATACCAGAGGAACCTGTATATACGCTTACAGGAAGTAACACGAAAGGCATTTTCTATTTTGGTTTACTTTTTTACACATTCAATACCGTTAGCTATTATCATGAGCTAAGACCAGTGATATCTCTAAGCATCCCTTAGTATGTCAAAAATAAAATATGAATAGAATACTATTACGGAGATATAGAATTACGAAGCTTTGTAGCTTTCACGGTGCCAGGGTATAATGTATTTCGAGCGTAAAATTGTATCTCTTTATTACGTAGATTGGACTAAGTAGTACTATGTGTATAAACGCTAGTACTGTCCAGGGACACGGTTAACAAAATGAAACGTTTGAAAGCAGTCTTATTTAGCCAGACCAGTTCGAACCTTCCAGTCGGAAGTTTCTGACTGTTGACTCTCGGTCTATATCCTTTTCTCTAATCTACCAATCGTAATCTGTTCCGACTTCGTGTTCACAATTTCTGTAAAACCTTTTTTTTTGTTTATTTACTTGCGTACTTTGCGACAATTCCTTATGCTTATGAATATCAGCTTATATTCGCTAAAATTCAATAACTATAAGGATGCATTATATTACTGACGTTGGTGCAGTAACCGGCTGTTACTATAAAGTTTTAAAAAGAAAATTAATGAAGAAGCCTACAGCACCCCGGATTCCCATGTTGTCTCCAACCATAGTACTAACGAGGCCCTCAGACGCTTAACTGCAGTGATCGGACGGGAACTGGTGTTTTCGCCTAGGTGTGGCCGTAGACATTTATTTTGATTCAAAATATAATTTGTAGGCTATATTAGATAATCTAACATTAAAAGTTTCAAGAAAAGCAGTTAGCTATTGTGTCTGCAGTTTCCAATTAATGTATATTAATGTATATTAATGCTGTATGGTATATAAAAAAATAATAAGAAAAGTGAATAACTCTAGCTTTCTAAATGCTATAAGAGTTATTTACTCACTTTCAAAATAAAAATCGATCAAGTCATAGGAAAAGTTTTCCGTTGTTTTATATAAAAGTGTAAACAAACGCGAATTTTGAAGATTGTTTCTTACTTTTTGTGGAGATTCAATGCTGAACGATATGTTGCGTAAGAGATGCGAAATTAGTGCAGCCAATTCTTTTTTTCCTCAATTCCTGCCAGTTGGGTTGATTATAACTTGAACTCTTTGGAACGATCTGGAAGATTTGCTTTAGGATGGCTGCATTTTTTTCGCGTTTCCGCGCGATGTGTGAGTTGTGTATTCAGGATAAGACCTCGCTTTTCCGACTCTGTAGATTGTTTACTTTGGTGATGTAAGAAAAAGAAATGAAAGACTCGATAGGTCCTTCTGCGTACAACCATACTAATGTTTTCAATGTTGATCTTTAGAAGGGACTTCCATTGTATTGACCACAGAGATAAACAAACCTTCCAACTCAATTTCTTTAAAACCAAAGAGAGAAAAAAAAAACGACGGTGACTGAATCCGGTGACTTTATCTCCTTCATAAGCAATTTCTTTCTTTCCTTCTTATTTATCTCCCTTTATAGAGCTAGGTATGTAGAATGAAAACGTCTAACATGAATGCTTCTCATAACGTCAGATTTCTTGTTACATTTAGAATGCAAGTCTTGTGATTAGTCGGTTTATACTTTGCGTTTCAATTTCTGCTGATTATGAAAACCAGGTTGATAGTTTAGTTTTTTGAAATATATATACATGTACATGTTTTTGGGTGGTTTGAATATTGTCCTTCAGCAAATATTACACTATCGGTGCGAGATATATGTTGCTTGGGCAGTTATTATTTGCCCAAAAAATGTTTACATCCTATTTATACTTCGCTATAACAAAGCTGAAATATTAATCAGTCAAGCCCACTCATATTCTACAACTTACACAGTTTAAAAAAACAAAATAAGAATTACTACTTTCTTCAATTTCCATTGTCCAAGTTTTATAAAATGAATGTTACAGTTTGTCCAGATAAAAAATTCCATCATTAACGACTAGTTTATTATTAAATTCCTCAAACGTGATTAAAAAGATATCTAGCCATTAATGAATATCTACAAAACTAAAGCTACAAATTTTAAAATTATACGTACGCAATGAAAAGGATTATAAGTCTTTCCCTTCAATGGTCTTTGGTATAGACGGAGGATTATATGCATCTCGTTTAAATACCTGACTAGCCTTAGGTCCTTTGAACCATTTTCTGGCTGACATGGCATACCAAATAAGTGTCAGGAAAATTGGCCCTCCGTAAACCAAGCAAGTCCAGTTCATGTCTTTTGGTGACGGATTTTTGTCATTTGGAAAGCACAAGACTGGAATCATTAAAGCCACAAAAAAACAAGCAAGAGCACCAATAGGTCTTGAGTATTTACCCAGGTTCCAGGGACCTCGAGGAAAGTCCGCGTCTTTCATACAAAAAACGCGAATAAAGATAGGAATCGTAAAGGCTGAAAATGCAGCAACGGCTCCTACGGAAAAAACCGCGCTTGATGTTTCTTCACCAGCAAACAATAAGAATAAAATACAAAAACTTATTAATCCATTACATAGTACTGCATTTACAGGTGTTTTTGTTTGATTATTAACCTTTCCTATCCATCCGGAAAAGGGGAGAATGCCATCTCTAGCATAAGAATAAGCAATCCTTGAAGATGCAATCAAAGAACTTTGACCCATCATCAAAGTGGAAAATATAGTCAGACTTAAAATGGCAATTGCAGCAGAGTTCGGCATGACTTGACTTAAATAATTACTCCACATGTTACCACTTTTAGTCATGAGGGCATGAACGTCAACAATTGTATAGGAAACAAGGATTTGCATAAGCCATCCAACTATACCACCAATAACGGCAGTAAGTACAATTGCTTTTGGAGCATTTATACTGGCCTTTGCGCATTCTTCGCTCAGATGAAATGGAGCATCATAACCGGACATAGTCCAGATAGCACCATTAAAAGATAATAGCACAGCAAATCCGTTGGGCCAATTTGTAGTATTGTCAATTTCACGCCAACGTTGTGTACCATGAGCGAATCCATTGTTTTTCGCGGCATAACCGATAATAGCGAATGCGGCTATAAAAAGAAATAGAATGTTTATAAAAGTGTTAATTCGGTTAATCCTCGAGATGTATTTAGTAGGGAGAGAAGCTAAGAAGCAATGTAAACATTGAATAGCAAGACTAAGCAAAAAAACTTGGTAATTGGTAGGTGAATAAGAGGGTCTATTAATACTGACAGCGCCTAAAATCATACTAGCAGCACTAGAGTTTACGGACGGCTGTCCAATTACATTTCCAATATAGTTAGACCATCCGGTAATCCATGAAGCTAAAGGACCCCAACCCTCAGGCGCAAAAACAGCGGCAGCATAATATAAGCCTCCGGAAGTAGGCAACGCAGAGCATATTTCGGCCATGCTTAAAGCAATACAAATAAGAAAGAAAATAGCAATTAGCCAAGCCCATAATAAGCCAGGTGTACCGATGTACGAAAGACTGAACGATAACGTAGAAGCAACAGAAGGAAGCAACCCCAATACAGAAAAAGCAATTGAAAAGACACCAAAAAGGGATAGCTGACGTCTAAATTCTTGTTTATATCCCAAATCAGCAAGTTCTTCGGGATCATCAACATTATCCTCTGAAGTCACCCTGGTGATCTTGGTATCAATTATAGAGCCGGCAAAGCCAGATTTCTTCTCTTCGTTACTAAGTGAAGACTTTTTGAAATCTGGATCCATAATATTTACTTCCATAGATGTAGGAGAAGACATTTATAAATCCCTGGATTCTTACATAAAATAATGCACCGACCATGCAAATCTGACCTTAGTGTTTTCAAAAGACCAAAAAACAATTAATTTGTATGGTGTTTATATGAAAATTGCCCCTTTTCCTTAATCTTATCAAAGTAGAAAATTTAATAGATACAATAACCCATGGTGGAGCTCGGCCAGTGTGGATGAAAAAACAGGTTATTTTTGTTATCAAAGATGATTATAAGCAAACTTTGTTTTCAACATTGGTATAGATAGAAGTAACATCATTTCAATGATGTTATAGCTTCACCGAAAACAACATCTATTAACCTTGGTTTTATGTTAGTAGTTCTTTAGATATAATGAAACTAGGATTCCAGCCTTTTCATGTGTATGTACTTTAGTCAACACTTAATATAGTCGAATCCAAGTTGTCATGTGTTATCTGCGTAATACAGAGTCAGTGCAATGAATATATTAATCTTAAACCAATGAAACGAAACGAAGGCTTTCATTTCTTAAAGCACAAAGTTAGCGAGGTTTTCTTTTGTGTAAACGTATTTTGCGCTGTATTAAGTTGCTCCTTTACTGAGTAATGATTGAAGATGGTTCTTCATCTTGCTTACAATAATAGAATCTTTGAATAACTTAAACAACTTGCACTAGGAACGTCAAACTATACCGCTCAAGCATTACACCTTAATTTGTCTTAAGATGATTTCCTTATTTGCATTGTAATCAGGATTATATTTATTGCAAATTCTCATCATTCTCCTTTACTACAATCTTTTTATAATATTGGAGCTCGCTGTAGATAAGAATACCATACTCATTTCTCCGGTATCGTAGAATGTGGAAGTGTTCGCACTGTGTCAGTCAAACGTAAGTACAGTTTTTATCAGGTTTTATTTGTAGCATTACATGCAAAACTTTAGATATACTAGTAAAGAATTTCTTCTCTTTCTGTAAACGTAGTTTTAAGGATTTGCATCTTTATAAACAATTTACTTGATGATCGGTACAATTTAATTCTGGGGTCATATGTAAGCTACATAAAGTTCGACTAGGTGCTAAAAGTGAATAAATTCAGATTTGGAAGCAAAGAAAAAGCTATAGTGTACTTGATAAATTGAATATTAATTTCTTTAAATGTAATTTTACTTTCAGTATGCCTTCATTCTGGCTACCATTTTACAAATTACTGATTTTTTATATTTGTCGTTACGATTAATGATTGGGACTGTATATTTTTTTCATGAATAAACTACAGGAGTATTGTAAAAAGCACTTAATAGTGCAACTAAGTGATTCGAGTAATAAAGTCCCTTTTTTCTCATTTATACCCATTTTCGCAATTTTTTATGGCAGTATACACATATAGACGTTATAGTATCCCCTAACGGCTAACGGGAGGGTTTCTTACGAAAACTTCTATTACTTCCATAGTTTCTTGTTGTATTTATTAGATACTAGGTTCTCTATAAATGAACGCATTTCAGCTTGCTTGAGGCTTGTTTTTGGACTTTCTAATGGCATTCAATTCGCTTTTGCGCACATCAATTTTTAACGTTGGTAACGTACAAACTATATTAAAAAGGATTAGCATTCAAAAAATAGCATGATTATATTCTCATCAATTGTTTTCTCTTCGTTATAAATTCTAATGATGAGGATCTAATAATGCAGTTAAATTGAGTAGCATCATAACATTTCAACCGGAAAAATCTAAGGGTTGGGAAGATCTTTAAGAAGTAGGTTATAAGTAAAACATATTTTATTTCAACGATGACTTTCTTTTCTCTTTTACTCATTATATATATTTCACTTTTGTGACTTACTGCATTAAGTACTTAGTTAAATGTAGAACAATATGTCCGGTAGTGCCATGGATTTCACCCATTAAGACTTTCCTGTGTAAAATGAAGTGTAATTCTTCTTGTTTCGTATAGCCGTCAATATCGAAATGATATTAAAAGCAGAGATTATAATCAATGCAATTTTTATTTACTTTTCCAATTTTCTTACATTTGAATAGATTTGATTACTAACAAAGCGCAACAAACTTACAGTTTTGATTTATTATTTCAGTATATACGATAAAGTGTTTTACAAATTTATCTTTAGATTTCGTAATCTAGCAGTGTATTAGCTCAGAAAAATTTTCAACAGCAAATGTTTGCTTTTTACTCTAAAAACCAGTGGGGAAACGCTGGAATGAATAAAAGGAATGATTTTTTTTGAATCTGTTCAAATGCAACATGTTCTTTAGATAAATACACTAAACTAAACCGAAGAAGAAACTATTGAGTCTGTAATGCCTACAAAAGTTTCAAAACCGTTTATCAAAAAGTCCCAAATAAAAGCCTGTGTTAAGTGCAGACTTCGTAAGGTTAAATGCGATCGACAAATTCCTTGTTCCCGCTGTAAAGAAAGCAATGAATCTTGCATTTATGGAGAAAACGTTGTGGATAGCCAGAAAGACGACTTAGGTACGGAAGATAGAGAAGCAACAAGGAAGCTAAAAGATGCCTCATCATTACCGAATCATCTTGAAATAGAGCGTAGGAAATGGGGCTTTGTTGGTTGGAGAAACCTCGTGGAGTTAACGGGTCATAAACTAAAAGGCTCTTTCCTCAAAGATGTCGATTCTTTAAATGAATATTTAAAAAAAAATCCTTCTACGATAAAGATTTTACGAGATTTAAGAAAACTTCTTCCTCCTCTAGAGATATGTAGATGCTTAATTCAGCGATATTTTGATACTCTCGAGGAAGTGAGCAGCATTTTCGACGAAGCACAAATTCAACAGTACCTTTCTGATATGGAAAATTCGGCGGTAATTCCGGAAACGATACTTGTCATGTTTTCGGCTATCATATCTACAGTATTATCATTCGGTGAAGCACCTATAGAAGTTGTAAATTATCTTACGTCTATAGGTACAAATAGGTCTAATTTCTGTTTAGAAGTCGAACTGAAAATAAATGAGCTCTTACAAGATGAAGAAGTTGATCGTCTTTGGAGAGACACCGACAGGATCCGACTTCACGCATTAAGAGCTCAGCGTAATGAAAGGACAGAATTTCGGAAGCTAAATAATGATCTGTGTAATGCTGTTCACATCGCCTGTTTTGTAAATCCTATTTTTCAAAAGATGGATTCGGATACTGGATCAGAAGCAAAAACTTGGTTAGCGGTGTGCGAGATTGATGCATTAGATTGTGTACTAAAATCTTGTCCACCTTGGATCCAACACGATATCTATGGAATATTAACACCTCTGAAAAGTAATTACTCTGACGATAGTATTTACGAATTTCATTGTATACTTGGCAAACTTTTGAAATGTGGTTTGGAGGTATATAAATCAATACATTCATCAACTGCTGTTGAATTTATCGATACCATTCCTCACTTTGAGACAAAATTATCATTAATTTTGATGGACATTGAGTCCAATTCTTCCTCTGCTGCTTCCGGTGCCATCTTTCGAGACTCATTTTTGAAAGTTATTTTCTGGGTGGTCCGTAAAAACTTATACCAGTATTTTATTGCTATATCTCCTGTGTCACTTTCTAATTATGAGAAACTCATTCGAAATTTGACACAAACATTGAAACAACTGAGCCGTATTATAACCAACTCTATAAAAATTTTCGAAGAGTACGGATGGCTTAATTGTATGTTAATTCAAGTGATTCATACCTTTTTTCTCTTGTATTTATGCTCAGATAAAGGATTTAGTTTACAAGATGATTTCCTTAGCTCAGTATCAACTATACAAGGAATTATCAAAACTAAACAATACTCTGGGCGACTTTGGATGAAGTTGCATAATCTTTTGCAAGCATTAGCTGATGGAGTTTCATCACATCCAGAATTGGAAGATAATGCTTTTGAACAAAATGACGAAACTTTTTTTGACATGTTTTCCGATATTTTTGACTCGAATTTTAATTTTATAATGCCTACTAATTTATAGAGAGAATCAAAAGGATAGTGGCATATGCTTTTTGAGTTTAACTGTTATACTGTTATAAACTCCTATTTAATTTTAAAATAAATTTCCTCCCTGTATCATCAGTGGCAGCTTTTTAAAAACTTTAATGAAAGATCTTAGTTGTTTGCATTCAAGGTCATAAAATATGGCAGTAAAACTTTTTGAGACTTTTCAAGTACAAGTAAAGATTAATTAATCTATAAGGAACTTCGTTAAAACGGATTAAGTATACAAACGACATTCTAGAAAATTGGCAATATTACAAGATAACCACCACTCTTGCGATACCTTCGGCAATTCTATGTGCTCTTTCATCTCGTTGTTTGATTTGAAAGATCACCTGGTAAAATCAAACTCATTTCTTTGTTTTAAGGTTTTAAGTAGAAAATTGACTGTAACTTTCGTATGGCTTCTCCAACCTATTTTTTTTGCACATGAAGGCATTACAAACAACCGATGAAATAGGCTTGTATATTTTCTGCAATATTCCCTTTTGTTATTCAAATACTATAATTCTATTCACATTTGATATAATCAATTAATAGTGAGAGTGTAGAATGCGATGCTGCTGCTCTATGATAAAATACTTCAATTATGGTTGTAAGGTAAAATCTATTTTTACAATGACTTATTAGTATTTTACTGAAAGATTTGCTTACTTGAATGGTCCTGGGATGAACTGATCAACATAAGGGAGCAGGATTTAGTTGCTTCTCACAATCTTTATATCTATGTAAAGCCGGTTAAGACTGTATAACAATTACATTCAGTATGGGCAGGACATCTTTTGTTGACTGCGTGCTAGCATTTTTTTAGACTATACAAGATTCTAATTGGAGTTATGCTTTAGTATGTGTCCTTTTCAATTACCTTTCAAATTTATGAATCCAAATGAAGTACTCGAATCTTTATGAAACTTTCATAACCTAATCTTTTCACTAAAATCTTTATGGATACAAAATGTCATTTCTCTTAAAAATGTATTAACAAAACTAATCGATTCAAAAAGACTCCCAGTAAGTTGGGTAAAGTATATAAGGATTTTACCTTTCAAGTTGATTTTTGTGAATGGAACAAATATGAGTATATACGATACTAAACTGAAATCATCTATTTGCGCTTTAGTTATTAAATACTTTTGCTACGAGAATTTCTTCTTAGACCTCGTTTATATTTACACTATCAATTCTAAGAATTCATAAATTAGCATCCACTGTTTAATCATGTTGCATCATTCGTCTACCCCCTTCTTATTTGTTTTATCACAGCAGAGGCTTTCGCTAGAATTTTGACAAAAAAGGTTTCAGGTGACATATGGCTTCTGATTAATATAGACCCTTTCTAACCGAGAGCACAATGGATTGGATGATTGAGGATTAAAGAGAGATGATGGTAGTATTATGTGCTTCAAAATAAACCCCATTTTTTGTTGTCTTCATATGGAAGCTAGGATGCGAAGAATAGAGCAAACGTAAGAAAAATAAAGACTGTTATAAGTAATTTGTTTGCTGCCAACGTAGGGGACGTGGAGGACGCAGAAGAGGAGCCTGAAGATGAGCTACTCGAAGGGGAAGGTGATGCTGAAACATCAATTTTCGTTACATTTACAGCATTGGAGCTTGAAATTGTTTTCAAGTTAGGTGATATAAATGAATCATGGGTACGCCGGGACGTCTTCCCTAATTGATTGAAAATGGTACTTAAAAAGACATCAACACTCCCAAAGGCTCCACCATTACCGCTTTGTAGACAGGTTTTAGCGTCACTGCAATTGCTGAGGGTTTGGTTACTGAGTTGTAGATTAAATACACAGCTTTTATTGCGATGGCATTCAAACAAAAAGGTTTCCTCAAGCACAGATGAATTATTTTTTTTGCTTTCTGAAGTATTATGTACATACTCAAAAGTTGTATTGGGGGTAAGCAAATAATGAAATCCTGTAGTATAATCATTAGATGTACCTTTCACCGGATGGGAAGAGTCATTGATACTCAAAGTAAATCGATTAATATCACTTGACATCTGAAAGCATCTTGGTTCACTTCCAGAGAAGCATGTTGGAAGTGTTTTATTTAAAGCAAGGCATGTTACACTGCCATCTTCTGCTGGAACAGCCAACACCGATGACACGTTTTCAAGGTACGAGTAAGCACCCTTTCCATCAACGACAGGAGCATTCGCTATGAAAGAAAGGTTTCCGCTGCATTCGGAGTCGTAAGGAAAAACTTGAATGTAAAACGGATAGTCGGCTTTATTCGTTGTTGAAGAAATTGTTCTATTCAAAAAACAAGCAACAATCGTTATAAAAAGTAGCAACTTCATATTTCAAATATGATTATCGGTATCGAAAAAGAATCGAAGAATAGCAAGGCGGAAGTTTAGAGAGTAAGCAAATTGTAAGGAAAGATAGATTACAGAAAAATAAATTTATAATATATTTTGAATTACCTAAAGAAGTCTCCTTGAACGTACGTAGGTTGTTTATATCCGTATTAATAGCATAGCCTCAGGGGACGCCACTTTCGTACATTATCAGCAATTAGAGAAAACCAGCCCGATGTTGAACCTTAGCTAAGCATAGAGTTCCGTAATCTTTCTGCTCATGCACTACTTGCTTTGCCTCGTTGAAGTGGTTCATTCATTTTCACTTAGCCTTCGATCTGTCAGTGGGCAAATTACAGCCATTGTTAACATTTTTCATACTGAAACGATTAGGCTCATCTTGAGTCTTTTTGGCTATCTATTTTTAAGGTTGTCAAGTTACGTGCATCGAAATTATAATGCGCCTCAGTAACTAATGTTACTTGTTGAGTAAAGCTATGAATAAGAGTTTAGTAGCTAAAAAAATTTCTTATAAAAGAAGGAGACGAATCTCATTTCAATGTGTAGCTTGCTTTGTTATTTTACCTTCTCAGTAAGGACTAGAGATGGAAGTATAGAAATTTCAGCAATTACCCTAATCGAGTAGCTATGAAGCCCTTAACACAAGGTTAAAGTTGAACTGAAATAAGCTACTTTTTTTTATCGTTGCGATTTATGCTACTTTCATCATGACGGTCTTCTAGATGTTCGAGGAGATCCTGCTCCTACCTTTTATTTAACTGTATTTTATCGCTTCTTAGAAATATCAAAGCAATTATCACTCACTTTTATCTTTTTATGTAAGGTAGCTAAGTAACATGTTGCACTTTCCGTTAAGGCCTTGCATTAGTCTCACAATATTACTTGACGAGAAGAATGGTATCGTGAGCGGAATCATTAATGGGTACTTGTACTTTTAGGCTGAAATTCGATTGGATTTTATGATCTATAGTATTAACAGAAAATTCCATTGCAGTAAGTTAAAAATTTGGGTATGAAGTTATTCCGTTAGGAGTTTTATGGGAAAGTGTTTGCTTTATAAATCTACTCATCATTGTAGATACTGCTAATCGTGTTTATACGAAAGGTAGGAAACAAATATAGTTAGGTATCATTCAATGTTATGAGTCGAATCTAAATGTCAGAATAAATTTACGTCCGAATCGCAACAAGATTAATTCTTATGACATGCACTAAGAGCAAGGACAATGTACAATTCTTAATATTGTTTACCATGATTTATTTCTAATTGCTGCCGCAAAAACATAATAAATATACTTAAGACGAAAATAGGTAGTCAATCGCATACAAAGAGTTTACTTGTAAATAATACATGATACACTGAAAAATTGACAATACATGATATTGTAAAAATGCCTGTCATAATAAATAATTCATTCTTGAAAATGAATTATTTGACCGATACTGTTGAATACTGATTTTAATAAAACAATCTCCAATTGTAATCTGAGAATATTATGCTAACATCCTTTACCATGTAATATTGCATATCAAAAAAATATAAGCGACCCTTTAAGTTATTTACTCAACCATGTCCTCATACCATTTGTTTATATCAGGGAAAAAGAAACAGAAAAATACAATTCGACTTGATTTTAGGTTATACGTAGATTTTATAAGCGAAATGACGAATCTCAATGCGCCAGATTAATTCAAACACTAAAACAAAAGAAGTTCGTAAATTCTTTATTCAATTCGTTATTAGAACATCCTAAGCGAATGATTTCATAAATATTCTCCATTCTCTCGATCTATTGAGTATTCAGCTGCACTTTTAACGAACTACTACTCACTGAAGCTTGCGTAGTGTATCTACTTATAGTTAAAACAGCCAATATTTTCGACTTAAGCGAAAACTTTGAATGCTAATAGTCATTTTGCCATAGTACCATTAATACATACGACAGTATCCAAGAAGTCCAATATTATTTTGTAGCTCTGCTTTGACTAAGACTCTTTAATTCAAAAAAATTTTTTTATGTGGAATCCAAAGTAATGGGAATACGGTTGTTTACCAAGTACAGCATAATTGCATTATTATCTATCAACAACACATCTTCGTCTGACAGACTATTTGCCAATTACTACAGGGAACAATCAACGCTTCTAATACAAAAGGTTTTCAATTCTTTTCAAGTAGGGCTACCCTTTAGATGGAGTTAACTATGAACAGAATTACCATACCCTTGGATAGTAAATACTGGCTACATTTTGAATTTGATGTAAAATATTGCTTACAGCCATTGCACACACATGTACTTCGCGGAAATTATGAGTTCGGCGTTATTTGAAAAACCAAACTATAGATTGTAGTAACAACATGGAAGAGCCGACATAGACCGAGTCATCAACTAATAAAAGGACACATATATTTGCAAACCCTTGCTGAGATTATTTGTGGGGAAAAAAATTAGGACAATTGTAAGTTCATAAACTAGCAGCATATAAATACCTTCATAGGTTCAACGGTAACCGTAATGCCAATTGACTAATACATTTTCATTCAACAAAAATGAAATACTCTATTTTTTTAAATATCTATACGTTGCTCTTATTCTACTCTTTCTATCCTTAAATATGTTGCTTTCAGTATAATTACATTTCTCATGTTTACGATACCAAATATCAGGAACTTTTCTGGTAAATTCCACATAAACTGAATTTTGATCCACTCTCGGTAGGTTTCTTTCGTTTATTCTCTCATTATTTAGGGTAAGGCGCTTTGAGCCTTTTGTATATGGAGATGTTAGATTATCTCTTTTAAATCACGAAAGAAGCTATTCATATTCAGCATATTCAGCATTCCATTCTGTTTGTTTAATCCATTTTTTCAGAGCTTCATCTTCACGAGGAACATAATCAGCACAATTATTTTCAGCTAGCGCTTGCTTTAAAATGGCAAACTTCACATGACGAGACACCTCTCTTACATTAGTAAGATCTGGCAGTAAAGAATCATCAGACTTAAATAAAGATCTCGGTGTACTAGCCAAGCCGTCTGCGGCGGATGAAAGCATTTCTTCAGTCAATGTTTTACACTCGGATAAAACAGCAGCAACGCCGACTGAAGGATATATAAAAGCATTATTACATTGAGAAATATAATAATCCTTTCCATTACGCTTCACAGGTGGCACTGGGGATCCCGAGGCAATTAATCCTTTTCCATCAGTCCATTCATTCAGATCACTCGGTTTCGCTTCCATTAAGTCTGTAGGGTTGGAAAGAGGAAATATAATTGGTTGCTTTGTATGTTTACTCATTTCCCGTACAATATTTTCGGAAAATATGCCAGCTTGACCAGAGACACCTATAAGGGCCGTCGGATGAACCGTAGAAACAGTTGTTTCTAGATCAACTTCATCAGAGGATGATTGATCAGCAAAAACTGACCCCTTTTTCAAATAAGGTTTTTGTCCTTCTGTTGCCCTGTCCGCATGCTTATCCAATATTAAACCTTGCTTATCCAATAGATAGATTTTATCTCGAGCTTCTTCTCTGGTTATCCCTTCCTTAACCATACTAGAAACGATTCGATCAGCTATACCGACTCCTGCTGTGCCAGCTCCGACAATGACAAACTTTTGCTCATTCAATTTACTCTTCGTAAGACGGATAGCAGAAAATATTGCAGCTAGAGTTACAACTCCTGTACCTTGTATATCATCGTTGAAGCAAGGTAATTTGGGACTATAGCGGTCAAGAACAGGTTTGGCATCTGAGCGACCAAAATCTTCAAAATGAATGAATGCATTTGGAAAGGTCTCCTTTACGCTATGGATGACATTTTCCAAAAAGCGACCATATTCTTCTCCGTGTACACGATCCTTTCTCAATCCAAGATATTTGGGATCCTCTCGATGATCCTTATTGTTTGTACCAACATCCAAAACGATAGGTAGAAAGCGGTTGGGATCTAACCCTGAGCATAAAGTCATTAAATGTCCTTTTGCCACTGAAATTAAGATACCACCAATTCCCTGATCTCCAATACCTAAGATGCCCTCTGAGTCAGTTATAACGATGTATTGGATATCTCCGGGTTTTCCAAATTCAGCGAATTGTTCCTTCATATATTCTGGATCATTATGTTCAATATCTAAGTAGCATCCATTCGGATATCGGTATATTTTAGAGTATTGTTTTATAGCTTGACTTTCGGTGGGTGTGTAGATAATTGGATACATTTCTGGCAAATGACGAGTGACTAATGCGTAAAAAAGAGTCTGATTTGTATCAAAGACATCGGATAAGTAAACATGTTTTTGTAAGGAATCTCCTAAACGTTTGTACTGATCGTAGGAGCGCTGAAGTTGCTGTTCCAAAGTCTCAACAACTGGAGGAAGTCTAGAAGTTAAGCCAAATTTACTACGTTCATCCTTTGTAAAGGCTGTACCCTTGTTATAGCGAGCATTTCGGAGAAGGTCAGTGCCTTTTAATGAACATGAAGTTACTTTCCTTTGAACGCTCATATCCAAAATTGAAAGATAGATATTTGTTAGAAACAATAATACATACTGACTGTCCATTTGACTTTTATAGTTACGTAAATAAAGCGAATTGCGTCATTATAAAAGGCATTCATTATAATATCGAGAAAGCGTTTGTGTAAAACTGCTATGATGTTACGTAAAACGTTGAAAAGTCTTTCCTAGTCTGTGGTTATTTTAGTATTAGTTTATTTTTGGTTTCTTAAGAGTAGCATCCTCAATTCTCCTTTCTTTTACGCAACGATCGAAAAGCGTTTTTTGTTGACATACGTAAATATATACGTCAGTTAGTCAGTTAGTCAGTTAATCTGAAGTTTTGTTTTAAGTTTACGTCACAAAATCAAATAAAATGAATACATTTTATAGAAACTCAATTGTCGTAGCATAAATCATCTGCTCAGTTAACTGTATTTATCATCTTAATTAGTGGAAGTTATAAGTATTTTATTGTGAGTATATTGTTTATATTTAAAAGAAACTTACTATCGCGTTGGACGCAATGCTTCAGAGACAAAGATATAGGCTGGATGGAACAGTAAATCGTACAACCATAATCTAAAGTTAGCAGATCAACTTTATAGACTGATTTAAAACTTTCTTGAACATAAATAAGTGAGCCATGTAACAAATTTGTAAAGAAGTAATGTTAGGGGTAAAGCGTAAAATAAATTAAATATCAAATTATCGAAGTAGCCGGGCCTTTTCAACCTGACTTACTATGGGATGCTTAAGCTTCCAAAACAAAAAAAAAAAAAACTAGTAAGGAATTAACAAAAGAAAAAGCATGTTTTAGTTCTTTGCATCTTACATTCATTCATTCTTATTACTTTTAACTTTGTTAATTAGACTAATACTTAGCGAATTTAAATACCCAATATTTTGCGTTGTAATCGTCAGTATGCCGCTGACTATATTCAAATTATGATTATATTTTTTTAATTTTATAATTTAACAAAGTCAAATAATTTTAATTAATTGTGGGTTCAAAGTAGAAGAAATTCTACTTATATCAGACAAAGAACCAGAATCAAAAAAACTAATTCTCGCTAGTATAAACCTGATACGGATGTTTTAGTCATGTATTTTAGTTTTCGGAGATTCTTAACAAAACAAACAAGATAAAAAGAATAACGAAAATTAGATAAGAGCAGATAAAGTTACGCGTAAATACGGCATGACAGTCACATCCGTACCTTATCAGTTTGACGATCGGGACGAGCGTTAGAATTTAGGTCCAAGGCAATAAACCATCTCGGTGTTTTGTTTTTGTCTTATGGATGATGCTATTTACATTTTGGGAGCTGGAAGTATTGGAAATTTCCTAGCTTGTGAGCTGGCAAATTTATCATGCTATGAACACAACGTTGTACTGTTGCTAAGAAACAAAGACAGACTTGACCAATTCAGAAGAAATGGATCATACCTGATACTCGAAAGAACACTAGATGATAAAAAGGTGGTGATTAGACGTAAATTTAAGGCCACATGTTTATCAGAACTTAATGTGGATACTATTGACAACTTAATTGTCACTACCAAGACAACTCAGACAGAAGCGGCTTTACGCGATTATCTTCCCTTATTAAAAAGAGACTCTAATATTCTGTTCGTTCATAACGGTTTTGGTGTGATCGAAACCTTAGTTAAGACCGTTTGGAGGAATGCCAACGTACGGCCGAATCTTTACCAGGGAGTCACTTCTCACTCGGTGTTACCAAAACAAGATTTTTACTATTGTCACAGCTGCTTTGGTGTTATGAAAATTGCCAAAGTCTCCAGAATGGATGGAGACTTGTCTGTTGACGTTCCAACAGAACCCTGTGCTATGGTGGAAGCCTTATTACAGTCCAAAATGTTGAATGGTACTTATTTAACCTATGATGATTTACTAATTTATCAATGTCAAAAATTTATGGTTAATGCTTGTATGAACTCTACAACCACCATTATTGATTGTATAAACTATGAGCTATCCAACATCGCCGAGGTTAGAACACTTTTTCAATCTATTATAACCGAATGTGTTGATGTGTTATTTAAGACCAATCAATTCTTAGCAGACAATGGAAAAGCGAGGGAAGTTTTAAACGTTCCGAAGTTGGTAGATTTAATTTTGTACCTTGGCTTCGTAGAAAATGCGAAAAACAGTACTTCCATGAGAATCGACACACTTGCTAAGAGAGAAACAGAAATTGATTCATTAAATGGATGGATTGTCAAGTTGGCTAAGGAGATAGGTTATAGAGCTACTGTAAACGAAACAGTAACTCTTTTGGTTAAAGCAAGAACAAAAGTAAATCAGAGACGTGCTTAATTAATACTATATATAGTACGGGAAAGAGACCTCCTGTACTAATACCATGTTTTATATTTATCAGTCGCAAACGATAATAAAATAAATATATTTTGATCAAAACATTACAGGGATTCCTTTTAGAATGTATTTAAGCCTAGAATTATTGACTTATGAATATAAGCCAGTAATGGATTTTCTCAAAACTATAGATGAACAATGCATTCAGAAAGTAGTTAAATTATTACTAAATGGATATCATAATAATAAAATATCTGTACCTCTGCTCAGTTTCTTGTTCTTATTTAAAACTATCTTACGTGGTTTAATATAACTTAACTAAAAGAAATGTAATTCTAATACTTTCTCCTTGTGTTGTTAAGTCGTTTACCCATTTAGTGATTATAATCATTTAGTGAATTTTATCTTGTTATGGAAAATCAAGTCTAAAAGAAATCCCATTGTAGTACCGAGTTGTATAAGCGAAGTTAATCAACCAAACAAATATATCCACGGATAATATTTGGATAAATATATAATCTTTCTAAATTTATTTATTTCCTTATGTCAGAGATTGCAATTATCATGCCACTTGTATTCTATGGTCTTTCTATTATTTCGTAATTTACTTTAATTATAAACGACCAGTCAATTCTAGAGTAGGAAATTCTTGGCATAAATTTCCACAATCGGCTACATCGTTAAAACTGTTAATACATTGCAAACTGTTTTAATGATTGATCCATTGGCGAATATTCATTGGCCTAAGAGTCATCGTGTTATATTAAAGTATAAAGATAAAAAATTTAATACAGAAAATGTGGATGCGAGATTGGAACGGAACTTATAAAGTGATAGGGGAGATTATCAGAAAATTGTATGACTTTGAGTCCATAGTCGAAACCTTCAGGCTTGTCTGGCTAAATAATACTAGCCGTCAAGATTCTGTTCAGTTACAAAAATTCCTAAACATTACTAGCTTATATACCAGGTACAATTCAAGTATGATAAAGTCGTCTTTTTTAATTCCACTTGAAATACATTATTATACGATGTAACAGTTTTCCCTGACACCTTGAGAACCATGAATATCATAAAACAATGGAGTAACCCAAGTTCCCTATATTAGTGGAATTGTAAATACGATAATATACGAAAGCTTAAAAGTAAAACGGCTTACATTATACAAATCACTTACTGAGAGTTTTGCTGATGGAGCTAATCAAATCGCTTATATATACATGTTAGTTAGTTAACCAGAAGTATAGTGACATGGCTACTATTTTTGCAAATCTAGTAACTAGAATTTCAATTAAACACAACCTAGTAATAAAAATATCGATTACTCATTCCCTTCCCACTATATTATTACTTCATGTACTATTCCATGACAAAAGCCATTTTCAATCCTTAAGTACGTTCATTGATCTTCAATTGAATTCTTAAGAATTTCTTACCAATAAAACTGATAACGACAACAATAGCAAAGAAAAGAATGTTTATTTCTTACAAACAACTTCACCATGCATTAAATAGTAGCAACTAGATGAGTCCCTAATAAAATCATCCCAAGCTTGTGCCACTTCTTGTCTTTTTCTCAGGTCCCCTTCGGCGTCAAAAGGAATCAATGTTTCAGTAGAATGTAGAGCACGATCTCGGAACATCTTTCCAAACCATTTACGATCTTCTTCATTTGCGATAAACCAAAGAGACGCGCTGGATGAGATACTCATAGGACTAAACCCGGAATCAATAGCCCACTTTCGAAGATGCCTTCCTGCCTGTGGATGTGTAGATGAGCACTTCGTTTTCGCCAAAAACTGGGACTTTAAGGTTTCATCAAGTTTTGTTGGATAAACCTGAGAGGTTTCAAGGTCAGCATCTTTACTACATACAATTCCTCCAGGTTTTGTTACACGTTTCATTTCTTTGAGCACATCAACCTGATTTTCGACATGCACCAAGACTTGATGAGCATGTACAATGTCGAATGTATTATCCTCAAACGGAAGTTTATCTCCGCTAGCAAATTGAAAATGACAATTTTTAAGATTCATTTCAGATCTTTTCAAGTTGCCTGCATCAACAAACTCTTGAATTGGCTCAACACCGATAACTTCTCCTTTCGGAACATATCGTCTTGCCAAGTCCATAGTAATGGTCCCGGGACCGCATCCGACATCTAGTACTTTGTCATTATCTTTTATATACCTTATTAAGTAAGCGCAGCTATTTTCAACAGTTCTCCAAGCATGAGTTTTGGAAATGCTGCTATCGAATCCTTTTGCGTAATATCCCTGTTCAGTGCTCATTTTGCTTTCTTTATTTAGCTACAAATACTTTGTTGAAAGAAGAATAACGGATACTAATCTTGAAATATATACGATGTTTTAGAATCTGACGAAATAGAAACTGACTCGTTAAAAGATTTTGCGCAAACCAACTACGGTGCTAATAAACATACAGTTTGACGAAATTGAAAGTAAATAAAATGTAGAAAGAATATATAAAATCTCTTCTGTTTTTCATACAACCTTAGTTAACTTTTTATATTTTATAAATAGGTAATATTAATTTGCACGGCAGTAAAATGCGAAAGTGTCAAATGTGTTATTTTAAGTTTGATTTCCTCTAAAGATCTGATATTATCTTTCAAAGTTTTACAAATACAGACCAGGAAAAAATGTGCTTCCTTGACAAAAATCTTCAAGTAATTTAGGTACAGTCAAGTATTATTTTATTAATAGACAATCATGAGTACTCGAAATAAAAGATTTGAAATTATTTATTAGACAATAAAAAATACGACTCACACAAATACAATTTGATAATTATTCGAGCTTTTTGTTTATGATACCCGAAAAAAGTCGAATTTTTTGATTCTGAAAATCTCATACTATTTGATATTTGAATAGAAAAGATGCATTACAGAGATAAGCAGGTAATTCATTGACTAGACGGAATCAGAAAATCTTTTGATACATAAAAAACTTAGGTTTAATTAGCAAAGACAAAGTTATGAATATGAAAATCTTTCTTGATCATTCTAGCTAGCTTTTATCAATTCAGTTACTAAATCCTTGGATATCACACTCACCTTTTAACACGTAGTACAATTAGATCCTATTTAAAACTAAAGTTGTTAACTAGAGTCGAGATACGTTATAATATGGTGTAGGATTTCTGCCCTGACAAACAATAGACTCCATAGAGTCATACTTTTATAGCTGTTGATTTTATGACATGCTTATAACAAAAGCAGAAAAAAACGAAATTGGTAATAGTTTAAGTAGGCCGTATGAATTGTCACATTTTAAGATTAGTTTCTATTTGTTTTGTATGGATCAATTGCAAATACTTTTTACAGAGTTTTTCTTAAACTGAATCAAAGAAAAAAAAAGGAAAAAATGCAACTCAAGGTGTAGTACGACGTAAAGATGGACTGGACTCTTAACGATTTTTTCTTTTGTTATTTTTTGAAAATGAAAAAGCTAAAAGTCATAGATTTGAAACTGTAGTCACTTAAGGCTTCAAATAGATTTAAGGCTACAACGGAGATTGTAATGATCTTCCTCTTGGAAATAAAAGAAAAATATATATATAGAATACTCTCAATGTTTTCTGATCGTTGACCCATACCACAGCAAACTCCTAAACTAGTCCTGACTCTCATCCCTTTGCTATTAATGAATCGCAAAGAACTATTCTAATGATTATTAATAATCCGATTCTATCGATATTTCATAAAGGCGAAGTACGATCTAACAATACAGACATAATCAAAGAACTATTGTAATCTTTACTATGACGACAAAGAGAATTCATACGTTGAACAAACAATCGCTTTCGCAATGAGCTGATTAGTTTCAATCCTCGAAAAAGCTAGAAAAGAATACATTCGAACTCATTCTAAAAATTGTATTTTTGCTTTGCAAGCAGTATCGTGCTACTATCTTAAATAATACTTCAGTTTTTAGCCATCAAGCACCCAAGATAACGTAAAAGTATGTCGATAATATAAAAGCAGTCAACTCCTAATACTTACATCCATCTTTCTCTTAACAATGGTTAATTTTAATTTTATGCTCTTTTCTCATAAAGGAGGCCCAAATCCTTGGAAAGTAGTTATCGCTTAAGAATTAAATCTTTCTTACAAACCCGTCTTCTTTGATTTTGAAAAAAATGAGCAAAAGAACGAACAACACCTTTTTTACAATCCCAATGGTAGAGTTCCTACATTAATAGATCATCAAAACAATGATTATGCAATCTGGGAGTCCGATGCTATTTTGGTCTACTTGGCAGACAGGTACGACAAAGAAAGAAATATTTCATTGCCTCATGATAATCCAGAGTACCATCATTTAATTCAATACCTTTTTTTCCAGTCTTCAGGTCAGGGTGTCATTTGGGGACAAGCAGGCTGGTTTAATTTTTTTCATCAAGAACCTGTTGCATCTGCCGTTACTAGATATAGGAATGAAATAAAGCGTGTGCTCTGTGTTTTAGAAAGTATTCTCCAAGACAAGGACTACCTCGTTGCTGGCAAGTTTACGATTGCCGATTTGTCTTTTGTAGCCTGGAACGATTTGCTAACAGCAATTTTTGGCCCAGGAAGACACGAATTTAAGGAAGAGCTTCCTCAGCTGGACTTCGAAAAGGAGTTCCCTAAGACACATGCTTGGCACAAGCGTCTTATTGAGCGTCCTGCCGTCGTTGAGACCATAGCGGAACGAAAACAAGCTCTACAACAATGAATTGGTTGGAAAGCACTTTTCATTTCTAAGTTTGAATTAAAATGTGCAACTTCTTGAGTGGACGAAAAATTTACGGAAACATTATTTGTTGTGATGACTTTTACGGCATTCAGTACTATGAATGAGGTTCATTTGAATCAATTGGTAATTACCTATTTTTATAATATCCTAACTCTCTGTCTTCATATATATAAACTGTAATTGCCAGAATGACTCATGGTTGGCTTCATAAAGCCCGACCAGTAGTAGTAGTTCTTTTCATGAGCATGGTGCCGGTCCCTAGTGCTATTTTTCGCTCTGCGAGGTTCTTGAGGGATGTGAGTGTTAATTATGATCTTGAGGAAGATCGTGGATGCTTTATGACATATCTTTATCTCAGCTAAACTGTGGTTGTTTTAGCAGGAGCACTTAACCTTTTGTAAAATTTCGTTTTTGTATACAGGATGTTTGTTTGCAGATGTATTAATCAATTCACTAAATGTATAACAAATAATAAAATGAAATACTTCAGAATAATAAAACAAATAACAAGAACCAACTTGTTTGAGATTGTATGTATGCCTACCTATACTCAATTCCTTAGGATTGCTGGTAAAAAAGAAGCAGTATGACCCCGGACTGGCTGGGCCATTGTACTTTACGGCAGTTTTGTGCTTTATTGGTGTTGACTGGTGGGTGACTAATACATATCTTTATAATCATACAACTCCGATATATTTTCGTTTTCCTGACAGTTAATGTACTGCGTATTTTAATTTTCTTTTCTAATTTTAGTTTCTTTATTTGCTTGCATCATGGTCAATCAGTTTAGTTCGTCTTATTCTTATTTTTATTAATGAACCGTTGCTGATGTGGCTTATATTTATGAATGGTGAAAAACCAACTTCCCAGTTTATCAAATTTTAAGAATATCAAAAGCAAAAACAAGTAGCCTACAGCACCCCGGATTCCCATGTTGTCTCCAACCATAGTACTAACGAGGCCCTCAGACGCTTAACTGCAGTGATCGGACGGGAACTGGTGTTTTCGCCTAGGTGTGGCCGTAGACAGTTAAAGATTTCATTTAAATTCTTCATTTTGAATAATAAAACAACAAATACTATCCATATGCGCCATGTCACGTTAGTAATTCTCACGGTTCATGAGAATTAATATCGAATGGAAATAATATCTACGATTGAAGAAATGTATACTTGAATTGGATTCTGTTGTACTACGTATATACACGCTAGTAATGTCCAGGGATCTGCTTAACTAAATTGAAAGTTTTTTGATGATCTTATATAACCACACCTTTAGTTTCTTTCTTTTGGGTTAACAAATATACGTCTGTCAGGCTATTTAATAAAGTAGTCTTCTGTCATCCTCGAATGGACATTCATCAGCCCGTCTTAGTAAAGAAAAATTTATCGGACGATTTTTATTGTCTAAAGCCAACTATATAAAGATACGAATGAACTACTTAATCGCCGAGTTTTAATTTTAAAGTTCACCTTGCTATCTAGACTACATCCTTGCTCTTCTACTTGAAATCAGCAACTGTTTCGCTTACAATGTTAAGGCACCCGTAAAGCGTGCAAACTCATTTTTGTTATTACCTTAAATTTGAATATGTCAGAGCCAATTCCAAACTACTTTTCTTCCATCTCGGATTTCGCAAGAATTACTTCTTCCACAAGCTTCCTTACGACTGTCAACGTTAAGCAAAAAATATGTTTGCTAACTCTGTTTCTGTGAAATGATGATGCGATGTTATATATAGAAAAAAACAGGATAGGCAAGAAATTAAACTAAGGGGATGAAGCGTAACCTTCTCAAACATTGACTTTGTTACGTTAAACGGGGAGTTCGTCTTGACTTTCCTAAGGAAGTGCTTGTCTTTCACCAACTTCTTTTCAATACCTCAGACATGCAAAATGTTTTTATTTAGCAAGAAAGGATTAATTTCTTTGCTTTTATGCACGTTTTCTTCATTAATTCAAGCTCGAGATAACTCACTTTTTTTGTACCAACCCCGAGTCTATCCTGATCTTATTGATTATCAAAGTTTCCAATTGGCTGTTTATTGCAAACGGGTGAATGCAGATGAAAATCATCCTAAATATAGCTCCATACAAACCTATGAAAGGATAGGTGGAGGAATGGCAGTAGCTTATTTTCCAATGGAAGAATGGGAGTTAGTACTTGGTAATAGCGGACTTGAAAAAGATTGTTTAAACGAGCTTTATCACAAAAATTGGGATTTTTTTTTATTTGAATACATATGCCCTGAAAAAAGAGATATTTGGACTGGCCCATTTTCCTACAGCAGTGATTCCATTCGTACATTCAGCTTTCCATCCAATATTACTCACCCAAATCAATTCTTTGAGGTTGAAGAAAAACACAGAGGAACGTTTTGCCTTGCAACGAAGCCACTTTCAAAGAAAGGATCCCCAAGTATACCATATGTTCAAATGGGTTACAATAGCAGCCAGGAACCCTTATTCACTGAGGTATATACTAAAGACGCTCTTTACTACGCTCCTCTGATATTTACCTTTGGGTCTCTTTTGTTTTCTCTTTATTGGATATGTGCGATGTATTCTCAGAGATCAAAAATCCTTCCCATTCAATACGGACTTTTGGTGCTCATTTTAAGTTCTGTCTTTGGGCTCCCATTTTTCTTTTGGTGGAAAAAATCTTGCAATTACAATTATTTAGGTTTTTTTGTCCCTTGGCATGTTTTAGATATCAAACAAGCTTTCGATTCTTTCATTGAACGGCTGTTACTCCTTTTTGTTTCCTTTGGCTTTGGTGTATGGCGTCCAATTCACCGAAAGCTCATTTTAGGAATGACACTTGTTTTACTTTTTCCTTTTGCATATCATAGTATTTTGAAGATGCTTCATTGGAAGACTAAGCTAAGTGAAACAGCTTTGGATTCCATTGATACATTTTTAAATGACTCTAGCTTTAGTTTGGTTGGATTAACAACTCTATATTTAAACCGAACTTTAACATCTACGCCATACATAAAATCAAAAGAATCTCTTCGAGTCGCAAAGCAATCTCTTTACTATTGTGTTGCGCTTTTTCTGATTTTAACTTTTGCAAAATCATATTTTGGTTATGTTGAAATATTTAGGAAAACTTTTCTGTCAGATAGCTTTATCTGTTGGACGTTTCGTTATGTAACTAAAATTCTAATTCCCTGCTATATCTGGCATCCTTCAAAAAACAAATGGATCCTTTATCACAAGGAAGAGGACAAAGATTACTTGAAACTTAAGATAGGAAGCTTTCCCGCTAATTTCGGTTATCCAGAAACTTGAGCAGTAATCTGCAGAAGTCTCAGTCGATTTTCGTAAGCATGAATGCTTAAAGACAGATTTGATAAGAACTAGATCCTTAAAAATTGTACAAACTTACAAGCGTTGAGAACAAAAACATAGTTTCATGGTTTTTGTTTTCGCTAAAGCAGTGGCCATTAATTCGTATGTTGATGACAACAACATTAATAGAATAACTGAATTGACGAAATCAACTCGTTCCGCTATGTCATTTCCCGTATGAGCAATCAAGTTGTTGGAAATAATATAATATAAGGCTCCCTATAATCGCGATGCTCTTCTAAAGTTAATCTAACCATTCACATTGCTTTCTTATCGTCCATAATCTATCTAACTTGCTTTTCCATAATTATAAATTTCATATCCGCCTTCAGCCTTTCCATATCATCCTCTCACAAACAAATCGATCGCATTCACGCTATCCTGCCTCTTTGGCATGAAATATACCAGCCCTTTATAGCAGTACAAAGCGTAGTCTCCGTACAGCCTCAGGCTTGCCCAATCCAAGGTTGGAAAACAAGTTCATAACAATCTTTTCGCCCACGGATTGAGGGTGGTTCCATTTGATATTTCCATCTTTGTTCAAAGGAGATGAAATTTTTTCCGGGCTGCGACTACGCAAAGTAGCGATACCACTGGTGTTGTACTCTGAGTTCGATGTTTTCGGGTTTACCGTCAAATTAAGCTGTGATGCGACAAGACTCAACGACTCCTCAAGCAGGTTTTCACGTGCACATACGTATGATAACTCATTTTTGTACAAGCCTTTGGTATGTCTTTGGAATATCCAAGTATCGCCGCATACCGAGGCGTGGGCAATTTTGTGTTGGCTCAGCTATGGGATGTAAGCGAGCAAGCAAAAAGTACAACTGATTCTTAGATCAAGGAGCTGAGAGCGTCGTCCATGGAAATGTATCCTAAAAAATTGTAACACGTTTCGTAGCAAGTGCTTTCAGAGTTTTGAGTTTTTAGAAAGAAGAGGAATGGAAGGTGAAATAAGGCCAGGATATTTGAAGGAAGAGGAGGTATTAAGGGAAGTTTTGGTTTTGTCAAGTTGCTATAAGTGACGATAGGTATATAATACACTTTATTTTGCAATTTGATGATCAGCTTTGGAGTCTAAATTATAAGAGTCATCTAACAGGGGATAAGGTTGCTGGCGGGAAAGGTTTCTGGATGCCAGCTCTTTGCTAGTAAGTAATTCGTTTTAGCAGGCCTTCAAAAGGAAATACATGTCTGAAGCTAACCACAAAATGTCCATTGTGCTATGCTGACCAATAAATGTATGTACGCTTGAAGGAAAATAACTGGTTTGAATCAAATGCGAATTCGTTGAAGCTTCCTATAATGATTCTGCGACATGCAACGATGGTTTCATCTGACATGCTGAAGGGTAAATTGAGCTCTCTGAATGCATCCATCGTTAGTATTGAGGGATCGTGCCTGAGGTCTTTTACAATCAAATAAGGAATCTTGTCCAATTGGAAATACTTTTATTACCTTTACCTGAACCTTCGTGCAGCCTTGCCAGCTCGTCATTGGAAAGTTTACGGAAGTTTTTAAGGTCGTTCGTCATGGTATTGATAACTGCCGGTTTATGGGCAGGCGTTAGTCAAAGCTAGAAAAGGCTTATTTGAGTATATATTATGAGGAATGGAAGATTTCCAATGATGTCTCTCTGTTACCCGAATCCTCGAAAAAGGTCCATTCATGTATGTCAAGGTAATTAACGTTGCTGTCACACAGCTATGGTCAACGCAGTGTCTTTTTACAATACTCTGTCAAATTTCATCTAAGAAAACCACATCGTATTCGTGAGTATATAGTACAGTTATACAGTAATATGATTTGTTGAAGGTTATACGAATAGTCAAAATATAAATGACGGAGAGTATGTATCGGAGGAAGCTACTGCATTGGACATACAACGAATAAAGAAGCAAAATCTAGGGTTAAAAGAAAAAAAAATATGCTAAAGTTGCAGATTCAGCCTTTTGAAACGCTTTCTCCGTGAAGTTGTATTCATCTTACTTTTATTTACTGTTACCTATGAAGGGACAATTACCAGATTGTAAATTGATATATTAAGGAAGCGTCGCAGGATCGATTCTCTATTAAAAATTAAGGGTTAAATAGAAGCTATGAAGGTTGAACAGCCTCTGATGCAGATTTTAGTGGGAGTAGTTTTCATTTGAAGACTGAAGCGGGTAAAATGTTTGTTACTCAAAACACGTAGAGAATATAAAACATTAAGAATGCAATAGCAGACCCAAAAAGGATTTGTATAAGAAGGACTCCATGTAAATAACTTGTCACTCGACTCATCGACTCTGACCTTTTGGTATTTGGAACTACGGTTGTATTGCGACAACAATTGATAACTAAAAGACGATATGTGACAAAAAATAAAAGAAGGATAAGTGATGATTGAATTGACGAAACACCTCAAATTGTCCGTATTGTAATAATTTTTATGGAAGCTATCCTACAATAGTTTTTTTGGTTAAGATAGTTACCTCTTCATATAGCTTTTTGGAAGTAGCTAGCGTAAACTGTTTCTTTATTTTATTAATTCCGTGGATTATATTCATTTTGAAAAAGTTTCCATGCTTTGTTTACTATTTATAATATCTCATCGTTTAGTCTTAAGGTATCCGCTAATATTCGTGTCACGGAAAATACTCCTTTAGTAATGAGAGTGTAAGTGGAACACAGTTGTTAATGCTTGAACCGTCAAGTTGAATACTCTTAATTAAGTTAAGTTACTAAATATCTCGAGTAATATATCTTTAGTAACGTCCCTGGTGATACTAATGAATTTGCTAACGAACAAGTTTATTAGGTCTGCCAGCAAAATCTTCCTAACTGAAGACTTTGTCTGAGGAGAACGGCGTTTATAAATAGTAATCTAAAACTAGGAAATAGACACAATAAACTTTAACTAATCCTCAGTTTGTTTGTTTATTAACATTAATATGCAGTAATATACTCAGTAGCATAATCATTGCAAAATGGTTTATATTAATATTAAGGATTGCTCTGACAGATCCTTACAACTGTGTTCATTCTTAAACTTATTACAGAAACTATTATCTCTAAGTAGTTGTCATTGATCATAAGAGACTTAATAAAACACTTTATTACCCCGCTATTCGAGCATCTGTTCGTCTTCCTCGCTACCTTCGTCCAAATGATGGATGTTAGGTCCTCTGTGCGCCTACGTAACTTAACCCTGCTAGGTAAGAAACGACTGTGATAATAGATGTGCGTGGTTTAATGGTTATTGCATCCACATAGGCAATTAACCATCATCTGCAATGATCCCCGGTGAACTCGTTATGGATTACAATGGTATATCTATCTACAAGCCTCCACATACTGTTTAAAACGCTCATAACTTGCATTAGCTGCCTCATGGAAATAGCAATTTGTTTTGCTGGTGCATCACTAGGCACATTATCCATGTATATTTGTATAAATCAGCATGGTAACGACAGCGAAGTTCTTTGAAAGACATGTGCTGAGAGAGCCGAATTGAAACAGCTATGAACTTAAGTATTAAAATACTGATAAATTGGTCAGAACCGACATAATAAGAAGCATTGAGCTAGTTGTTTTTCTTTGTTGAAGAAAATCATCATTAAACCGAGATAGGAGTAGATCCGTAAAAGTAACAAGGTACAACTTGTGACCCCTTATTATAACTACGTCCCAAATTTTTTTAACTCACCCCATAACTGTGTAAAATGTCAGAATACAATCTTTCTCTTCAAAACAAAGTAGCAATTGTTACAGGAGCTTCAAGAGGAATTGGAGCAGCAATAGCTGAAACTTTGGCACGCCGTGGTGCTAAAGTAGCCATCACTTTTACCTCTGACAGCAGCATTGATGCGACTGAACAGTTGGTGAAAAAAATAAAGGGTTTTGGCACCTCAGCAGATGCGATCAAAATTCAGGCAGATTTACGTGATGTTTCAAGTGCTAAACATATTGTTGATGCCACAGTACAAGCTTTTGGTCCTACCATCCATATCCTTGTTAACAATGCAGGGTACGCAGGTCAACCAAAACCTCTAGGAAGTGCAACTGCGGAGGACTATAACCTTACTTTTGATGTAAACGTTCGCGCCGTCTTTTTTATGACAGAAGCCATGGCACCTAATCTTCCTAAACAAGAAGACGGGAGTGGGGGCAGGATTGTCAACGTTGGAAGCATTTGTGGAAGAAAGGCATTCCTTAAAATGCCTCTCTATTGTGCTAGCAAGGCAGCAATTGAAGGTTTCACAAGATGTTGGGCTGCTGAGTTGGGCCCTCGAGGGCATACAGTTAATCAAGTTAATCCGGGAGCCGTTGAAACGGATATGCTAAAGGGACTTTCAGATGTAACATTAGAAATTACAAAAAAAATGACCCCTTTTGAAAATCGTCTTGGATTACCTTCTGACATTGCTGAAATTGTCGCTTTTCTTGCTGAAGATAGTAGTCGATGGATTACTGGGCAGGTAATTTCAGCTTCAGGTGGAATGTATATGTATTAATTGTTTGGGGAAAGTTTTTGAGAAAATCATCATATGAATTTTCCTGCGCAGCAATTTTCGTTCTCATCTTAATTACGCATAATAGAATAAGTTATGATTAATTTTTTTTTTTAATTTATGACATTTAATATATATAAACAGATAGTAATAAAAACAATCGACTCAAAACCCTTATGATAAATGAGGAATTTCTCTGTATGAAACGAGATTTTCTACAATTACGATTCTGAGTTACACTTAGGAAGCCCAATGCTCTATTTTTCATAATTAAATACTTGAAGAAGTTATCAGCTTCACAATGAAAGTCTGTGATTCCCTTAAGTATTTTAGGTTTTTTTAGTTGTCAAAGGGGTATTGAAAAAAACCTGTCATGGCAAGGAGTCATGAATGTATGTATAGTCCCTGAATTAAAACGCATATTTTTTTTCTTTGGATTTACGTGATTAATCAATTTACTTCACCAAGTTATAGCTGTAAGCTCTAATGTATTTCTCACGGTGTTAGTGGCCGATCGTAATATTTTTTTATGAAGATTTACTCTCGGAATTCCTCTCATTGATTATCCTGTCCGTATTTTTATTATTTGAAGGATCTAATAAAGATTACGAAACTTGGCTAATTGTAATTTATGGCTGTTTTCTTCTCAATTCATTATTCACAATCGAGGCATTTATTATAGTTTACTCTAGCCCTACAGAGCTCCAATCTATCAAGAAGTCAAAGTATATATAACACTGTACTTTACTGAAATTTTTATAATCAGTCTTTTCCTTGAAAGGATTCAT